GAGGGAGTATATTACTATTATTTAAGCCAAAATTCTAAGAACACACCCACAATGTTTACACATTAAAATAAATACTCAATCCGTCATTCAAATGTGTGCTTATTTGATGGGGTACGAGTTTTAATAAAAGTGAGTAATAATTGTTAATTTTTCTTTTTTATAGTAAAAAAAGTACATAAATTGAATGATTTTTTACTTAAAAAATAAATAAAAATATTTTTCGATGACAATTTAAAAAGAAAAGTGAGTATAAATTTGAATGACAGAGGGAATAATATGTAAATTTTGAAATACATTGTTATATATAGATATATAACACAATATATTAGCACGAATTAATTTATTAACCCAACAAAAAATATAATTATATAGTTGGTAAAATTTAAAATTTGGTTGGTCATATAATGAATAAAGTGTATGCATAAGTAATTTTGACAATGAAGGAAGCATAGTTGTATGATATAATTAATGATGTAATAATTATTTCCTTTAGTTTCGAACTACTTTATATGGCCCTCCCCACCCCACCCCACCCCACCCCATTTCTATATTATTACTCCAATCCTAATTTATTTCAATTTTATTTATGGCAATATATATTTATTTTTGGTTTTTATGTTCAAGTACATGTTTGCAAAAAAATATATTCATTTATTGTATGCATACCAATTAAGAAATATGGTTATACCTCATATCAATTGGTATATATATATATATATAAGATTTAAGAAATATTGAGATTTTATTTAGCAGCGGATACAAAAAATTGGGTTTTGAAATAGATTGATTATGTGGAAATTCGCAATTGAATAGGCAAATAAATTACATTAGACAGAGATGTTAAAATTTTTTTTTATTTAAAAAAAAAAACCTTATAGGTGCGTATAAATTTGTTTTATGAAGTAATTTTTATTTATTTATTCATTATTGCTTTTAGGTAATTAAACTTGTGTTGGATTTTATATTTTATATGAAATTTGAGTATATTTTTTATTAGAAATATTGGATATTTTTCTTTTATTAATTATTTATATATTTTTTTTTATAAAATATTAAATTCAAATAATTATATATATATATATAAAGCCAAAACCACCAACTAATACATTAATGGAAACTACATAAATAAATAAAGGAAAAAAAGAAAAGAAAAAAGAAGAACATGCTTTATGGCGTCTTTGGTAGAAGGTTTTGAAGGATTTTTTTAATTCATTCTTTTATTAAAAAAAAATTAATTTAAACTCTTACTTTTTATATTAGATTAAAATTTTATATATCTTCAAAATATTACATAAAACAATAATTAAAATTTAAAATTTTTTATTGTAATTTTTCTATAACAATTTTAAATTTAAATTATTGTTTACAATTTTTATTATTAAAAAATCAAACAAGAGGCTTTATGTAAAATTGGAGTAATTACTTGAGAACGTTATATATTTATCATGTTTATGTCATCACAATTAATAGAAGACTTGACTCTTTTATATAATGCAATTGATGAAAACTTTATTGAAATAATAAAGGATTCCGATCATTTCTTATTTTTTATTCATAAAAAATATTATATATATATATATATACTTTTAGTATGAAATTTTTAAAAATACTCTATCCATCCAATGGAATGCACGTTTTTTTTTTTATATATGAATTAATAAATAATAACATTTTATTAATCAAAGTACGTAAAATAGTTTTGATAATTTTGTCCTTATAAATACATCTAAAAATTGAATATTTTGGGAGAAATTTTGACATTTGTATACAAATTACTTTTATTATAATAAAAATAAAAAATAAAAAATAGCGAGACAAATGAAAATGATAAAAATAATACATTAAATTGAGATAGAAGGAGTACAGTATTTACATGATAGTTAGTGGATACTATGTAATTAGAAATAGTTACGAATCAACACGTTCTAAATCAATACAAATAATATATATATATAGTACTCCCTTCGTTCCAAAAGTATAGTTTTATTGTGTTGGACACGAGATTTAAAGAATATTGATATTATATTGGTGGTTGACAAAAAGTACGGACAAATGACTTTTTTGCCCTTGTGAGTATATTAGTGTAAAAAGTAGTGACAATTGTGTAATAATAATGAAAAACTATGGATAGTTTTATGGTGATATGGTTATTTATAGAAATGAGACTATTGTTTTTTATAGTCTTATTTTCATAAATAACCATATCACTGTAAAACTATAATTACTATTTCATTATTGTTACACAATTGTCACTGTCTTTTACACTAATACACTCATAAGGACAAAAATATTTTTTACCTATGCTTTTTACATACTATCAATATAATATCAATATTCATTAAATCTCGTGTCCAACACAACGAAGACTATAGTTTCGAAAGGGAGGGAGTAATATTTTGTATTTGGATTAAAATGTTTGTTAATCCAAAAGAAATAAAAAGAAATGAATGAATGTAAATCCAAATAAAAATTGCATCAAAGTTTGGCTATAAAGTTAATGCATGCTGCATCAATTAGATACCATCAATTTCATTTATTCTCTATCATTATTATATTACCACTCGTCCCACTAAATAAATATAGATTAAAATTAAAATAATTAATTTTTTTATTCTCGATAAAATATTCATATTAATATAGATATGTAAATTTTTAAGTAAAATATAATTAATAAGTAATTAAATAGTTTATTAGTAAAAATAATTATAAAAAAAATTAAAATAACTAAATAATTTAATTAAAATTAAGTATTAAATTTAAAATGTATAATCATATTTCTAAAAAAAAAAATTGAACGGAGTGAGTAATTAATTTAATTAAGATTTAAAAAGTTTAAAATTCTGAAATTCAAAATATGATTAAAGGATATAATTATTTTTAAAAAAATAAAAAAAATAAATTATTTAGAACGGATAAAAATTAAAAAATATAAACAAATTATGTGAGACATATGCAGTATTATTATTTGGGCTCCGATTATATATACACATGTCCTTTTATAATTTTTATGTAAATTATATATATATATATTATACATAGAATTAATTTATAAATAAAAGTAATAATAATAAATAACTCTTACAAATTTATTCAAATAATAAAATATTTTTATTTTTTAATCTAATATTTTCTCTCATCCTATTCAAAATGACTCATTTTATTAGATACAATATTTAATTTAATGAAATTTAAGTCGTTAATAGTAATGAGTTATTATATTATTTTAGTATATTTTTATATGAATTGTATCGCTGGTGGTTATAAAATAAATTTAAAACATCCATTTAAGTATTTTCAATATAATATCTTAATAAAATATTTGTGATATAAATATCATTTTGTAGATATTAAAATTTTAAATAATATAAATAAATAAATAAAAATTTAATTTAGTTATAATTAATATAAATTAATTTAATATGTAATATAGAAGTTTTAAATGTAAAAATATTTATTTATTGATGTGGCAAATATAAATAAAAGAGTTTTGAATAAGTTATATACGATATATATATATATGATATTATAAAATTAATTAAGTTAATTTATACTTTGTTAAATATATTTAATTTAATAAATTTTTCAAAAAATTATATATATCAATTTTAATGGTACAAAAAAAATAATAAAATTGAAATTAGATTGAAGGAGTATTGATATGTTTCTTTGATAGATTTGAGAAAATTTTGATTTGAATTTAATATTAAAATAATATATAATAAAATATTTTGTGAGAAGAATATAGTTTAAGAAATGCAGGTCTTCTTTTTCCTTCGGTTATTTTATTTCGACAAATATTAGAAACTTTCGGTTTTGTGTCGAAAGAAACAATTAGTATCTCAAATCGAAAAAAATAAATAAATAAATAAAAAATTATTAGTTCTAGTATTATACTACTACGGGTGTGTTTGTTTGGGGATTTGGATTTTGAATTGGGATTTGAATAGTAAAAATTTTGAATTTGAATAGTTGTATGATGTGATATAAATAGAGTTTGATGTGATGTTTTGAATGTAAAATTGATTTTTAGTATAATATAAAAAATGAAAAATAGGTGTTTGATTTGATGTTTTTGGGGGGAAAAAATTGGATGAATAGTAAAAATCCGCCAAAATCCTTCAAACAAACACACCCTACGTAGATTTGGAGTCAGAGTCCGGGAGCGTCCATGAATGGCGCTGATATTGTCTAGTTGAGTTGAGACAAACCAACAGCTGAGCAGGAATGGCTAGTGTGAGGGCCATTTTCCGGACTTCAACTCCCTGTCACCGTACCATCATACACGGTCCCGCATCTGGACTTTTTCTTTTTTCTTTTTTTGGTTAATATTGGGTACGAACCTCCAAGACTTTGTCACGCTCTCCCCGGACTGTCTTTGTCACGCGCCAGTTTCATTGAAATTTTTTTGTTTGAAGTTAGATATTAAAATAATGAATAATAAGATGTTTTATAAAATGAATTGTTACATATTTTCAGAAAATGCAGAATTTGAGATTTGATGATTAAAAAAACATAGCCATAGTTTGTTCATTTTATATATTTGGACAAATGAGTTTTTTTTTATAATCCCTTCCTCTTAGTTCTACTCCAATGTATTTTTTTGAAATTTTATAATAAATTAAATAGTAATATTATTTTCGTCCCGTTCTATAGGTCTTATTTACTTTTTTTTCGTATTAATTTTTAAATATTAATTATTATATAAAAATGTAGTACAAATTAAAAAAAATTACAAAAATTATTTCATTAGTGTCTTATAATACTAATATAAAAATATTTGTAAAAAAACAATATTTATACAAAAGGTAAATATAACGGACTAGTAAGACAATATGATGTGGGTGTGTGGAACATTCTCGGGAAAATGGTAAGAGATTATTGAACATTAAGCAAGAAAGAATATATTGGATCTACTTATAATTTATTCTACCACCGAAATCATTAAAGCACAAAGATATATGTACTAGGAGCACATATACAATTATTTTTAGTATATAGAATAATAATTCAATAGAAATTTCAGTAACCCGTGAAATTTCCGACATACTGATTCAGAGATCGAAAGAAATGTGTGTAAATAAACCATCTCAATGTCAAAAACTTGAGTTCATTGTGTCCAAGCTTCAATGCCACTTAAAAATCAAGAAATAGCCGAAAAAGTCGAAAAAACATGATAAAAATTAGAGGAGAAGAATGATCAGATGATGTCTCTACTAATCTAATCTGCAATTGTAACTTCAACTTCCACACCGGGCTCGATGGTGATTGAGGTTATTTGCTTCACAACATCCGGAGTGCTGTAAAGATCGATCACTCGCTTGTGAACCCGCAGCTCAAACCTATCCCACGTGTTTGTTCCTACACGAAAAAATAAATAAAAATTTTATTTCAAATTTCACGGAAGCAATTAATGTCCGGTTTCATCAAAATTAAACATATATTTTTCATTCAAAAATTGTATCAAATGCTATTTCAATTCAAATATCAAGCCGCTTGTAATTAACAACTTTCCCTAACATGTGGTATATATATATATGTAGACCAGAATTAAATCATAACGACCTTAAAAGAAAATAAGGTACATACTCTATAAAATGAAAGAAATATAACTCTAAATGATATGTATGCAAAATATAGAGTAATATCAAAAATAAATAATAGTTGTTGATTTAATATTTTAGGGGAAAAAAAATAAGTGAATAGTAAAAATCTCGTGAGAAATCCACAAAGAACACAGACTAAGGTCCTGTTTGGTCGGATGCATTTGGATCCGAGTGTGTATTTCAAATGAATTGATTTGATTTACTTCATAACTAAAATTGAAGGTATGGTTGCAAGAAACAGTCTAAAGAGTATTCAAAATATTAATAATGGATTTGAAATTTACAACCAATCTTCAAGATTTAAAATTAAAAGTATTGCCAAACGAAGCTAGTGAGTAGTGAATTTGACGGAGTCATTTGAAATATTTCTAACCCAAACAAGGTCTAACTAGATTCGGCTAATAGCTTAGCAACAACTAGTCCTATAGCAACATAACCGACAACAAAAAAATTTCGATTAGATAGAACAAAATGTTAAAACATACCTTCACCACACGGAGACTTCCTGGTAGTGATGTGCAGAACTTTGGTGGGCATCCTCACCGGGCCCTTCACTTTGAGCCTTTTGTCCTTAGCACCACGCACCAAGTCGGAGCACACTGTCATCGCACAAACCGAACATCAACAGCGCTGACTGACTGTCAAGGATCAGAACAAATTCGAAAAAAGTTGATCATGTATTCCATCATAGTTCTATAATTCAGAATATCCTTTCCCATTTAATCCCTTTCAATTCCAAATTCGAAGTTGCAATCTGATATATCAACGCATTTATTATGTATCCATAGAGATGAAAAGCTTAAACAACTGTAGGCTGCAGTCTTCAATTATACAGTACTCTTTATTTGATCAATCTATGGCAAATCATTCACATAATTGGAATAGAACAACATTCCATCGAATTCAATCCTTGAGAAGAAATTAAATGCATATAGTCATCGATTTAGGCATCTAATCGAAAGCCATCCACCAATACAATAGCGAAGGCAGACGATACTGTTGAAGAAAACACGAATCGACAGCGACATTGTAAGCAATGGATTCTATCTATAATAAAACACAAAATACCATTAAATCATTCAGTTTACGAGGCTATACCTTTCTCCAGATTCTTGACGTTCTTCGACGACAGTGTGATGCGAATTTTGTTAAGCTGCTCTACGGACTCCTCCAACCCGGGCTTCGTCGGCTTCACCGCTGCGTACGCCATTGCCTTCCTCGTTCGGTACTGTTCAAAAACAAACACTCGAAACGTTTTTATAACGCAAATAACAATGCAATTGGGGAACGAATCCTTGCTATAAAAAAGCCAAAACCACAATTATAAATGATTTTACCAGTGAGAAATATGCGGGGTGCGAAGATAAACAGCAGCTTCCGATCGTGGATGAGTTCCAAAAATTAGGGTTTTATGTTCATAGAATATATCCACGGGCTACGACCCATTCAATTATGGGCCGGGTTAGGGTATTTGGGCTAAATTGAGGATCCAATGGATCCGACACTGGACTCGGATCGGCCCATTTATTTGAGGCCATTTCAGTTTATGTAGATATCCGATTAAATGTGGGCCGAGTATAATAAGAGTGTGTTTGTTTGAATGATCTATATATATTTTCACTATTCATCAAATTTTTTCTCTAAAAAAATATTAAATTAATATCTATTTATATTACATTATACAATTATTTAAATTCAAAATTTTTATTATTCAAATCTCAATCTAAAATTCAAATCCTCAAACAAACACACCCTAAATAAATCGGATTTGACCCGACTCAACCATATTAAATTAAAATTTATATTTGTATACTTAGACTCCTTTTAGACAAATGAATTTTGGGAGTTTTCGGAAAGTGTTAAGAGATATTACTAGAAATAAATATGAATATATTTTTGGATAAAATTATAAAAATTCTTAATTAAGAAAAAAATATGTTGATTGATTGAGTAAATTATGGAGTCAAATATAATTATTTTTTTCCATAATTTATGCTCTACCTTATAGAGATGTTTGGGAGTGATTAATTTTTGTTTGGGGTTTGGATTTTGGATTGAAATTTGAATAATAAAATTTTTGAACGTGATGTGATATAAATATGGGTTGATGTGATACAAATAGGTGTTGATAATAGTTTGAATGTAAAATTATTTTTTAGTATAATATACTAAATAAAAAATAGATGTTTTATTTAATATTGTTTAGGAAAAAAAATTGAATGAATAATGAAATTTGGAGAAAATCCCCGAACAAACACACCCTTAGAAAAAAGAGGGGTGAGAACAATTCCACAAGATTTTAGAGGATTTTCATACCTAAATCTTTGTGAATTTCTCGATCATATTGTTCTCGTTTTTCTTAGAAAAAATTATCATAACACCCGGTGAATATTCAATGTGTTATTTGTTTGTTGCTCGATCAAGCAATTTTGGAACCAATAATTTGTATAAGACTCTATGATTTTTATTTATTTTTTATGATGTGAAAACCCGCCGCTGTTACTGATAGTGCGCACTGAGTAAATTTTCGACTGAACCTAATACCCTGCAAACTAGGCCAACAGGACTCTATGATGTTTTCAAAGAGTGATACGATGTTATAACGGTAAAATAAAAATTAAAAAAAAATTATACATAAATTTTAAACCACAAGAAAAAATAATAGTATTAAAATTTTAAACTTCATATGTGTAATGGGTAATTTCATAAAACAATAATCGAGCCTTAAAGTATAAAAGATTAAATTTAAAGGTAATAAAAGTTAAACTAAAACTTTATTTATTTATGTTTTCATCCCACATGATGAAATAATTACAATTGTTTCTATGGTGTACATAGAAGAATCATTTAACCAAATTCTATGTCAATCCAAATCATTATTCTCTTACTTCTTTCACTAACGTCATTATTACACTTTATCAAATTTATTTATTTTTTATAAAAAATAATTTACTTTGTTCTTTAAACATCAATTTTGAATTATAATTCTTAAAAAATAATATTAATTAATATTTTATACAAAAATTAAAAAAAGTTAAATATTCATTAAAAAAAATCAAAAAATCATTATAAAAAGTAAAAAAAAATAAAATAAATAAATAAAATCAAATATTCATCTTAAACTAATACTAGTATATTTTACTCCCTCAGTCACGTAAATATAGTCTTAATTGGGTTGAGCACGAGATTTAAGGAATATTGATATTATATTGATAGTGGGTAAAAAAATATAGATAAAAGACTTTTTTGCCCCTGTGAGTGTATTAATGTAAAAAATAGTGGCAATTGTGTAATAAAAATGAAAAAGTACGAATAATTTTATGGTGATATGATATATTTTTTTTACATGATATTTCATATCATATACTAAAAATTATTTCATTTAAAAATGTTTCAATTTAGATATTATCATATATGAAATAGTATAATTTTATTTAATACATGTATATGTAATTAATATAAATTAATTTTATAAATAAAATATGGTTTTAAATGTATAGAAGTAAATTATTATACCGAAGTTAAAGAAGTCGAATATTGCAAGTGGATTCTATCTTCAGATTTTTATTTATTTAATTATTTTTAATGATTTTAATGTGTGTGTGTGGTGTTTGCATAGTGATAATATGATCCTCCTTTATTTAGTAAAAATAATTATAAATTAAGATTAAAATAACAAAATAGTTTAATTAAGATTAAAAAATTTTAAATTTTAAATTTTAAAATACGATTAAAATGTATAATTAATTTTTCAAAAAAAGAAAGGACAAATTATATGGGACGGACAAAAAAAAAAGAACAAATTATGTGGGATAAAGGGAGTAACTTTTATCATTGAATTTTATTTTTATTTTTTCATAATTGATAATTTTGTTATTGTTATTATTATAGGTGCAATAATTTTGTTTGGCAACTACTTCATCATCATATCAATTAATTCAGAAAACATCATTGATAATAGACACATGTATGTTTGGTCAATTTAAATAAAATGCCAATCAGACACTTTTTACTTATTGTTGAATAATGTTCTTACTCGAGTGGTTATGTTTCGAAAATCTTGTAAAATAACAAATTGCAACAAAAACTACATGTTTGAATATTTAATTTTGTTTTTTTTTTTTAAATGGATAAATAGTTAAAATAAATAAATTAATATTCATTTAATCATCAAATTGTGTGCTCATTTAACTAGAAAAGAAAGTTAAGATTTTTTATTTTTTTTTACTTTTTAAGGTAAAATTTTTTTTAGAAAGAGTGATATTTTCTACTAAAAATAAATATAACAATAATAATAATAAAAAGAATAATTTAAATGAAAAATGAAATATAAGAATTTTTCATCTAAAAAATGCATTTCCTATGTATTTCGTTGGGTTTTTTTTTTTTTTTTATTTTATAGATATTATTGGAAAATAGTCCGAAAGAGACCAATTCTTCTGGGTAAATGCATAAAGATGCTATAAATTAGCTTCTTTGCTCCAAACATTATACAATATTTATTTTCTGAATGAAAATTTAAATGAATAGAATTAAATAGAATAATTTGAAAATTAAATGAATTCATGAGAAAAAAAAAAATATTTAAATAATACTATCAAATAAAGTTTGGAATTTAAATTAAATAAATTTAATTATTTTTTATTTTAAAAATATTGTAGAATATTTCTACAATTAATACGTAGTAAGTATGTGATAATTACAATCTTATATTCATGTAATAAATGCAAACAACAACGACAAATCAATAAATAATAGAGTACAACATGTTTGTTTACTAATTTGTACTTTAAAAATAATAATAAAAACTTCCATTTCCAATGCACACGAACATAAAATCTCTCGACTCAGTCCCCCATCTCTTTCGTATTGTACATTTAGTCCCCTATTTATGATCAAATATTACTTTTATTTTATATATTTCATTTGTTGTGCTTTGATCTAGCAATAAATTGTTTTTCTTGCCAAAACACAAGGAATGAAATATACAAAATAAAAACAATAATATTAATTATAAGATTAAATTTATAATTTTCCATTTCATCTCTATATTTTAGACATTCAACTTTTTTTCTTTTTTTTTTTTTTTTACATATTCGCATGCATCTACCGGGATCGAACCCAGGTTGAAGCCGTCAAACAGGGCTGTTTCACCCTGCTTTGAAATTCCCCAGACGGGACCCAAATTACGGCAATGGCATCGAACGATCGAAAACCTCGTCGAACATCTCGTTGTCATCGTTCCTCTCTTCCGAACACACCATCTCCCGTCTCCCGAGCTTCGCCTCCGCTGCGACGAGAACGAGCTTTTCGGCTATCGGGCAATTCCCCTGTCCGCGAAACCATCTCACGAATGACGGGTCCCACTCGATCCCACACGAGCATATCGCGTGGAGAAACAAGACCCGAACGGCGACCTTCCCGAGCGACTCGAACCCTTTAAGGCACGTGCTCCACACGAGCCGGCTACTCTGCGGGTTCGCCACCTTCATCTTCCCCGTCGTCGCGTCCCGACGCTTCACCTGCACGGCTTGTGCGTATAATGGGTCGAGACCGTCGGATTGCCACCTCGCGAGTTCGATCAACGCCATTCGAGCTTCGTCCCCCGAAAGCATTCGGGTCACGAGACGCTCGATGTCGTTCTCGTGCTCACTCGTCAAGAGATTGAACGGCGGGAGATAGTTCCCGCTCGCGACGTCTCTCACCAAGTTTAACGGATCGAGCACGAATGCGGCCGACCACACCGGGTGGTAGCATTTCCGAAACCGCTTCTCGACTATTTTATCGACCGGTCCTTCGACTATCCCGTGTTTCGAACACAATTCCTTCAATTTATCCTTCAACGCTTTCCAGATTGGAAAGCATTGCCCGATCATCGGTCTATCCATCTTGACCTCCTCACACGTCGATAAAATAAACTTCACCAGTGAATGAGTAGCCTCAACGTCGTTCCAGAATGCAACGTCGCGAATTATATCCGAGACGGATTTAAGCGAATCGTCAAAGACGGCGAAGTTAAGAGTTTGGGAACATGAGAGTATATCCTCTAACATTTCGACTAAATTATGCGAATTCTTCGATGCGTCGCACTTCGGAGAAGGGACTCTAACGAAGCGATGAACAAGCGCCTTTTCGAGATAATTCCGAATCTCCGGTCGAGAATTGATCACGTCCGCGACTTGTAGACACTTCTCGGCGACAGTTACAAACAATGGAAGCTCTCGATACAAGTCTTTGATCAAACTCGATAATCCGCGAAGAAGACACGGTACGTTAACCATCCATTGATTCTCGACCTCCAAGCTCTTCAACGCCGTCGCGAAATGCTTATCTGCCACAATCCCGATGCATCTCATCAGATTGTCGCCGGATACTCTCCGAACCGTCTCCCGCAATACCTCCTCCATGTATTGCTCCGGCAACGCTCCGCCGGAGCAATGCATGGCGCGGTGGAAGAGTCGCGTCCCGTTGGGTAGATTAATCGTGAAATTGACCAAATAGCCATTCCGATCATCGTCATTGGCATTGCTCCGACAACAGTCCAATGCGACTTGGAAGAATTCGGCGTCGTTGATTCGAGCTTCGGACTCCGTTCGAGCTCGATCATACCTCGATTCGAGGCGTGTTGTTGCGATATCGTGCCTCGACAATTCCGGCAATCCTAGGTGCCTTAAAAAGGCTTTGAACTTGAGATTTTCCAGGCTGGAGAATGCGACGGCGCCGCCGGATTCAAAGAACCAATCCGATAGGAGATCGACGGCGGCGGCGATTTGGTCGCCGGTAAGAACAGGGACAGGCAATGGTTTGGGGCTCTTGAGCTTCTTCACGCTGTCTTCCAGCAATGCTAATGGCTTCAAATCATCCTTTCCGCCGGACAATAGCGGCGGCGGCGGCGCCTCCTCCGCCGCGAAGTGGCGCGAATCGGAAGTGCGTTTCCGATGGGAGGAAGAGGAAGGAGAAGCCAGAGGGGGTAACGGCGGAATCGGATTCAAAATTAGGGCGGAATTAGGGCAATTGGCTCGCCGGAGATGCTCGGAAGCTGTTCGCGACGGATTTGAGGCGGAGAAGGCGGCGTCGCAGACGGTGCACCGGAGCTTGACGGATTTGGGGATTTTCGAATTAGGGTTTTTAATGAGTAGAGGCTCAAAGTGCTGCCAGTACCAGGCGCCTTTCCCTTTGCTGGCCTTCGCACGCAGCGCCACCAGTCGTTCGTACCTCTTGGTCACCGCCGACGCCGTTTCCGACGCCGTCGCATCTGCCGAAGGCTCCGGCGAAGTAGACATTGAGATCATGAGAACTGGAAATGGATTAATTGAGCTCGTGCGCCATTAATTTGTTGCATTGCGCGAGGAGCTCGTCGGAGTAATTTGGAGTGAATCGAGCTCGGCGGCGGCGGCAGAAGGATTGATGTGAGGACTGTGAGGGATTTGTGGAAATTAATTATTATTAATTGGGAGAGTTTGTTGGGTGACGAAGGAAGAAGACGATGATGGCGTGAATGATCGTTGTTACACGCGCCGGACAACGCGCGTGGGGAGAATCTACGGGTGAAAGCTGCAGATTCGTCAAGAGGTGGGCCATGGGTAAAGTAGCCAATCATATTTAACCTTATGGTCAACAACTGAAAGGTTCAAATAAAAATTATTGTTTTCTTTAAAAAAAATAAAAAATTCACAGAGTGTTATAATTTATTTTCTTTTTAAAATTATTAAATCAAATAATTATTTTGTATATTATATTAAAAATGTATTTTATACTTAAAATATAATATATATATTTTTTATTTTATCATTTTCATCAAATTTTATTTTAAAATATTTACTTTTTATTTCAAAAGAAAATAATTAAAAATAATACTAAAATATTTTTAATTTTTATATAAATTAAAAATATCATTACATATACAATTATAGAATAAGTCAAAAGTTAAAAAGTTTAAATCTTTTATACACTTCAACCAAGCACTAAAATATTACTACTCCCTCCGTCCTGTTGGAAGGATGACGTTTGCTTTTTGCACGTAGATTTTTGAATATTAGTATTGTATTGGATTGTAGTAAAAAAGACAAAAATACTCATATTAGTATGGTGTAATATAAAAGTAATGACATTTGTATAATATATTGTAAGTTGAGAGAGTATTTATTATGTTAAATAGGTAGTACAGTTACTAAATTAGGAAATGATAATCTTGTTTTGAGACGGACGAAAATGGTAATATTTCAATGGGACGGATAAAGTATTATTTTTTAATTTACTACAAAATTTCAAATAGCCCTTTTCAAAGAGAGTATTAGTATCCATTTATATCATATTTAAATAATTATTTAAATTTTATTTTTTATATTATATTAAAAATACATTTTATATTCAAAATGTAATATTAATAGCTATTTATATCGCATCAAACAAATATTAAAATTTAAATATATTTCTAAAATAATTCAAATCTAAAAATTATATCGACAGACAAAGAATAAACATAATTATTTGAATAATAAAAATAAAAGTAAGACACAAGTAAAAAAAAAAAGAATAAAAGTTGTTAAAGTCATTGCATTTATTCCTCAAAAAACTATATAAACGAATTAATGTTATTCATTTATTTCACGTAACACTTGTATAAACCATTTTCACTGGCGATTAAGTCCCTTGAAGAAAGCTAGGAGGCCGACAAGTGGCGCGTTAATATAGGTCGTCGGCTCCAATTTCCCGGGATCTTGTCGACTGTCTTCAAATTTGTCATTTTCATCGGGCCCTCCGACCACGGCTCCGGTCAGCCGGTTAGGGTTAGGTTTAGGACTCTGGTAAAAGGGCGTTCCATCCTTACATCTAATGGGCTTTGGATGCGAACGGATAGAAGGTAGAGAAGAGCCCCGATGATGTATGTGTTGTGGATAGTTTTTGCCGTATCCCACCATATATGATATCTTTAGCGGATTATTTCCCAAAATGTAATCGACCTGAAAAATCGAACATCTTCGCCATTATTGAAATTAAAATTAAAATTTATTGAGTTGTATACAGGGCGGATTCAAGTAGAAGACAGTGGTGGCACGTGCCACCAGTGATTTTATCACACTAAAAGAAATTTTTTATAATTAAATAATTGTGCTACCACTAAAAAGTTTGAGTGCCCCCACTTAAATGTCATTGTTATCCAAAAATATTTTAGTGAATTATTTAAAATTTAAACTGTCCTGAGTATCCAAATAATTAAAATTCAATTTAATGAAAATAATCAATTTATATTTTAAATATATATATATAATAGTATTATAATATTCTTTTTCTAAATCATTAATAATAATTTATTTTTATTAATATTAATATTATTATTTTAATATATCTATTGTGCCGCGACTAAATTTTTTTTTTATAGATCCGCCTCTGATTGTATATACATCAACAAATATGTGTGTAATAATATAGAGTAACTTGTACGAAGAAATTTAATCAAATAATAACATGCATTGGTTTCAAATGTATGACAAGTCTACTTTGAGTGATTATTTAGGATATTTAAAATTATTTTAATGATAAATCGTGATGAAAGATCATGTAATATATTAAATTTAATATTACCTCTATTCTATAAGTACATTATTTGTCTTTCACTATATAAAGTTAAAAATATTTTTATATTTGTATAAATTAATGTTTGTTATATTTGTATAATAAAATACTAACAGAAGTATTTTTGTCATTTTCTCTTCATTTTATGCTAATTATTGATATAATAATTAAGGTAAACTGTTTTTTTTTGTCCCGTAACTGGACCCCCTTATCGTTTTAGTCCTGTAAGTGGAGCTTGTCGCAAACTAGTCCCATAAGTGAAAAATTTTCGTTGTTTTAGTCCTCCGGCGTCGGAGACGCCCGCGTGGCTCGCCGGAGGTGAGGTGTCCGCCAGGTCAGTGACACATAGCGGACACGTGAATTTTTATTTTTTAAATTTTTTAAAAAAACTTATTTTTCATTTATTTTTAATTTTATTTGCAATTTTTTTATTTGGTCCAATTAAAAAAATTAAAAATAAATGAAAAAAATAAATAAATCCACGTGTCCGCCAGGTGTCGCTGACCTGGCGGGACACCTGGCGGACACGTCACATCTGGCGAGCCACGCGGGCGTCTCCGGCACGGAGGACTAAAACAGCGAAAAATTTTCACTTATGGGACTAGTTTGCGACAAGCTCCACTTACAGAACTAAAATTATAAAGGGATCTAATTATAAGACTAAAAAAAATAGTTTACAGAATAATTAATATATTCAAATATTTAATAATTAATATATTCAAATGTCTAAATACACAAAACTCATGGTACTAGACATATGTAGTATATCATTGCATACAATTATCACGATCTACACTCTTTCGTTATTTACTTCTATAAGTTTCACTAGTTATTTGTAATTTTAATCTTAATAGCTCATTTGATTCAGATAACATAAAATAAATGAGGAGCAAAATCTTGAATAAATGAGGATCAAAATCTTGAATAATTGAAACTTGAGAAATAAGATTATGACAACAAAAACTAAATTTATTGTAATATCGTATATTCACCTGAGTGTTTGCGAATTGTATTAAACTATCCGGAGGGATGACAACATTGCCGCAACGAATAACGTGATTTGTCTTTTTCACGTACAGAGCGTATGTTACCAAAACAAATGAATGAGCCGCTGTAACTTGCAACGAAACTAGAAGGCCGCCTGCATACAAAAGCACATATTTTTGTATTTTGAGTGAAAAGACAAAATTACTCTTATTATGGCTTATACTTAGTTTCAAGAAAATTTATTGAGTGGTATTTTATAAATACATTTGGATAAATAATAAAATGAATATTATATTTATGACGAATAACAAAATGTACATACCAGGAGAAATATGAGCATATCTGAAGGGAGATTGAGGCATAATGTTACAAATAAAGGCGTCAGCATAACCCACGAAATTAGGCGCCGACGAGTTTACCAAATGATTTTCCATCATGTACTGTCATGATATTTTGTGAAAAAAAAAATATATATTTAACGTTAGATATGACAATTTTGAGCTGATCCAAATGTTCGGTTCTTAAACCGTGCAGAGTTGAACTAGCTCATATTTTTTTTTATTTTTTTAAAAAGAAAAGAAGAAATTTTTTAATGTAGTTTATTAAAGTATCTTTTTAGATTTATATAATTATATTTTGTATAAGTTTTGTATTGAAAAATAAATTAATGCATGTAAATAACACCAAAGTTCCAAAAGTGTATACATAAATTAAGAATGATGTGATTGTTGTTTTTAATTATTGAAAACTGTAAAACTATTTTGAATAATTACAATATTGTTTGGTTGAATTGATTTCCTTATTATTATTTTTTAAATATGTTATAAGATTAAATGGTGTGTTTTAATTAATAATATATTAAGAATGATAAAATGTTTGAAAAGAAAATTTACCTGGGAAAGAATAATGTCGATTCCACCATGTTTTGCATCCCAACCGAATTGAAGAAGGAGGCGTTCATAATTTGGCTTAAAGTCCCCAAAGTTCTTAACAATGTAATTCCAGTACATTGAATTCTTCGTCGCTTTATTTAGCCAAGTTGCTGCCCACACCAGTTCGTCCTGCAACAATAATTAAAAAATAATATTCCTCCGTCTCATATATATATATATATATTTATTTATTTTTTAAAAATATTAGTATTATATTGAGATAAAATAAATATAAATGTAAAAAAATTAAATTAATCCTATTGGTATTGTATGATATAAACGTAATAATATTTGTGTAATATATTGTAAATTAGAAGGGTATTTGTAATGTTAAGTAGATAGTACAATTACTAAAAAAAAAAATGAATACCGTAGGACAGACCAAAATGAATAAATTATTAAGGGACGGAGGAAGTAGTAATAACAAATTAATTATTCTTTTTTTCGACATCATTTTTCAATTGATGTTGCTAAAAAATAATATTAATAAATACAAAATATTTTATACAAAAATTAAAATACCAAAATATCTATTATAAAAGATCAAAAAATCAAATTTAACTTAAAATAATACAATATATTTTATTTTTTGACAAAATTTCTTGTACCACACCTCAAAATTATTCTATTTAAAAATGTTGGACTCAATTTATTTCTAATAATTAACATTAAAGTAAAAAAAAAAAAAGATTAAAAAAAAAATAAAAATTACTAAGGATATGTTTCTTCTTATAAGTTCGAAACAAATTAATTTGATTTGAATTTGATATTAAAATAATGTATTATAAAATATTTTATAAAATTAAAATATATATTTTTTTTTAAAAAAATACAGAATAAAAATAATAATCAATACCTGATAGCTGTTATAATCGCAGTAAAAAGGGCAGACGCCATAGCCGATGCTATCGTTGTAAGAACCTCTGTGTGCGTCTGCAAATCTGAATACCTGCAAATATATTTATATATATATATATTGAGATATTAAAATAATTATTTTCAAATCATACATGTTTAATATTTTTAAAATTATTCCTTTCTGTCAGCATTTATCAATTTCAGCAATATATTTCTAAAATATACACATTACATATTTAATTTTCAATTAAAATATTACAGTACATTGCAAATTTTATATTCTATATAAAAATATTATATTTAATATTTATTTATATTACATAAAATATTTAATTTTATTCAATTTTGTATCATTTATAAAACTTTTCAAAACTTTATTGGAAGCACTTTTAAAATATATCTATTAATTTTGTTTTATAGGAAATTCATTTCTATCTTGAAAACTTATATGTACTCATGATTCCCAAATTTCAAAACATAAACAATAAAATATAAATTAAATTTCATAAATAAATCCCCTTTATCTTCATTTTTATTTATATTTTATAAAATTTAAAAAAATAATAATAATTCACGTGCTAGAATGTAATTGAATTTAATATGATTTTTTTTATAAAAAAAAAATAATTATAAATGGTACTCCTTCCATCCTACGTATCATGTCATATTTTTTATTTTCGTCCCGTCCACATATTATATTACTTTTTTTTAAAAAAAAATATTTTACTTTTTAATCATATTTTAAATTTTTATTAGATTAATTAGTTATATTAACTTAATCTATTACTATTTGTATTGTATTTTAATTAATTTTATCAATATATTTTTAATTATTTATTAATCAAATTTATTTTAAATTCTAGTGTCAACGATAACTCTAACACTATATCTTAAATGAAAAAAGTACTAAAATTTTTAAAAATATCTGTATAAACAAGATCGTATCTTAAAAAACATTAATAAAACATTTAGGTTACCGAACCTTCTCGGCCCTATCACGGAGGAGGCTAGAGTATGAGCGATCTCCGGCGTTCTCGAACACTATACTGGCGGCGGCCATGGCGGCCGCCATTTCACCGGAAACTTCCGAGCCGGGCTTTGTTTTCGTGACCGCGTAGACGGTCCGAGGAGTGTCCATGTCTTCGGGCCTTTCCCAACAATTGTGGTCGGCTTTGGGATCGCCGACCTGCGCATAAACAACGCCGGGCTTTGCTGTGCATTTTATAAAGAAATCCGTCGCCCACCGGAGGGCCTCCATGGCTAGTGGAAGATCACGGCCCATAACACCGCCGTATTCCAAAATGGACCACGCCAACATTGTTCCGGTGTACGCCATCGGAAAATGGAATTTTACGTTGTCGCCGGCGTCGTAGTATCCACCGACCAAGTCGACCTGTCAAATATATCACATTTAATATCTATTTTTCATCGAAAATAAACTATTAAAAATCTACTTTTATTTTTTAAAAAAAAAAAATCAAAAGAAAAGCAAATACATCCAATTTATTAAGCAATCTATAAATTTTTTTATATAAAAAATAATAATAAATGTTACTGTGTCTATATATATATATATGTTCGATTATCATTTTATCATATACTTTCTCCATTCACTTACAAAGTAAACATTTATTTTTGGCGCAGAGTTTAAGAAATAATAGTATTTTAATTCTAGTAATAGTATTTTAATTTTAGTAGATAGTTAAAAGTAGTGTAATGATATTTTTTGTCTTTACTTTTTAGTGTAAAAGTAATGATGCGATATAAAGTAAAAGTATTTGTGAAACAAATGAAGTATGTAATAAAATATTTATTTTGTAATTGGACGTCCTAAAATAGAAATATGTATACTTTCTAACTTGATAGAAAATAATTTTTTGCACGATCCTATATTTAGATATTGTAAATTATCTTTTTCACTTGTTTTTATTTTAAAATTTAGAACTTATGATTTTATGTGAAGTTTCTTTATTTTTAAGAGAAAGAAAAAATAAAAATCACAAGTAATAATAAGTGTGTTAATTTGATTATGATCTGAATTCAAAATTAATGTTATTCAATCTGTATAACTTTCAATAAAAATATATTAATTTTTAATAAAATATAATATCAAAATATTATTTAAATTAAAATTCAAATAAAAATATATGATCAAACTCAAGCCAAAATCAAACAAATTAGATAAGTTATAGTAATTTATAAGATCAAAACTTCACAATATAAAATTATATGATAAAAGTGATAATCGAACATCTGTTAAAAAAACAGACTTACGCCCTTGTATTTGCCGTCATTTAGACCGGAATCCTTCCGCCATTTGAGGCGTTGCGACGGCGGGATTTTCCCGGAGCGTTGGCCTTCGAAAAACAGTATACTTTTCGACAATGCTTGGGCATAATTAAATTTCGATTTCTTTGCAAATTCTGTATAACTTATAACACAAGGTAATAGTAATATGCAAGATATTATTATAAGGTTTTTCATTTTATTCATATATTATGAATACAAATATTAATATGGTTATGTTTCTCTGTGTGTATATGTATTTATATATATATATATAAAACGAATAGTGTTTAGATATGTTTTGAAATATTTTTATTTTAAAATTATTAATGACTAACAAAATAAAAATATTGTACTTACTATGAATTGTAGCATAATTAACAACAATAAATATCAAATATAATTTTTCTACAAAAATAGTACGTTGAATTAAATATATATCAAAAATAAAAGACAATTTGAACCATATCAATGTTTTAAGGAAAGTAATAAATTGTTGATGCAAAAAAGGAATCAAATTTAATAGTAAATAATAATATATATGGATTTTTATTTTTTTTTCAAATAAAATTTTTAATATCCATTTTCAATAAAAATATAATATTTTTTTATATATAAAGTATAATATTAAAATATAATAAAAATTGAAATTGAAATATTTATCTTGTATTTTTTAAGTTATTGCTTTTAAAGTTTAATAAAGATTATCAACATTAATAAAAATAGAAATTATAAATAATTATAATTTACATGACTAAATTGATACCTATGTATATATAATTAAAGGGGTTACTTTCTTTATTTAAATTTGAAATTATTAATTTTGATTTGTTTACTTAAATATGAATAGTTAAGTAAGTGAAATCAGATTTGATTTTATTTGTGTCTATCTCCAATATTTATTTTAGTCAAACCAATTTAATACAATTAATTAATTTTTAATTTTTGTTTTTATTTTAATTTTATTGAAAATTGCAATTATAGTGGAAATATAACTATAGCAACCAATTAATATAATAATAATTATTATTTTGCCATATATATATATAGCATAAATTATATAACACTATTTTGTTTTAGTAAAAATACATAACACCACATGTTTTATTTACTACGTGAAATTTTCTTATATTAATGTAAAGTTTGCAAGAAATATCATTTTCGGCCAAAATTAATATTTGATTGTAATTATGAATCTAATAATGCAAGTTTTATACAAATATTAATAAAAAATACCTTAAATATTTTTTAAATAAAATAAATAAATAAATAATTGATTAATCATTCATGTTATAGTTTTTTTGAGATAAATTATTATATGATTTCTACAAAAATTATAAAAATAAAAATAAATGATTGGTCAATTATTTATTTATTTATTTTATTAAAAAATTATTCAATATATTTTTTATATATTTTTTTTATATAAAATTTATGTAATTTAAGTTTTTATTTAGACTAAACATCAGCTTTGGACAAGAAGAGTGTTTCATATAAATTTTATATTAACATAATGGAATTTCATGCAATAAATAAAATACGGAGCATTTTGTACATTTTTACTATAATAGAATGGAATGTTATATAATTTATCTATATATATATATATCCAAATCTAAATTTTTATCAATAATATTACTTATGGAGATAATTTTGATTGTTATATAGAGAAAATAAACTAAGCTTATCTCCACCTACATCCAAAAAAAAAAAAGAATTACAAATAAAATCACATAAATACTTTTATATATATATATATATATAATAATTTATATACAAATTTGTACATTCAAGATCTATTTACACCACTTGAAATATTTAATTGTTTACTATTTTAAAAATTTTATAAAATTTCAAAAGGAAAAAATCAAATATTATATATCTAAACCGAGTCCAATTGTATTGTTGCTTTTATTTTGCTAACCACTATATAATTTTTTAAGGACAAATTGTTTTTTTAGTCCCGTAATTGGACCCTTTATCATTTTAGTCCCGTAAGTGGAGCCTGTCGCAAACTAGTCCCATAAGTGAAAAATTTTCGTTGTTTTAGTCATCCGGCGCCGGAGATGCCTGTGTGGCTCGCCGGAGGTGACGTGACACGTGGATTTTTTTTATTTTTAATTTTTTTAAAAAACTTATTTTTAATTTATTTTAAATTTTATTTTTATTTTTTTTATTTGGTCAAATTAAAAAAATTAAAAAAATAAAAGAAAAATGAATAAAAAATAAAAAAAAATCTGCGTGTTCGCCAGGTGTCGCTGACCTGGCGGACACGTCACCTCCGGCGAGCCACACGGGCGTCTCCGGCGCCGGAGGACTAAAACAGCGAAAATTTTTTACTTATGGGACTAGTTTGCGACAAACTCCACTTACAGGACTAAAACGATAAAAGGGTCCAATTACGGGACTAAAAAAAACAATTTACCCTAATTTTAAATATTTAATCATTCTTTAAAATTGGCATGTAATAAAGGAATTGATATTTTGTTTGTTTGTTTTCGGCCTTGGGATTTTGCTGGCTTTTTAAAAATGGGCCCATTAATGTAATTGCTTTGAATTATTTTTTTTTGAGTTAATTTATATTTGAATTTTTATTAAAATTAAAATATTATACTCCCTCCGTCCCATAATTACTTATCAATTTATTTTTTATAAAAAATTTTAAAAATACTAATATTATATTGAAATGTAGTAGAAATAAAATAGAAATGACTAAAATAACCTTATTAGTATTGTGCGATATAAAAGTAACGATATCTATATAATATATTGTAAATGGTAAGAGTATTTGTAATATTAGGTAGATAGTACAGTTACTAAAAAAAATGAATATTTTGTTATGAGACGGACTAAAATGGAAAAATGAATAGCTTCTTATGGAAAAATAATACTCCCTCCGTCCCAAAAGTATAATCTTATTGTGTTGGACACGAGATTTAAGGAATATTGATATTATATTGGTAATTGGAAAAAATTAAGGATAAATGACTTTTTTGCTCCTGCGAGTATATTAGTGTAAAAAGTAGTGACAATTGTGTAATAATAATAAAAAAATATGAATAGTTAGTTTTCTGGTGATATGATTATTTATGGAAATGAGACTATTATTTTGGGACGAAAAAAATAGTAAACAAAACTATTGTATTGAGACGGAGGGAATACTTTTTAAAATTACTGTACAATATACACATGCATTAAATTAAAATAGTATATAATACATATATTTTATCAATTTACAAAAATTTAATAATTCAATATAAAAATTTATTTTTATATTATCCATATAACTTCATACCCAACATAAAAAAAAAAAAAAAAAAAACATACAAAATAAATAATATATGTATTTCTTGAAATTTAGACTGTTAGATGAATCCATTAATTAACCAAAATATTACTCTCTCATGTCTCTTATCTATCTATCAATTTACTTTTTGCATGGAGTTTTAAAAATATTAGTATTATATTGGGATGTAGTAAAAATAAAAATAAAAAAACTAAATTAACCCTATTAGTATTGTATGATATAACATTTGTGTAATATATTGTAAATTGAAAGGGAATTTGTAACGTTAGATAGACAATACAATTACTTAAAAAAAAAATGAATACATTGTTAAGGGACATACCAAAATAGAAAGATATATGGATTGATAAGGAATGCAGAAAATACTATTTGACATGCTACAGTTAATACTTATAAAATAATACTCCAATAATATTTATGTTTTTAATTTCAACACGAAAGAAATCAAACAAATATTTTTATCCAAAGAAAACATTAATGCATTTAATATAAAATATTGTGTGTTTAATTTTTATTTCAAATAAAAAATACAATTATTGAATCTGCATAGTTTATTAATAATTTTTTTTCATAAATTATTATATCAAAATATTATTAAAACAAAATTTTGAATCAATATTTTATTTAAAATTAATTTTATATTGCAATTAAAAAATTCTGAAAGTTGCATTAAAATAAAAAAATCCAAATTAAGAATATAAAATAAAGGGGGGAAAATTTTCAAGAACGGTCTCATTGAACCAAAATCATCAATTTTAATTTCAATAATAATAAAAAGTCATCAGAATTATATGACTATTCTTTTTTTTTTTTTTTTTTTTTGATAACATGAGAAAGTGTGCGCACCGGGTAAATTCTCGTCCGAACCTAATACCTTGCAAACCAGGTTCGACGGAAAAGTCATACTAGACGAACCATGTGTGGCAGGTGGACCTAAGGTATACGGCCGATTACATTTCGAACACAGTTGTATGTGTTAGGTCAAACTGGTGCTAACTAATGATCGTCCGTACCAGATGCTACATTGATCCTACTATAGTAACATTAGCTTCGTTAGTTTTTAAAATAAAATTTGATTAAAATTATTTATACTGAAATTAAAAAAGATGATTTTTATTTTTATATTTGAATTAAAATTGATGATTTTTTTTTAAAAAAAAAAAAATTTATTTAAAACTTTTTTTTTCCTATTAAGTGGTTAGGATGGACCCGGGATGATAACAAATTAATGGGCTTACATTGGGCCCATATTAAAATTTAGAATCAGGCTTCAGCATAAACTTAAAATCGTACGGTGCTTGACTATGTCCTCATATTTGTTTATTTGTCTTGGAATTGGATTTTTATATCGAAATTAATAAAAATAAAAATAAAATTTAATATATTATATATCAGCGTACATGTAATATTTTAAATAAAAATTTAAATTTTAATATAATACTTTAAATAAAAAGACCAATATTATTTTCCTTAAAAAATACTGAAATAAATAATACAGTACGGATGGCCGCAACCGGCCGTCGTTTCGCCCCCTAACGTCGACAAAATCATCGGAGGGAGACCTTAGAGACGGACTTCACCGATTGCCATTCGTATGAATACCTAACCTCAGTATGGTTTTTTAGTATTGAGATCATCAGTTTTTACTATTCATGCAAGGCTATCGTAGCACCAGTTGAAAATGCGACGTCGCACGTCAAATAGCCTTGAAAACGAGTCGAAGGGTCGAGCATCGCTTCGACAAATTCCATCCACCGTAGCTATTGCAACCGCAACAAGAACAATGGGGAAGATACGGCGATAATCGCAATTCCTTTTCCGGGCTCATGTCATCCACCTCGCGATTGTATCGACGATAGCTTTGGCTCGAGCAACAAAGACAACAAAAAAGCGTCGTAAACGACCAAAAAAAAGCTCTCTCAAGATATGTTGTTTTCCCGGTCATTTAACTCCCGACGTATAGTTTCGAATACCATTTCGTTCCAGGTATCGACGGGTCCGGGCATGCACCAGTGGAGGCAATCCTGGGGCGGGGGCTTCCCGTCGGGGCCTCGCGTAGTTTTCTTCTTAGGATCGGGGCTGCGGTACGGACCCGGATGCCCGTCGTGGCGGTACGAGAACGCTTTCGTGATATCCATGAATATCATTTTCGACTTGTTGGTTTTCTTCTTCGTCGCAACGTCAAATTCCGTCAACTGTTTCTCGTGCATTACATTAGTGAATCCACTTTCGACAAGCTCTTCTTCTACGGCTGGCCTCACCTTCCCGGTGCACGATCCTCCCGTGTTCCAGTTTCCGCCCTCGTAATGATCGGGCGAATAGCTGCGGACAATGGTGAGACCCGTGTAATTCGGATGGGTTCCAAGGGCGGCGAGAGTCGTCTCCACAGATATCCGGAAAGCTTCGATGTTGTCTATCTTTCTTTTTCTCGATTTGTCCGGCCACCATAGCTGTCCTCCGACGATCTCGTTGTTGAGTATGTAAACCGACTGCTTCGCAAACCAGTGGCCGGAGGAGAGGACGAGCACGTCGAAGCTCGTGGTGTGTTTCATAAAGGTCTCGTCGGGTATGTCTAGGTGGATCTTTACGACGCCGGCAGGTGCGTAGTCGAACGGTTCGGAAGTTTGATGAACCAACCAAGATGACCACATTCGAACAATCATTGTAGACGTCGACCTGAAATAGTAGCGGTGCATTTTTTTGTTGCCTCGATTTTTTGGAACTTCAACCTGTAGATGAAAACAACCGCATTCGATTCTCTTATATATATATATTATACGTATGGAATCGTATTAGACGAGGGATTTCTCCGAACCTGCCATAAGATGCACAGCATCGACTCCATTTGATTCCTGGCAACTGAATCGCCAATGAAAGCCAGCGTTTTTCCTCTCATTAACTCAAGGAATTTCTTCGGGTCGAACCTAGGGAGCTCACATTGTGAAGGCTTCCATCTCCAATTTTCGTAATTTTTGTCAGGTCTTCCATTCCCCTGACAATTCTGCATCTGCGTGAGCACGGGACAGGAATTGTTCGAGTATAAAGGTCCGGTCGGGTCATAAACCCAATTTCCATGATACAAATTGCAACCTGAAATATAATCAAGATAAGATTTTCAACATGGAGCGATCTACACGGTCTTATAAAAATACGGATTCTCTCGAACTAAACTTATTCATGAACCTAGAGGCAGGTACGGAACAATTAGAACCCGTCGTGAGGAAATGAAGAACGACATATTTGGAAAGCTATACGAATGAATTTATGCATCGAGTTTCTTGATGCAATACAAATTCTCCTTTGTGATTTAAAAACTTGCACGCAATTCCCTTGTGTCTTTGAAAATATTGCTCAAAATCTCTCTATATTCGAAAACACGAGGGGTGCTAATACAAATTCAAGGAAATTCTGTGCAGTTCATTTTAAAAAAAAAAAACACTAGGAAAACTCAAACAGTTTCTAAATCATGAAAGAGTACGGCAAAACTTTCCAAACTTCGGGTGGATTCTAAGCAGTTTTGCCTAAAATTTTTTGACAACTACCAATAAATAGTCAAAGCAGAAACATTACACTATTCTTGAGCAATTTTCAGTCAAGTTACCATTCAACTAATTTAAACATCTCAGTTATACCAAGAACGTATACACCTCGACTAACAAGCACAAAACTAATAAGGAACACAAAAGTTGGAAAATAGACAAAAGTGCTAAAATCATGAGAAGGCTAAATGTTCCCAGTCGAAAAATGTCAATACCTGAATCTACTACACCAGCTCGAGCTTCTGTTGTCGAAGTTTCTTCTCCCAATGCTCCGCCAGATACAGAAGATCCGTTGCCGTGCTGAGAATTTACATTACTTACATTAACCCCCGAAACTGTTGAATTTGTTATCCCTCCATCTTCAATTGATGCCATGTCCTCAGCTTCACCAGATGCCACAGATCTATCGACATGCTGAGAATAGAAATCACTCACATTACCCCCCAAACCCGTTGAATTCAACGACCCTCCTACAAATGTACTAACAGTGTCATTGGGCTCATGAATTGGCTGGCTAACGGCAGGCTTTAATTCAACATTTCCGATGCTATCAACACCATAAAAATACCCACGAACCAGTAGCGTAGATACAAAAATCAAGAACAAAGCAAGTCCTCCGACCACAGGGACAATAGACAACACTGTCTTTGGATAAACAATTTGTGTCGAATCTTTAGTCGAAGATGTCGGCATCGCTCTCTATACAGAATTACACACTGTCTATTCACTACAAATACATTTCTGCATCTTCCAAAACTCACAGGGGAAGCCAATTCCCAGGCAGCTCCTAACACCGATAATCGAAAACCTTATGAACAATGAATTCACAACAAAATCATCCCTTAATGTGACAATTTTGCTTTCTAAAATAAACTCTGTGCAGTTCTATACACAGACAACGTCAATTAGCAATGAAACTACAGAAAATTGGCAATTATCTTCCAAAGCTCCAAAACAGCAATCAAAGTAAACCTAGCAACTGCAAACAGCAAAATATATAACAATCAACGAGGATTTAAAACGATTTAACATTAATCTATCAAATAACGGATATGAAACCACAAAAATTCGGAACGGATGAACTTAATCAAAAACCTCATCTACAATCCAATCCAAGTAACAAACAAATCCACAAAATTCCATACCTTGGAATCAATCGGGATCGAACACAAAACTCAAAATCAATTGCCGAATCTAGAACTAAAGCAATCGCCGCGGAAAGTGATGATCGAGCCCAAACAACTGCCCGACAATCATTTGGCACTTTCAGCAACTGCGGAAGAAGTGGAAAGCATTCAAGGCTACACAAAATGCCCAACACATCGTATATAATCTTCTTTCACGGGAATATATTTACGGTGCAAGAAACTTTAAAACTAGGAAACTGTTGCCTATCGAACTCCCACCTACAACTACTACCACTCTTCTTGAACGTGGCTTGGGATTTCTTGTGGAGTTGAAGGCCCGCGGGCCGGATCGTAGGCCCATCCATTGTTTGGTTGAAAAATGAAACTTGTTTTCTACATCAATGGACATTTTGACTTTATTTATTTTTTTATAGCTATTTTCTTAGAAATATATATGGTATTTTGTTGTATTCTCAGATTAAATTAAAATTAAATATTAACTATTTTTATTTAGGCTTTCAAAAAATTGATAATCTCAGATTTTTCAATAAAAATTTTCTAAAATCAAATGTTGCAGGTTAGAGTTCAACTTGCATAACATTTCAATTTTTTATTTTTTTTTTTAAGTTAAAAAGTAAATTTTCAAGGAAGTTAAAAAATAGACAATATAATGTTAATGTAAATTTACTTGGTTCTAACAATTGATATCAAAACTTGGTTAGAAGAAATTACTTATCAAAGTGGACTGAATGACATAATAGATTAACCACTCCCTAATTGAATTTATAAACTAATAGGACATATAGGATGTGTTTGTTTGGGTATTGGATTTAATATACACTATTGATTTTATTTTCCCCAAAAATATCAAATTAAATACTTATTTTTCTATTTTTTATATTATACTAAAAATCAATTTTACATTTAAAAATCACATCAAACACCTATTTATATCACATTATACAACTATTCAAATTCAAAATTTTTACTATTCAAGTCCCAACTCAAACCCAAACTTCCAAACAAACACACCTAGAATAAATTCTTCTACTCAATCAATCAATCAATTTATTACTTTTTCAAACAAATATATAATTACCGACTCAAATATTCGAGTAGTGATGTGTAATTGCTAAATCAATATAGAATTTGATTATGATAAAATATTAAATAAAACCAAATTACTTAAATTTTACAAATATCAATTAACCAAAAAGATTTAGTTCATAGAATCATATATAAACAACAATTATTTTTTAAAAATATACAATAGTACGTGATTTATCAAAAATAATTTAAAATAATATTTTGATTTAAATTTTTGTTTAAATAATATATAAATATTGTTTTTATATAAAATTATAATATATTTTTATTAATAATTTTACAAAATAGATAATATTAATATAAATATAAATTAAAATAAAATAAACTCAAACACTTTCTCATAAAAATTAAAAAAAAAAGTTAATATACCTATTTATTATTTTTATATCATTTCACAAAGCACGCCCATTTTCTGTTTATAAAAAATTTCATAATGCTATATATATATACTACTACTCGTACGTGGCGTAACGCCACCTGACCAATTTCTAATGTAAGAAATTTTAGAGTGATCAAATGAAGATGTGAAAATAAATGAATATAGACAAATGATTGGCGGAATTGCATTTGGACTGCACTAATGAATTGTCCAATCCCAATGGTGAGAGCTATCCATGCTTGTATTATAACTTATCACATTTTTGTATTCATTATTTACCTTCAATCTCACATGTTACACCAACCTCTTGTCATACTATGTCCAAATATAATGATTTGCAACTAATGTCTAATATTAACAATCAATACATAAACTCAAACAAAAGTTTTTTTTGGGTTGCTATGCAAGCAACAGATCGAAATTCTTTTCTTTTTGTTTTTGTTTTTTTTTAAATATCTTTTTAAATTATAATTTTTTTAAGTTTCTTAAGTAATAAATTATAAACAAATATATTTTTTATCTCTGTGCAACAAACCAATTTTTTTTTTTAAAAAAATATTTTTTTTCGGATAATTTTTTTTCTATTTTATTAAAAAAATATTTTCTACAAAATGATATATATACTGAATTGGTCGGATGACAAAGAGGAGAATAACCGTCCAGTAAGTAGTCGGTTGGAGAAGAAAGAAAATAGAAAAAAAATATAATAAATTATACTATTGTTGAGTAAAAAAAAAAACAATGTGCAGGGTTTTCAAGAATGGACCTAGGACTGTGAATTGGTGTATAGTTCAATGGGTTTGTTAATTGGAAGTGAGATCCTAAATGGGTTCGAACATAAGCCAAACGGCCCAAAAGTCGGGCAAAAGGAAGTCGGGCAAAGAAAGATGAGAGGGCAGACGCGGATGTCAGACAAGATAAGGTCGGCCGAAGAAAGATGAGATGACAGACGCGGAGGTCGGACAAGATAAGGTCGGGCGAAAAAAGATGAGATGACAAACACGGAGGTCGGACAAGAGAAAAGGTCTGTTAATTGGTCGGGTGAAGAAAAGGTCTGTTGGTTGGTCGCTTAATCAAGCGACCTTTTAATCGCTTGATCGATTGGCCGGTCGCTTGGTCAAAACAGTAGTTCAGTCGCTTGAAAGGGCGGTCAGTTGGGGCGACCAATGAATCGTCTGGACGATTGGTTGTTCGGCCGTTTGAAGGGACCGGATGTTGGTCGCTTGATTGGGCGACCAATGAATCGTCCGAATAAATGGTTGTTTGGCCGTTTGAAGGGACCTGATGCTAGTCGACTGATTGGGGCGACCAATTAATCGTCTAGACGAATGGTTGTTCAGCCGATTGAACGGACCAGATGGTGGTCGCTTGATTTGGCCAATGAGTCGTTTGGTCTAGCGACCAGTTAGTATCTAGATTGGTCAATTGGTCAATCGTTGGGTTATTCGGTAGGTTCAATCGGTTTATTTCTCTACAGGCTAACCGACTGAACCTACCGAATAACCCAACGATTGACCAACCAGCCAACCCAAAGACTAACTGGTCGACTCATCGGCCGGCTCATCAAGCGACCACCATCTGATTTCTCCAATCGGCTGAACAATGAATCATCCAGATGATTCAATTGTCGCCCAAACCAAGCGACTGAACTACTGTTTACTTAAGTATACAACCAATTAACAGACCTTTTTCAACCAACCTCCGTTTCAACCGTCCTTCTTCGCCCAACTTCCTCTTTCAACCGACCTCTGTGTCTGATCTTATCTTGTCCGACCTCTGTGCCCGACTTGATCACGTCCGACCTCAATGCCCGACCTTATCAGGTCTGACTTCCGTGCCCGACTTGATCACGTCTGACCTCAGTGCCCGACCTTATCAGGTCTGAATTCCGTGCCCGACCTGATCACGTCCGACCTCAGTGCCCGACTTGATCACGTCCGACCTCAGTGCCCGACCTGATCACGTCCGACCTTAGTGCCCGACCTCATCAGGTCTGACTTCCGTGCCCGACCTGATCACGTCCGACCTCAGTGCCTGACCTGATCACATCCGACCTCAGTGCCCGACCTTTTCTGGTTCGACTTTCGTGCCCGACCTTATCACGTCCGATCTCCGTGCCTGACCTTATCTTGTCCTACCTCTGTGCCCGACCTTATCTTGTTCGACCTCTGTGCCCGACTTTATCTTGTCCGACCTCCGTGCCCGACCTTATCTTGTCCGACCTCCGTGTCTGCCGTCTCATCCCTCTTTGCTCGACTTCCCTTTTCTGACCGTCTTATCCCTCTTTGCCCGACTTCCCTTTTCTGACCGACTTCCGTATCAGGCCCCTTGGATTATACATCAATCCAATTTATACACCCTATATATTCTTATTATTATTCTTTTCTTTTACTTAACAATAATAAATTATATAAATATATATTTTTTATATTTGTTCAACCAACGAATTATTAAAAAATATATATTTTTTTGGATAAATTTTTTTCTATTTTATTAAAAAATTATTTTCTACAAAATGATACATATACTGAATTGGTCGGATGACAAAGAGGAGAACCGTCCAGTAGTCGGTTGGGATAGAAATATGAGAGAGAAATTTTTTAACTAAATTACTGCAACCAACTATTTTTTTAAAAAAGAATTAACTTTTTTTTTTTAATTAATTTTTAATTATTTTAATTATTTTTTGAATTTGAGTGAATTGGACGGTTACCCCTTGAGACTGGCCTCAATTCGGATGTCTTCTATTTCTGTAAGATCAGCCGACTAGTCGGATCAATTTTTTTTTTTGCGTGTCCAAAATTCAAAAACCACTGCATTAGTTTCAAATGCATTTTTTTTTTATTATTATAGCATTATAATATTGTAACTAAGTTATTGTATTATAAAAAACGTTACTATCTACAAAATGATATCCATATCAATATATTTTTGTACAAGTAAATCATTACAAAATAGCAAATTGAATTGAAAAAACACAACTGTCAAAAACATCCAATGTCTTCAGTATAACTGACAACGTGGGGTTTATTGACAAATTTAGTCATACTTGTCCACAATATTACCAATACGTACAACTGATGTAAAAATACACTATTTCAGTATTAAGGGTAATGTAGTAAAAATAGGTTATCATTCGTACACCTTCTCATATATATATATATTTCAGTGTGTATATATATGTTTCTTGATATATCTATTTGGAAGTCATGGCTGACATATTTCAACGGTCAATTGTACGGTTCGGTGAGAGTCACTCCAAAGCTCCAGTCCAGTCCCGTCCAGGGTTTAGAAGAGGGCTGAAAAAACCCTAATCCCCAAATTCTCTACCACCCAATTCGCCTGCACTGCAACTTCAATTGCCCAGACATGAGCTTCGCGGCCTACAAGATGATGCATTGGCCTACCGGCATCGACCACTGCGCGTCGGGCTTCATAGCGCATTCCGCCGCCGATTTCGCGCCAAGAATCGCCCCGGCAGCCGTCGACGACCTGGAGTCGGAATGGCCCGCATCCAAGAAGCCAATTGGCCCAATCCCTAATCTCATTACGGCTGCTGCCAACGTTCTTGAAGTATACACTGTTAGAATCCAGGAGGAGTTTTCTTCTGCAACGGACTCCAGGGCTGCCGCGGAACCCAAGCGCGGAGGTGTTTTGGCCGGCATTTCCGGCGCTTCTCTTGAGCTCGTCTGCCATTACAGGTGTGTATCAGTCATCTGAACCGTGCACACACTCACGCACAGGCAATACTGGTAATTTGGATTTGGAAGTGGAGCGTTGCCTTCTCCAGATTGTTGGAATGGGCGCTCTTTTCGGCTTTTCTTTTTCAAGAAAATTCATTGTAGGATCGTGACACAAGAAAGAACTCATTATTGGACAAGATTTTTGCGATTTCAATTGGTTATTTATGTGATTGTATTCTGAAGTTCTTTTCTGTCATGAGTCACTCTCAATAATTTCTGAATGTATCTTTATTATCTGAATAGCAATGGTCTGTGGTGCTACAAGGATCCCGGCAGTTTGGGACTTAGAAATCTCTTCATTTAAGTTTAATTATCTCCTTTGCACAAGGATGATTTTTTCAGTGAAGTGGTACTGCATTACGTGAATACGTTATGTGAACATGTATATCTGTCAGTTAATTATTCATCAGGTTACACATATATATATATACATATATTCTATTTAACAAAACCACTTACTTATTATGTATGTTCTTGAATTTCTAGGTTGCACGGTAATGTTGAGTCACTGGGGATTTTACCTTCTGGAGGGGGTGATGGGGGAAGGAAAAGAGATTCTATTATATTGACATTTCGAGATGCAAAAATTTCAGTTTTGGAGTTTGATGATTCGATACATGGGCTTAGGACGAGGTGAGCTTTATACTCATATTCTCATTTCGTTCCTGCATTCAAGAACTTTCTTTTTTTAAATATTTCTGAATCAGTAGTTTCTGTATTCAAATACTGGTGTCATAGCTGTCCCAGATATATATTTTAAAAATTCTTCAACATGAGCATTCCAGGATTTTATATTTATCTTATGAAAGGAAATGCTTGTACATAAAACAATCTCAGAGTTACGAATCATCATGAATTATAAAGAATGCATCTTGTTTCTTGCATTCAAGGTTGACTTTTCCGCTTAATTTAGATGGTTAGTACATTAGTTTTTTTTGTCCCTTGCATGGCTAATTATCTACTACATGGTTTCAAATTCATTCTGCATTAAACTGAATGCAATTTCTGAAAAATTCATGTTAACTGTACCTTAATCTTGCTGATCTGCTCTTTCAGTTCAATGCACTGTTTTGAGGGTCCTGATTGGCTGCATTTGAAACGAGGCAGAGAATGCTTTCCGAGAGGCCCTTTAGTAAAAGTTGATCCATTGGGGAGGTGTGCTGCAGTTCTCGTTTATGGTTTGCAGCTGATAGTACTTAAGGCAGCTGAGGTTTGGATTTATGTTGAGTCTATTGTTTGTTAGACCTTTACAAATTCAAAGGCCTCTTTTGTTTCTCAAAAGTTCAGAATATTTATTTTATTTGTTGCATGTTTGTGCATAACTACACCCAGTGCTCTTTCCTAACAACTTTGGGTTTTATTAGAACTTTATATGTGATTGGAAATGATGAGTATTCCCATTTTTGAGTTTTGTGGCTTGACAAATTTCAGCAGGGTCCCTGCCTTCAAGGCTATACCTTTTATCTTTGTGTATTGGTCATGTATGCATATATTGAGTACTGAAATTTTTGGTTAGGCAAGTTCAGGTTTAGTTGGTGAGGACAGCTCTTTAAATGCGGGTCCTGCTACTGCTTCTCGCATTGAATCGTCATACATTGTTGGGCTCCGGGATCTTGACATGAAGCATGTGAAAGATTTTATCTTTTTGAATGGTGAGGATTCTAACTTTATCTCTCTTTATTCTCATTTTCTTTTGACATGAATATTCTAGTGTGGCTACATATGTATTTCTGTTGTCTTATATACCCTGGACAGTCTGTTGTAGGAAACCTCCTTACCATTGCAGTTCTACTATTATTAGTTTGTTGGAATGTATGCTTCAGAAATCAATTGACAGTCCACCCACCAAATTAAGCATGCAACATGCATGCTTGCTGTCCCTTGAGTACTATATGTGTGATTTCTGCATTATGCTCTGATTTTTTAGGAGTTTATGAAAGGTGAAGTTACTAAGTTAGGCATGAACTGAGTTACAATGTTCGCACAGATCCCCACGTCACTACCTTTTTTGTACCCAGATAAACCTCTTTTATGCATGGAAAGGTGTTAGGTTTCAGAAGGGTATTACAGATTTTGTTACTGGTTTGGATCTTTTACAGGTTGGTGTTCTTGATTTTCCTCTAGATTGGCAATTGATGCTACAAATAACACTTGGACAATTTAGTTGGGCTTTAAGGTTTATATAAATGTTGATCTACAACTCTTTACAAGTAAAACAATATTATTAGTGTTTATTCTGGGTAACCTAATTGAAAGCATCCATCTGAACCGCTGAATTGCTGGGCATTGTTACTTTGCAAGATAAGATTCAGCATGTTTGGAAACACATTTCTAGTTAAAAGTTTTATTTGCAACTCATCCTATAAAAACTATGATGCCAAAGGAGAACACTTGCATGCTAGTCCTTGGAAAATCTTTGAAGCACCTTGCTCAGTGCCTATTCTAAGAGTATAGTGTTTAAAGATTTTTATTTTGCTTTTAGATCCAGAACTAAGGTATAGTATAGCTGAAGATGTATCTTTTTGGCAATTTATCAGTCTTTCCATCTTGATTTTTGATTGTGAAATACTTAATATTTACAGGTTACATTGAGCCTGTTGTAGTAATTCTACATGAACAGGAGCTTACATGGGCCGGTCGTGTCTCATGGAAACATCACACGTGTATGATATCTGCACTCAGCATCAATACAACTCTAAAGCAGCATCCACTCATATGGTCGGCAATTGTAAGTTATATTTGAAACTTGCACTTATTGAAAATTGTATAGTGTGGTATATATTAGTGGAATGAGACTCTACTAAGAGCTGAGGATTATTCTAAAATTAACACTCTCCGCAAAATAACTTATTAGCTGTTCTCATGAGGGGAAGAAATTGATTTCCTCTTCCGCATCTTATGTTTTGATTAGGAATCACAGTTATTGGATCTATTTTCCTCATACCTCACTCATAAAGGTTGCTTTTTATTCAACATTAAAATCTAGCCAGAATAATTTTGAGTTTGTTACTTTCTTCTCTATAGTAGAGTAAACTATCTTTAAACGTACTGAACATTGATCATGTGAAAGTTCTTTGTTTCTATTTTGTTATCAGAATCTTCCTCATGATGCATACAAACTCCTTGCTGTTCCATCTCCCATTGGTGGAGTTCTCGTAATTTGTGCAAATACAATCCATTACCATAGTCAGGTTTGCCACTTTCATATTGCCTTATTTCCTACCCCATTTAATTGCATTTTCTCCCATTTACATGCTTTTTCTTTTTGTCTCATTCTCTCTCTCTCACTCACTCACTCTCTCTCTCTATAATTAATTGGACAGTCAGCATCATGTGTCTTAGCATTGAACAATTTCGCAGTTCCTTTTGATGGCAGGTGATGCTTAATTCCTTTATTCTTTATTTTCACTCCTTTCTTGTAATTACATTGATTCATGCTTTTGGATACAACTTTTCAAGTTTTAATTTTCTTTTACTGCAAGTGCATTCTAGGGTTGAGTTGGGTTTTTCTTTTTGAGATATGTACTTTCTTTTCTTTTGTGTGCTTTATTTATTAAAAGGATTTGGGTGTGTACAAACTATGTTTAGCTTGCCAAGTTTTCACAAATTAATGAAATACATCATCAAGAATGTTTAGCTACCGGATTTCAGACTTCAGTTTACCCCATTTTTCAGAATATTTTGATATGATGAGGGTTAGGTATATCAATCAATGAGTCTTAGTAAGGCTGATAATACTGATGCACTGCTTTATTTTCCTACAGTGATATTTTCAAACACCGAGATAGTGAGATAATACTTGTTGAAAACATGGAATTGAGTGGTTATATCTCTGTCCTGCTTTCTTTCTTTTTTTGGCAAATCAATATTTCATTTCTGATGCATTTTTCACATCCTCTTCAGTCAAGAAATGCTTAGATCAGGTTTCACTACAGAGCTTGATGCTGCAAATGCAACGTGGTTAGCAAGTGATGTTGCTGTATTTTCTTCAAAGTCCGGGGAGCTGCTTTTACTGACTCTTGTTTATGATGGGAGGTAGGTAACTTTCTGTTCTCCCATTGTTGTTTGTTTCATTCAATGTGAAGACTGCTTTGGGGTTAAGCTGCCCCTGCAACTGAAGAATAAGTCAATCTTATGGTTAATTTTGTGGAGAAATTGCTCCTGATAACTGAATTAGATCCGGAAATGTTACAATCCTCTCTGAACTTCTTTGGTTGTTGTTGTTAATATTCATATAAATATGCTGCCTGATTTTTTGTGGTTATATAAATGAAGATGCAAATAATGCAATATTATATAGTTGTCTTAGTGCAACATGGGTTGTTCTAAAAATTCTATTATTTCTGTCATCTGCATGCATTTTTTATTTTTATTTTATTTCTCAAGGAATCCTAACTTTGGGACATGCTGATGTGAACAGCTCCGGTTCTTATAAACAATTGTTAGGATTTTATTTTTAGTTTTTTAATGCATCCCCTCTCTGGACTAGATTTAGGCCCTCATAAGTCATAACGATGGTTGATGTTCATTCCATGTTGGGATGTAAATCTCCGTGGGTTAAAGTCCACTATAATGTTTTATGCCTTGCTTGTTTTGGCTCAAATTAACTTTGTACCTGTGGATATCTAGGAAGCTAGAGATCCACCAGCTGCTTCAAAATTGCTAAAGCTGCTAACAATGTGTACCAGTATTCAGTATTTGTAACATACGTAGCAGGGCTCTCTCCTATATTCTGGAAACTGTTATTCTTGATTATAATGTTTCTGTAAAATTATCTTTACAGAATGGTACAAAGACTTGAACTCTCCAAGTCAAGAGCTTCAGTACTTGCGTCGGTGAGCTATAATAGTTTCAGAAGTTCTTGCTTTTACCTTCTACTTGATGAAACAATTATGTGAAATTTATTTTTGCACTTAATTTCCTTTTCTGTTTTTATCTTTTATAGGATATAACTACAGTTGGAAATTCACTATTCTTCTTGGGCAGCCGTTTGGGTGATAGTCTGCTCGTGCAATATAATTCTGGAGTGGGAGCTTCGTCAATGACTTCTGGTGTGAACGAAGAGGTTCATCGTTTTTGTTATTGCATAGCTTCGATGAATAGAGATCCAAAAAATGTCACCTGCATTCTTAGTAGTATGGATGAAATAGTCTTGATCACTCAGTTTGAACACTGTTCATATTCCATGTTGACACACCCTTCAATTTTCTTAAGATTTGAATATCTGTTTATTCTACAGTTGGTGCATGCATACCTTTGTTGACAGTGTGCATTTTTTTAAAAAAAATTATTTTCTGTAGGATGAGGATATTGAGAGCGATGCACCTTTGACAAAGAGGTTGCGAAGGTCTCCCTCTGATGCATTGCAGGATTTAATTGGTGGCGAGGAGCTTTCTTTCTATGGCAGTGCTCAGAACAATGCTCAGTCCCCTCAGGTAAAAATGATTTAAGTGTGCTATATGATGATGATTTCAATGATGGCAGGTTCTTGATTTTAGAGGTGACTTATACTTTCTCTTCTCAACTCTATAGGATTTGACTGCAGTGCTTTTTCATCACACTCTATCTCTGAAGGATATTTATTAGTAAAAATGATGATTTTTCTTATTAATTTTATAAAAACAACTCTACATATTAAGTCTAATTACAACAATAACGATTAAAATGGAATTGAAACCTGGTTATACCTATGATGTTGTTGAAATTAGAATGCAATGTCGAAAAAACTTCATAAGGAGAATATGAAACAACAACAACAACCATCAAAATGGGATTACAGATTCATAGAACAACTATCCATATTAAGTGTTATTACGACAATAACCATCAAAATGGAGTTAAGACCTGATCGTATCCATAATGTTGTCTAAAATTAGAGTACAATGTAGATGATAACTTATGGGGAACATAAAAGTAATGAATCATACCATAAATAATTTCCACTTAAATAAACATTCCACCATTTCTAAGGAAAAATTCTAGACTTGCATTGTTGTCTTCTTGACTTCATATGAGATATCAGTATATGCATGATTCACGGACATTCTTTGTCTATGTACACACTATCAAAAGTACTAGTAGACTGCACTGTAGTGTATCAGTAAATCAAGAGATGTTAAGTGTGCCACTGGAGTTAATAAGGAAACCCAGTAAGCTACTTTCTCTTCCATGTGCCACAGATGGCTGCATTTCATTCACTTATTATTATTATTATTATTATTATTATACGAACAACATTTCTTTTGCATTATGGTAAACACAAGTCTATAAGTTTGGAGAAATAATGGTATGCAGGAAAGAGAAGTCTGAAACATAAAAATAGTAGCAAATGTAATGAAGAATTTTTATTGGAGTGTATAAGGTCACTAAAGTATTAGTGACCCAACTAAAACAAGTCCATATAGAAAAATTTGTCTTTGTTTTGTTGTTGGTGTGATGTCTTAATTTTTCTGAAACATGTGAAACATAAGAAATGGATGGGTTTGAGAACCTAACTTCTTGAAGCCTTGCCAGGCCTTATGAGTCAGTCCTATCTGTTCTTGCCCCAATTTCTATTGAATTTGCTCTGGTCCAAACAACATGGATTATTTGCAGGCATGAATTATCATTCTGATTATTGTCATTTGTGCAGAAAACATTCACATTTTCAGTGCGAGATTCACTGCTAAATGTGGGACCAATGAAGGATTTCTCATATGGGTTAAGACTTAATGCTGATCCTAATGCTGCAGGAGTTGCAAAGCAAAGTAATTATGAATTGGTTAGTTATAGTTTCAGCAATCAAATTTGTTTTTTTTTTTTTGGCATGCGATAGTTTTGCTTTTAAATTATTTTATGCTTGTGGATAAAGTTTTTTACTACAAGCTGTTTCATCACATAAGTTTTACCTAAATATTTGGATGTGCATTTTATTATTTACTTCACTAACTTTACACCACAAGATGATGTATCTAGGTTTTAAAATTACTTGAATAAAAAGATTCTGGTTCTTATTCAGGTATGTTGTTCTGGTCATGGAAAGAATGGTGCTCTCTGTGTGCTCCAGCAATCAATCCGCCCTGAAACCATAACTCAAGTGCGTGTTAACTACAGCATCTTTTACCTTTTATGGTTGGAATATAACTGTGGTTCTTGTTAGCTTGTGTAGTTCTTTAAGTTATGCCTATGCTTTTTTATTTGTTCCTCTTGAATATGTTTTCTTAACAAATCTCAGTTCTATTTCTTGTTGAGCAATTTGATGTTTTTCTATGTTTTCATGGAGTGAACAACTTATGAACTCCCTACTTACTATGTTTGTTAAGGAATCGTTGCCTGGTTGCAAAGGTATTTGGACTGTGTACCACAAGAATTCTCGTGGTGATTCCATAAAAGGAGCGGATGATGAAGATGAATATCATGCATTCTTAATTATTAGTTTGGAAAATCGTACAATGGTATGTCAACGGTAGCCTTGTTATTGTTATTTTACTGTATGTGATTGTGAACAGTATCCTTGTATCATGAGTCATTTTTCTGCAACAGGTTCTACAAACTGCTAGTAATCTTGAGGAAGTGACTGAAAATGTTGATTACTATGTTCAAGGAAGTACAATTGCAGCAGGAAACTTGTTTGGAAGGTGTGATTCTTTGTATTTCTTAGCTGTTTTGTGAACTGCTATTTCTACCTTTTTACTTATATAAGAATTTATTAAATATGAGTTGCTGTGTCATGTAATCAAATGTTTTCTGAATTATTTGTATAGTTCTTCTGTGAACAAGAGTTGATTGTGATTCTAGTTGAAACTCCTTATTTGTCCGAAGTTATTTTCTTCTTACTCAATATTCTTAATTACAATGTTAATTAGTAAATGGCATGTCATCCTTGTGGTGTATTAATTTTTTTTGGTTTATAATATTCTTTATGTTAACAAGAAACTTGTCATAACATTGTAGAAATAGGCTAGATCTTTATCCTCAACATGGATTCTACTTTCTTGCTTAATGCATAGCTACTTCATGTCTGTTTACATGAACAGAGTTATTAGTTTAACTTCATTAATGCTTTGGTCATCCCTTTTTTTTTGCAAATTTTAGTTGTTTGACAACTGGATGGGAACTTGGGAAGGTTTCAACAGGCAAAATAATTTATATTCTATACTTACTGCAGACGTCGAGTTATCCAAGTGTTTGCTGGCGGTGCAAGGATTCTTGATGGTGGTTATATGACTCAGGAGGTGACTTTTAAATCTTCCAATCCAGAGTCAGGTGAAGCTGTTACTGTGTCATCAGTTTCTTTTGCCGACCCTTATGTGTTGTTGAGAATGAGTAATGGAAGCATTCAGCTTATTGTTGGAGGTACGCCGTGACCGGGTCCCTGCTGTTTCTTTCTTTTTTTCCCCTGAACAATGAAATATTTGGATTTGGCTTATTTATTTTGAATAGCCTTAACATAGATGTTACTGGCTGTCTTCTCCTAGATACATCAACATGCCTTATTTCCATCACCATTCCACCATTATTTGAAAGCCCAGATAAGCTCGTATCTGCCTGTACACTCTATCATGATAAAGGACCAGAACCATGGCTCCGTAAAACAAGTACTGACGCGTGGCTTTCTACTGGAATTGGAGAAGCTATTGATGGTGCTGATGGTGTGTTGCATGACCAGGGTGACGTATACTGTATAGTGTGCTATGAAAGTGGAAATCTCGAGATATTTGATGTGCCTAATTTTAGCAGTGTTTTCATAGTGGATAAATTTGTTTCTGGAAAGAGTAACATTTCTGATACTTTTTTCCATGATACACCAAACGATCCAGTAAAACCTATTAAAAAAGACCCTGAAGCTGCTGGGCATGATAGGAAGGATGCAACTCATAATATTAAGGTTGTTGAGTTGTCTATGCAGCGATGGGGACAGCAACATAGTCGTCCCTTTCTTTTTGGAATATTGTCTGATGGAAGCATTCTTTGCTACCATGCTTATGCATATGAAGTTACAGAAAATGTTTCCAAGGCTGAGGGTGTTGTTTCTTCTCAAAGCTCCCTTAACCTCAGCGGTGCGAGTGCATCTAGGCTTAGGAATTTACGCTTTTTCCGTGTTGTTTTGGACTCATACACAAGAGAGGAGACACCTGCTGGTACCTCATCACAGCGTTTAACTGTTTTCAAGAATGTTGGTGGGTTGCAAGGTTTATTCCTCTCTGGGTCAAGGCCAACTTGGATTATGATGTTCAGGGAGCGGCTTCGAATACATCCACAGGTATTTCTAGTGTTCCTAGTATGAAACTATTTTCAAGGCATGTGATGTCTTGCAATCACTTACATTCATTTTAGGATGCATATTTGTTTGTTTAAGAGTGTGAATTTTAATAATTCTGTAATCCTTTCCGTTTCAGGTGTGTGATGGTCCCATAGTTGCCTTCACTGTTCTTCACAATGTGAATTGTAATCATGGATTCATATATATTACATCAGAGGTTAGTTAAATATATCTTTTTGTTTGTGTCTCTTCAATATAAACAAGTAAACACAAATCTAATCTTATTTATTTATTTGTCGTATCAGGGTGCGCTGAAAATATGCCAACTTCCAGCTCTTTCATATGACAACTATTGGCCTGTACAAAAGGTCGAGCATTGTCTTAATTCTTTGTCTTGTTCAGACCAACATCTCATGAGCTTATATGGGATGCTTTTTCTGCATTTATATTTTTACTTCTGCTCTCCGTTGCTGTTTTCATATTCCCCTTGCTCTCTCTCTGCTGCTAACAGATATCGCTGAAAGGGACTCCACATCAAGTTACTTATTTTGCTGAGAAGAACTTGTACCCTCTCATAGTTTCTGTTCCAGTAAGTGCAATCTTTTGACTTGCTGTTTTTAGTTAGGTTTAGCAGGTAGCAGTTTTGTTTGTGTCAGGAGAACTATAAGCAACAATACTTAATACTTATAATCAAACGACCCATTTGATTTTCCTGTCATGTTAATTTGGATATGTTCAATCGTGTTTAATTTATGTTTCATATAGGTGCTCAAGCCACTCAATCAGGTCCTTTCATCTCTTGTTGATCATGAAGTTGGAAACCAATTTGAGCATGATAATTTGACTTCAGAAGGGACCTATCCTGTGGAAGAATTTGAGGTTCGGATTATGGAACCAGAAAGGTCAACTGGGCCATGGCAAACTAGGGCTACTATTCCAATGCAAACTTCTGAAAATGCTCTTACTGTGCGAGTGGTTTCATTATTTGTAAGCTCAATTTTAGCCGATTCATTGGATCTTAAAGCATTATTGTCTTAAGATTTTCAAATATGTTTTTCAATTATCATTTTCCTCACAATATGCTGCATATCTTTCAGAATACCACGACGCAAGCAAATGAAACACTTTTGGCAATTGGAACTGCGTATGTGCAAGGAGAAGATGTTGCAGCAAGAGGACGCATTATCCTATATTCTGTTGAGAGGAGCTCTGACAATGTGAAAGCTAAGGTAGTTTGCTAAACTCTTTATTGAAAGATTTTACTAAAAGGTCAAACAATCTGATTGCCTTCTACTATGTTTAGGTTTTTCAATATATATGTATATATAAATTTAATTTAATAATTCTGTTTTCAGGTTACCGAGGTTTACTCCAAGGAGTTAAAAGGCGCCATATCAGCCCTTGCATCACTCCAAGGTCATCTGTTAATAGCTTCAGGGCCTAAGATTATTCTACACAAGTGGACGGGCTCCGAGCTGAATGGCGTTGCCTTCTATGATGTCCCGCCTCTCTATGTTGTGAGCTTGAACATTGTAAGCATCACAATATATACATTTGGTCTTTAGATGGAACCGGTTTCTCTATGCTTCTAGTTGCTCTATTGTTTCTTTAACCTGCTTGCCGATCAACCAAATGCTACCTAGAGTTAATTGGGCTTCACTAGTCTAACTGTTGGTTTGTTTCTTCAAAATCATTTGAGTTGGTATATCATATTGTTTTCAATGCAAGCTTGGGTATTTGTATGCTTTTATGATAAAATTTTACCCCTGCAGGTTAAAAATTTTATCCTCCTTGGAGATATCCACAAAAGCATATACTTCCTTAGTTGGAAGGAGCAGGTCTCTCAACTCAATTTATTAGCTAAGGATTTTGGCTCACTTGATTGTTTGGCAACCGAGTTTCTGATCGATGGAAGCACTCTGAGCCTTGTTGTCTCAGACGACCAGAAGAATGTTCAGGTCAGCATGTTTATCTGCGAAACTTTTCTATTTCAGGTTACATTTATTTAGACTTTCTTGACTAGTTCATTATTCGTTTACCAAAAGCCGATGAGATTACGGTGCTTCATATTCTAGTATGCTACTCTCTCGCCAATAAAATGTTGGGCTCTTGAAGTACTTTGAATGTCCTTTTTTTAAGAAGAGAATTATTTACATTTGTTTTTTACAGAGTAACAATTGTTACTGGTATGATTGCATATTGGTTAATAAATTTGTTACAGATATTTTACTATGCTCCAAAAGTGTCGGAAAGCTGGAAGGGACAGAAACTTCTATCGAGGGCCGAGTTCCATGTTGGTGCGCACATCACAAAGTTTCTGCGGCTGCAGCTACTTCCTACATCTGCAGATCGAACAGCTCCTGGCTCTGACAAGACAAATCGCTTTGGCTTACTTTTTGGCACCCTCGATGGCAGCATTGGCTGCATCGCACCTCTTGACGAGCTTACTTTTCGCCGGCTCCAGTCGCTGCAGAAAAAGCTTGTTGATGCTGTTTCTCATGTTGCTGGATTAAATCCAAGATCCTTTCGTCACTTCAATTCAAATGGAAAGGCTCATCGACCAGGACCTGACAGTATTGTTGACTGCGAACTCCTGTCACGGTATGCTTTTCTCAATTTAATTGACACTGTGGCAACCTTTCTTGTTTTATCTAACCTAGCCTTCATCTCCATCAGCGCCAACTTAAATGCTTGATTCGTTAGACCATTTATGGTCTAAGAGCACTACTTAGGTAACTATAAATCCAAAATGCAGCCGGATAGGGATCCTAGATTATCATGTGGATAATTCATCTGTGGTTTGGAAATTATGTGCTGAACTCCCTTATAATTTAGAAACTACACAGACTTTTTTATTTTAAGAAATATTATATAGAATCCTGCAATTTTTAAAATATAAGAGAGAATAGTGCAGACTTTCCAAAAAGGGCGAGAATTTTATTATAGAACATGGTTTGTTCTTGTAGATGTGATGTTCTAAATATAAAATAAATTTTTAGTATGATATAAAAATTGAAGCATAAGTGTTTGATTTGACGCATTCGGAGAATTTTTATTTATTTTTTCTGAATAGTAGAAATCTTTAAGAACTCTATTCAAAACAAAGCTTCATATCCCGTTCCAATTCTTCGAATATCTATACTAGAAAGCACTATTGGTTTCTTCAATTCAGATGCGAAATGACACACGACACTAGTTAATGTTACCGTCCAGGGCTGCGCATAATCTTGTGATATTTAAGGAAACTCATTTGCATATTTGTGACATACCATTAAATCTGTGTTTCTCTTCGTTACCCTCTGTGACATTTCTTTTGTTCCATCACAGGTATGAGATACTCCCGCTGGAAGAACAAGTCGAGATCGCCCACCAGATTGGTACAACACGAACGCAGATCGTATCCAACTTGAATGACCTCACTCTCAGCACGAGCTTCCTATGAGCGCTAAAATTTTGCACAAAAAGATGGGGGGATTCTTCGCCAATGGCTTCTCCGGCGGCACCCGAGATTTCGGTTTCGAAACCTAAAGGGAATGAATCTTGGATTATTGTTGTTAGTTGTTCTTGTGTTTGGTGTGTAGATGCAAATCATTTGTTCATGTAACTTATTAGTGTTTTGGACTTTTTGCAAATGGAAATATTTATATGATCATTTTCATGGGAGCTTAGGAAGACATTTATAACGTAAATTATGACTGTTTATGTGTGATTCGTTTTTCTTTTTTCTTTTATTTTTTTTATTTTTTATTTTATTTCAAACTTGGATCAATAGCAATTTAGTATATACGGTTTTAATAAAAAATATTTTGTTTTATTTTATAAAAATATCATTTTAAAGAAATTCAAATCATAATTTTAATTTTAATTTCAAATTAACGTCAAACAAACCTTAGGTTTTAATTTATTTATTCATTTATTTACTAAAACAAAAATTCTTTTAAGTTTGATATTAAATATTTATCCTTAACAAATATATATATATATATATATAATAATACTTAACCAAAATAGTTTCAAAGTCATTGTAACAAACAAAGAGAAAATTAAAATGGATATGGATATTCAAATTTAATTTTTTGAACTCGAAGATGATTTTAAGAGTTTGGAATAATTCTGAAAGAATTGATTTAGATCAGGGTTAGATTTGATTTTAAAATAGATTCAAAAAATTGTTTTTTTTTTTTTTTTTCTTCTTTTTTAGGATTAATAGATTTGGTTTGATATTTAGAAATTTATGTATATTGATCTAAAATAAAATAATAAATGTATTGATGTATAATGAATTGATTTTTCAATCAAAAATTATAAAATAAAAAAAGTGTATTGTGTAGTAACCTTTATATAATTTGACCATTTCAGTATACTTCGGAATAGTTTTTTTTTTTTTTTCTTCATATACCAAAAATTTCATGTCATTTTGATATTTTGGTATTATGCATATTTTTATTTGCCGATAGTATACTAAATTTTCGATATGATACTAATATATATGTTTCTTATACCAAATTTTCAATTTACTAATTTTTTTTATATACAAAATTTTTTATACGGTCTAATATAGTAAAATACTAAAAAATTCAGTCTAGTATACATTATAATCAATATTTTTAGTGTACAATGTAGACTTTTTTTTTTTTTCATTTGAAGTTGAGAGTTCAATTTTTTTTTTTTTTTTTTTTTTTTTTAAACAAGTAAACCAATACAAATTAATTTATTACATATATTTTTTTAATATTAATAAATTATTAATCCCTCCGTTCTAGATATTTTGAGCTTATTATCATAAATATCGGAATATAGTAAAGTAAGATCAGTAGATAATTAAAAATTGTATTGATAAAAATAATTATTATTTAATAAAAATATAAATTAAGATTAAGATAAATAAATAGTTTAATTAAAATTAAAAAATTATTAAATTTAAAATTTAAAACGTGATTAAAAATTATATGAGACTGAAAATAAAAAATATGAATAAATTATGTGGGACACAAGAAATATTACTTTACTTAAAAAAAAAAAAAAAAAAAATGTACTAGTTGAATGGAAACGAAGAAGTATTTTGATATACTCTAAATTTGAATGTACCTTAAAATAGAACTTTAATAATAATATTATTTTATTATATATTATATATGTATAATAAATCTTGGGTCTGGCATTTTTGACGGCACTCTAGGGTTTCGAGGTACAAACAACAGCGCCTACAAGGTACGTTTTCTGCCCTGCTTCTCTCTATTCGCGGATCTGTTCTGTTTGCTTCATTTCTGGAAAGTGTTGACGGCGAGGAATGAACAACGCGTGTTTTCTCATTTTGTCTGATGCTGAGATTGTGATTTTATTAGTTTCGATTATGTAATTAACGCTCGCCTGCGGAAGGTGGCCGATGATAGATGTTTTCGCTGAAGAAAATACTGTTTTCTTTGATTCTGTATCTCTCTATGTAAATATCGTTTGAAATCTTCGTTTTTTAAAAAATTTCTACTTGTTTACGGGCGGTGAAACAGTGTAGCCGAGGATCATATGGGGAATGACTTTTGGATCACTTGTCAATAGGATTCGTGGATTGTTTCTGTACGAATTGGATCGAAGGCTGTTGCAGTGATTATGAATGTCTCGCTCAGCTTGTTGATTTTTAGAATCTCAATTGGTTAAGGTTGCTAACATATATTGAGTGTCTTTTACCATCTCAGAGATGACGAATCCGGACATGGATGAGAACACATATTTTTCTGCAACGTTGGACTCTCCTGAAGCACTAGGCGTGGAGCAGCAGACTCACAAGGGATCGCCAAGTGCAGGTGGCAATAAGGTGTGTCATTATAGTTATTCTTGATTAAATTTGGTCTGGATTTTATTCTTTGCATTAGGGGCAGAGAATATGCAAAATTAGAGTTCTGGATACTTTTATTTTCTATTACAAATGATTTGTAGGTATCAGCTCTAAGTATCAAATGTGCTCTTAAATCCTGATGATTATGCTGTTTGTACACACTTTTTTTTTTGGTATGTACACTTTGCAGCGGTGTGGTGATACAATTTAGTATTTTTGTTGGCACCATAGTGCTGAAAGTTTCCCTTCACTGGGTATGCATTTATATTTGAATTTAGTCACTTGACAGAGCTTGATCTTACCATTCTGCAGCAATCTCATGAATACGATCAAGGTAATGAGAGGGAGTCATCCAAAAGCAGGGATAAAGAATTGGAAAGAAGTCGTGATAAAGACAGGGATAGGGACAGGGACAGGGACAGGGACAGGGACAGGGACAGGGATCGGGACAAGGACAGAAATAGGGATCGGGACAGGGATAGAGACAGGGGCAGGGACAGGGATAATGATAGGGAAAAGGATAGAGACAAGGACCGTGGCCGTCACCATAGAGGCCGTTACAGGGATAGGAGCGAGAGAAGAGATAGGGATAGGACCCATGATCGAGATGATGATGATGATGGCTCATACAGAAGTAGGGACCCAGATAGGTAAGGAGCTTGAAACTCTGAACTCTACCCCCCCTCAATTCACTAATGCAGGGTGTGCTTTTAAATTTGTTTTGGAGTTTTAGAAAGTTTCGAGAATGTTAAAAGGTTAGAATAAAACTTAAGTATTTGATGTGATATAAATAGGTGTTTGGATGTTATGTTTTGTATAGGAAATAAGTTTTCGATGTAATATTTTAAATGAAAAATAGGCTTTAGATGTGATATATTAAAGAGGTAGAAATTTTGATGAATAGTATGAAAACAAAGTTGAAAGCATAAGTAAGCAGAGCCTTGGTGTTCTCGGTGCTTTTATTCATTCCTACATTCATTTACATTCGAAGTTTAGTAAAAAAAAAAAGGCTTATAATTTGTAGTAGGTGTGATCAGCTAATAGTTCATGGTAAATTCTATTATACAACTCATGACTGATCAGTTACACTCTGGTCAAGATGAATATTTTTTTATCTTTGAATCATTATATTTCTGCCCCTCAGACGTAGAGAGTATGACAGAGACCAGGAGGAAAGGCACAAACAAAGGTCTAGATCACGATCAAGGCGTAGGTCTAGGTCAAGGTCAAAGCATAGATCTAGATCGCCCTCCAGGCATAGGTCTGAGCACAGATCAAGGTCAAGGTCTCGTTCGCGTTCCAAAAGGTAACTAAGGTTATTGTTTTTCCTTCTATTGTACTATTATGTGATTGAAGTGGACCTTTCTCAGTGAACACTAATTAATTACTACATATATGTATTCTTATATTTTGGACTTAATAGCTAAGTTTTTGTTCACCTCTTCTATGACATGGTTTCATGCTGATAGGCTAATATAGTCAAACTGTTATATACATATATGTGTATGTATATTGACAAGATGCCGGGAGATCATGATGTCCTTTTCTTAGGTGATGAATGTCATAGAATTTGGTCGGTACATCAATTATTATTATTATGAATGACAAATTCACCTAGCCACCTAAAACGATTTCTCATTTAAAATCTCCTAGTAAATGTACATTATATAGCTAGTTTATATGCAGAATGCTTTCGTGTTCCCTTTGGCGTGATATGTTTGCTGCTTTCTTGAAGTATAATTTGTGGAATGTATGTTAATATTGATATGTTCAAATTTTCGCAATATTGATCTTTTTCTCGTTTTGTTACATCTTCAAAATATCTGTCCTATTTCACCTGTCTGTGTCATTGATGGTGCAACTTTACAGCAAAAGGATGAGTGGTTTCGACATGGCACCTCCTACGGCTATGATTCCCAATGTGGCTGCTGTTACAGGTACTATGAGAAAATGGTTTCATGCTTAAATTATAACGTTAACTATTGCTTCTTTTCTCTGATATAGTGTGGAAAGTTCATATCAAATTCATGGTTTCAATTTGGTAAGCTACTTGGTACTATATCAGAGTATGGAGTACTGGTCCCAAGATTGCCTCTTCTGTTCTTTTCAATTGCTTATTTGCTTAGTGATTGGAACTGAGAGTGTTTTTGGTTTCTTGTTGTGTTTGGTGTTTGTTTGTTGTTTTGTATGTCCTATGTTATGTTGTAAGAAGGCAATGTTGGGCTACTAGGCCCACTGTGCTGACAATGGGCGTGAGCCGATCTCTGTAGCTTTAATGTACAAGGAAGAATCAAAACAGGTTTTGTCCATCTTCTACCAGGATTTAATGTTTGGTAGCCTTTATGGGTATTTTTAACTGATCACACTGTTTTCTATTAGAATAAAATATAGCTTAATCTCTATGTCGTATACTGCTCAAAATATTGATAATGAGGAAACTACCATAAAAGTTTTGACAACTTCCTTTTGTCTAATTTAAGAAAGGCATGATTTCAGCAGTTCTTATACGTGAGATCTGACTTTGTTTAGTCATAACAGGTCAGATGCCTGGGATCACTACCCCTACCGTTCCTGGAATGTTTCCCAATATGATGCCTTTGGCATCTGGACAGGTTTCTTAAAATCTTATTTTATTTTTTTTGTAATAATATATCCATACATGCTCTTCAAATCATTTCCAATAATTATATTACTCGATTCCAGTTTGGAGCACTCCCTGTGATGCCCGTGCAGGCCATGACTCAGCAGGTTGATTTGTATGATTAATTATTTCATGTAATTCCATCATCTTTGGTGTAGAATGTTTCCTAAACACTTGCGTCCTCAGGCTACCAGACATGCTCGACGAGTTTATGTCGGTGGACTTTCTCCCACAGCTAATGAACAGGTAATATTTTCTTTTCTATTAACATAGAAGTTATGCTGCAGGTTTGATCATTTTGTCATTTGGTTACGGCATCAATGACATTGTGATACATTGATTATGTCTGAAGGCATGCATTACTTCATTTCTTCTTTTGAAATTCATCTTTTCATTGACATTGTGATGCATTCATTTCACTAAAAGCATTTACTGTCGTGTACTTAGACTACAGATTCATTACTTTGTTTATTTTTACCTATTACATCTCTTCTATCTACTGATATTTTTGGGATCTTTATGGCAGTCTGTGGCTACCTTTTTCAGTCACGTTATGGCAACAATTGGAGGAAACACTGCCGGTCCAGGTCAACATACAATTAAGCCCTTTTGGTCACTTGCACTTGAGAAACGATACATATAGAGTATTTATGCTTCCTTTTTATTGTTTCAGGAGATGCAGTTGTTAATGTTTATATTAATCACGAGAAGAAGTTTGCTTTCGTGGAGATGAGATCTGTTGAAGAGGCAAGTAATGCAATGGCGTTGGATGGCATCATATTTGAGGTAATGCTTCTTTAACCAATTGAACGCATGGAATTTGAAATAACCAACACTCTTCATGAAATTAAAATATTCGGGATTGTATTTCTTGATTTGCTTTACCTTCCTTCTCAGGGTGCACCGGTTAAAGTGAGAAGACCCAGCGATTATAACCCGTCACTGGCTGCTACTCTCGGCCCAAGCCAACCCAATCCCAATTTAAACCTTGCAGCTGTTGGATTGACCCCAGGGTCTGCGGGTGGACTTGAGGGTCCTGACCGAATATTCGTTGGTGGTTTGCCGTATTACTTCACAGAGGCACAGGTCAGGGAGCTGCTGGAGTCCTTTGGAGCACTTAGGGGCTTTGATCTCGTCAAGGATAGAGAAACGGGGAACTCCAAAGGCTACGCATTTTGTGTTTACCAAGATCTTTCAGTTACAGATATTGCTTGCGCAGCTCTAAATGGGATAAAAATGGGCGATAAAACACTTACTGTGAGACGAGCAAACCAAGGCACATCTCAGCCTAAACCAGAACAAGAAAGCGTGCTGTTGCACGCCCAACAACAAATTGCATTACAGGTAATGAAATTGCCATTGTTTTTGAGGGTTTGTGAAGCTCTGTGATACGTAACTTCCATCTAATCGGCTTGTGTTCTAACAATTTTCAAGCAGAAACTAATGCTGCAACCTAGTCTAGTTGTTACAAAGGTTGTTTGCCTATCACAAGTGGTTACTGCCGATGAGCTGAAGGATGACGAAGAGTACCAAGACATAGTTGAAGACATGAGAAGTGAAGGCGGGAAGTTTGGTAATTTCTTCAAAATTCTACATTTACCTTCTCTTTTTTTATCCAAGTTCAGAACACTAAATTTTTCGCCTTTTTGTGTTCTATTCTCTGTTTTACAGCCTTCCCGACTCCCCCTATTCTGCTAATCTGATGCCACCAACGCACATACATACCGAAAACATGGGAAACATTATTAACTAACCACCCCCATACCAACCCTTTTTCTGATTAAAGAATGCAACTCAATATTCGATAATATTTTTGTAGGTACATTAGTGAATGTGATTATCCCTCGGCCACTTCCCAGCGATGAATTGCGCCCCGGTGTAGGAAAGGTTGGTTAATGGATATGTGCTGTTTTTATATCAGATTACCTTCGAATTCCCAAAACTGTAGTGGAAATGTAGTGCGATATAAGTTAATCGGAAACTCCATTATGCCGTGTAGGTTTTCTTGGAGTATGCTGACGTTGAAAGCGCCACAAAAGCTCGGCAAGGATTGAATGGGAGGAAATTTGGAGGAAATCAAGTGGTGGCGGTGTTTTATCCCGAAAACAAGTTCGCGCAGGGCGAATATGACGGGTAGATTTCTTTCATGCCTAGAGAATAAATATAGTTCGATGATTCTGTGCATTTTGTGTCAATTGGTTCATCCAAATTTGCAGTATTTTGATCTTGTTTTGGCTAGGTTTTTGTTTTAAGCCTCATTTTCTGACTATGAAACCAGGTTTTAATAGCTAAGACAATTTCTGTTGATGAGTTGTGCGTTTGTTTATTTAGTTATTGTTATATAGAATTGTAATGTCTTAATAGTAAAAAAATAAAAATAAAAATAAAAATAAAAATAAAAATAAATAAATAATTAATTAATTAATTAAAGAAAAAGTATAAAAATATTTCGTACAATAAATTTAGTTAATTAAAAAATTGAAACAAATCAAAAAAAAAAAGGTGAATTTTTCAAAATTTTTAGATTGAAGGTAAAAATAAAATATAAATCAAAAGTAAAAATATTAAATTTTTGAGCAAAAATTATTTTGGTAATTCAATATTATAATTATCAAGGTCTAATTCAAAAATATTTATTAATTTTGGTCCAACTCAAATAAAAATTTATCAATTATAGTCCAAAGATGGTTGAGTGAGACTGAACACGGTCGGTCCGTGTTGGATGACTCGTAAAGTGACGGGGCGTCCCAGCCAACACGGTTCTGAACATGGTATCCTTGCCCGTATTCCGAACATAATCATATTGTGTTCAAAATTTAAAAACCACGAACAAATGCACCGTAAGTGTCATTTCTATGACAATTACAAGTGTTTTAATTCAGAGTTGCCAAGTGTCTTGTCAGTTGATTACTCATTATGTTAAGAGGCTATAAATATTTATAGACCTTTGTTTTCAATTCACCAATTAATCCTCCCTCTCTCTCTCTCTCTTATTTCTCTATCTTTATCTTACAATACATATACACACATCTATCTATCTATCCATATTTATAAACATCCATATATTATTATTATTATTATTATTATATATTTTGTTATATTATATTTCAGAGCGGATTAAATTTTAAGTACTGTTGGATTTGATCTTAACTATTTAGATTATTTATTTAATTAAAACAATTAGATTTAAATTAAGGATATAGATTAATTTCAGTACGCTTAGATTTTGATCTAAGCTGCTAATTATTTAGATTATTTATTTAATTAAAATAATTAAATTTAAATTAAGGATATAGATTAATTTCAGCTACAGATCCAAAGGTATTGAATTTTATAACAGATATGACTTTTTTGCCCTTTTTTGTTGTGATGTCATAATATTAAGGTAGGACAATTAGTGGGCCGTACTGTATTCGGCGAGGCCCAAGCATAGTTTATATAGCAGGCCCAAAGTTGCCCGGCCCAATTTTACGAAGTAAGACAATATCCGTCTTTCTTTCAAATCTTACAAGATCGTATTTCTTTCAAATCTTACAAGATCCTACGGTCAAGAATTAAAGCAATCCAACGGCTGAAAACACCTCCGCCATTGCTATAAATCACAAACCCTAAACCTGCAATCCTCCTCTCTCTGCGTTGCAGTCTCTCAGACGAACTGCAAAGTAACCCCTCGCGGCGCGCAAAGTTCGCTCCCGCAACCAAATCCAGCCACCAACGTAGTCGGAAACGTCGTATTGATTTGATATGCCGTCGGTGGTTGTAGCAGATTCGCGATCCTCCGAGACGATTAAGAAGATGAAGAAAGTTGGGTATGGGGAGACGGAGGACGAGTTTAATTCCGTCGAGCAGAAGATCAAAAAGGAGAAGAAGTCCAAAAAGGGGGCTAAAGAAACCTCCGAGCCTGAACTTAACGATTCTAATCTCAGCGCCTCTCTGAAAAAGAAGAAAGAGAAGAAGCGGAAGGCTTCTGATGTTGATGGAGATAGTAGTGAGGATGGGAGGAGTGAGACTAGCTCTGAGATTGTCGAGCCGGTTATTAATTCGGCTAAAAGGAAAAAGGTCGAAATTGATGTTGCAAAAGAGGAGAATCCGAATGCCGTCTCGAATTTTCGGATTTCGGAGCCGTTGAGGAATGCGTTGAAGGCGAAGGGAATTGAATCGTTGTTTCCGATTCAGGCAATGACGTTTGGTATGATTTTGGATGGTTCGGATTTGGTTGGGAGGGCACGCACGGGGCAGGTAACATTCGATTTTCTTAGTGGAGATTTAGTTTCCTTTTATCTTTTTTGTCAATGCAGTTTATGATTATGAATTTATGATCCGTGAATTAATTTGGTTCGAAATCATGAATATGTCGGTAATCTTTGAAGGAATTATACTATTCTCTATCTGATTGTGATTTTCACTGTTCTGTTTTGTGATCATTCGTGTTTTATCTTGTTTTGGATTTGAATTATCGGGAATGGTAAATGGAGGTTGGATGTTATGTTATGTTTTGCATAAATTTTGGAACCCTAAACCCCAATCTTTATGGGCTAAGAAGGTGCACTAGTTTCGAATGTAGATTAAGTGCTGAAAACAAATGTTTAAGTATGTTTGGTTGAGGGATTTTTATTTTGGGGTTTTGTTTTTGAAAGTAAATTTTTTTAAATTGAGTACTTGTTTGACCGTACATATATGTGTTAATGGAACGTTTTGAATAAAAAATTGATTGACGGTACATATGTATTAATGTAACGTTTTGAATGAAAAATTGATTGACGGTACATATATGTGTTAATGTAACGTTTTGAATGAAAAATTGATTCTTAGCGTAATATTGAGGATTTTGATTTGATCTTTTTGGTAGAAAAAAAAATTGGTAAATAGCGAAATATTTAGGGAAAATTCCAACCAAACACAAAAGTGACATTGTAGGCCATATAGTAGATATAAGTGCAAATCCATTCTGTCAGTGAGACAGTTTTTGTTGCTTCTGCCTGTTGTTTTGCATGTTACTTTTCCTTGTGCTTCAATTTTTAAGAGGTTTCTGTACTAATATATGATCTTTCAGTTATAAAAACAAACAAGACGTAATGGGAGCATCTAGATATATTATATCGAACTTCTTAATCTATGTGTGTTACTAATTTACCCTTTTCAAACTTGAACAGGGTAAAACATTGGCCTTTGTGTTGCCTATACTAGAATCTTTGATTAACGGGCCGACAAAAACATTGCGGAAAACTGGGTATGGGAGATCCCCTAGTGTTCTTGTGCTTTTACCTACTAGGGAATTAGCCACACAGGTATTAAATTTAAATCTATGAACTGATCTCAGTCATGACAATCAATAAAGTAATTTGGTTATAATTGACTCATATTTATTGCTTCCTTGTTTGCTTTTTTTTTTTTTTACTATTAAGGTGTTTGCTGATTTTGAAGTCTACGGTGGAGCATTGGGGTTAAATGCATGTTGCCTATATGGGGGTGCTCCCTATCAGCCCCAACATGTTCAATTGAAAAGGGGTGTCGATATTATAATCGGCACTCCAGGTCGCATTAAGGTTTCTCTTTCCCTTTTCACCCTGCTTTTTACCTTTTTGTGTTTAAGTCCACAGCATATACTTAATTTTGAGCTTTTTGGAATTGTTTATGCAGGATCACATAGAAAGGGGAAATATTGATTTCGGTTCGCTGAAATTCCGAGTTCTTGATGAGGCTGATGAGATGTTGAGAATGGGTTTTGTCGAAGATGTTGAACTTATTCTAGGTATGCAATGTCGATGGATTGTTCTTGCCTGTAACCTCTTCATTCTGCGTTTATATATTTTTGAAAGCCAGAGTGTCAGAAATGCTTACTGTTGCAGTTTGGTTAACTGATATTGTTATTATTGAAATTTGAAGGCAAGGTGGAGGATGCTAGCAAAGTTCAAACACTTCTTTTCAGTGCCACTTTACCTTCTTGGGTTAAGCAAGTACGGTTTTACCTTTACCTTGTATACTTTTATCCATCATTCAGTATTGCGTTTAATCCTTTTCATTCATCCTGAAATTCCTTATCTGTGATTTCAGATATCTGCTAAGTTCTTAAAACGTGAGAGAAAAACTGTGGATCTTGTTGGTAATGAGAAAATGAAGGCTAGCACCAGTGTAAGGCATATTGTTATTCCCTGCTCCGTTTCTGCGAGACCCCAGCTTATTCCGGATATCATTCGCTGTTATAGCAGGTTGGTTTATTCCTGGACTTTATGATTGATGTATAGATCTTTGTATTTTATCTTTTTCATTGAAAAGCGATTTGTAGTTAGTATCATCTATGGTATTACTCGCTCACACTTTTCCATTGAATGATTTTAATCCAGTGGAGGGCGCACAATAATTTTTACGGAGACCAAGGATTCTGCTTCTACACTTGCTGGATTACTTCCTGGAGCTCGTGCTTTGCATGGAGATATACAGCAGGCTACACGAGAGGTAAAATTGTTTAATTAATGATTACGTCCCCATCATACTTCAGAAAAAGTTTCACATCCCACATTCTAAATGTGAGTGATTGATTAATGATTTCTGATTCGTTCAGGTGACCCTCAATGGATTTAGATCCGGAAAGTTTTCAACACTTGTGGCTACCAATGTAGCAGCAAGGGGATTAGATATTGATGATGTGCAGTTGATCATTCAGGTCTGTCCTACGAAACATCGCTTATTCTTAGCTTCCATCTTCATGGGGTTGCTTATTTAACTCACTACGATTGTGTGCTTAATTAAATTATTTTTTTTTGTTTTAGTGTGAACCACCTCGTGATGTGGAGGCCTATATTCATCGTTCTGGTAGAACTGGGAGAGCTGGTAGGTTGCCGTGGTTGTGATTCTTTGATTTGAAATTGTGCGTTAGATGCTGAACTTTGACAAACTAAATCATTTTGCTCATTTTCTCAGGGAAAACTGGGATTGCTGTAATGCTTTTTGATCCAAAGAAGTCGAACTTCTCTAGGATAGAACGAGAATCAGGTGTAAAGTTTGAACATTTATCCGCACCCCAACCTGCCGATATAGCCAAGGCTGCTGGTGCTGAAGCTGTTGAAAAAATTACTGTGATATCCGATAGGTAAAACTACTTTCCAAAATATAAAAAAATTATTCGCTGTAAAGCTCATTAATGGAACCTAATATCAATACCTCTGTTGTGCAAAAAAATATCAGTGTAATTCCTGTGTTCAAGGCTGCGGCTGAAGAGCTATTGAGCTCGACTGATTTATCCCCAGCTGACCTGCTCGCCAAGGCACTGGCAAATGCTGCGGTAAGTAATAATTTTATTTTTAAATCGAGTTTGTTTGGATGGAAATATGATTAGGTTATTGACACAAGTTCATAAATGTTATACAGGGCTATACTGAGATTAAGAGCAGATCACTTCTCTCCTCGATGGAAAACCACGTCACCGTCCTCCTACAGTGTGGAAAGCCTATCTTCTCGCCATCGTGAGTGTTGTAAATATTTTGGTGTGTATATATATATATAATGTGTTGGGCATTGATTATTTCTCCTTTATTAAATCAATCAATCACTCGGCAGCTTCGCATATGGAGTTCTACGGAGGTTTTTACCGGAGGAGAAAGTCGAATCTATCAAAGGTCTCGCCTTGACGGCTGACGGGAATGGCGCCGTATTCGATGTGGCTTCCAAGGATCTCGATCTTTTCCTTTCAGGTTAGTTCTTGAGGATGAAATAATCTTGATCTATATTTTCGGCAATCAAGTATTTGATACGATATTTTATAAGAGAAACAAAAATGGAAAGTTGGAAAAGTAAGTTATTGTTTGGGGTACAGGTCAGGATAATGGTAGCGATGTTAACATAGAAGTGGTGAAATCACTGCCGGCTCTGCAACAGAGAGAACAGCAGCAGCCAAGAGGGGGTAGGTTTGGTGGTGGCGGGAGGTTCTCAGGTGGCGGTCGCGGAGGCAGAAGCAGAGGAAGAGGTGGTGGTGGAAGGGGGCGCGGGAACAGCAACCACCACCAGCAGCAGCGCCGTAAATGGTGAAGCTGAAATTTTGTCACTACTCATTCATATTATTATTGTTGGAAAAGAAAAAATCTTGGTCTCAATTCTTGTACTTGTTTTGTTTGAGTAAGTTAACAATTTCAAGGAAACTTTATCTGTAAACTCAATAACCTTCTCTCTATTATATACTATACTAGTGGGAAACCAATGCACAACATTTTTATATATATATATTTTTTTCATCAAATATTTTTACATTTTCGAAAAATTAGAATTTATGTAATCAATTGTTATATAATTAATATATATATATATATAATAACAAATTTATTTTTTAAATTTAAATTTATTATTTAATTTTAAATTGAATAGATAAGTATTCTATATATACTATCATAGTATTATATTCTTAATAATTTTATCAACTTTTATATTTATAAAATATTTATTGATTGTATTAATTATAGTTTGTTAAATATGTTAGTTATGGTATATTAATTATGAATATTTAATATAAATTTATTTTAATAAAATATCAAAAATAAAGAAAAATAAAATAAAATTGTATAGATTTATTGAAAATTTACATATACACAAATATATTTGAGTAAAATAATAAGAACTCTATTAAATCATCAATATTTATATTTTTATTTAAAATAAATGAAAAATTTAAATTTAAATGAAAAAGTATGAATAATATAATACATATATTATAAAAATAAATCAATTTTATTGTAATATTATTCTTAAATAGAAATTAATATAGAAATTATTTAAAGAGCAAATAATAGAAAAATATCTATATATATATATATATATATAGATACTATAATCAATTAACGGATGGCTCCCACCCCAGCAAATTTATTTTGATAATATACATAAATTTTTATTTTGTTTATATTTGATTTATTTTTTGTTACATTTTAGATTTGAATAGTATAGTATTAAGCAGAAATGTTACAATATAATATAAGAAAGGAATAAAATATTAAAATACAAATCTGTCAAATATTTATAAATAATTTTGTTTATTATGATTTTAAAATTGATTAATATTGTATAGTTGAAATATATAATAACACAATGGTTTTTTAGATTAATATATAAATAAGATAATAAATTTGGTATAATTGTCCCAAAAAAATTAAAACAAAACTCGGATAATAATAATCATAGTAGTAGTAATATGAAAGATATCAAAATAATATTACCATAAATATAAAATAAATTATGTTTAAATTATTAATAAAATTTGAAAAAGTTATATTTATGGTTAGTGAGAGTAATCTTGCCGTTGCTGCATTGCTGAGTATATATATATATATATATATATATATTTTAATCTCAGATCATACCTTATTTCAGCACTAAAAAATGATCATTTTGTGAAAAATCCATATGAGAAGACATCTCTCTCTGTTCTGTTCTGTTCTGTTCACTCGACAGATACCTGCAAAACCAATCCCTGAATAATCGATTTATTCATGATCCTTGTGTTTCTCTTCCACTCATCCTATTTCTTGATTTCACTAATGATTCTTGGAGGAGGTCATTATAAAATTCAAAACCGACTGGACGTTGAAGTTCAATTTCATTCATTCAAGAATTTCTTGATTTCCTCCAAGAATCATTATAAGAAATTCAAAATGAAACCAATTGGGGCGAATCAAACAGGAAAAGAAATGACATGACAGAGGTGAGGTGAGGTGGTCCATTCCCACTCTTGGTCATCCACAATTCCACTCGACTCAGTCGTACGATGACGACGACGATGATAGGGTTAGGGTTAGGGTTAGGGTTAGGGTTAGGGAGGAAGAGAAAAGGGAGAGCGACAGGTGGAGGATCAAAACTTATTACAAATAAAAAAAAAATGACAAAAATATTTCTATTAATGTTTTATAATACTAATGTACTATAAAATAGAAGGATATTTTTAATATTAAAAACAATTATGTCAAATATAAATGGATAAATTTGTGGTAGACGGATTTAGTTTATATTTGTAATTTAAGTAAAAGTTGCAGTGAGTTTGGGAAAAAAAAATGTTGCAGAGTGTTTGAGACGGATGGAGTATTATTTAAAAAGATATGTTTTAATTACAAATATAATTATAATTAATCTGCATGTTTAAAATATAGTTTTTAAATTAATTATAAAATTAAAAAATTTAAAAAATATTTATTAGAATATTACATTAATTTTAAATTTATTAAAAATTTTAAAAATTTTAGAAATAATAGTAATTCATTTTTAATATCATTAATTAGTATTATAATTATCATTAATAGTATTATTATTATTATTATTAAGTATATTGTTATGGTATATTAATCATGAATATTTAATTTAATAGTATAAATTTCTTTGTATTAAAAAACTAATAATGAGAAAAAAAAATAGTATGAGTTAGATTTTTTTCTTTTATATAGATAAATAGGTAAAATAAATTAAAATAAATTAGTACTTCAAATACTATAAAATAAATCAAATATTTAATTTTAAAATAAAAGAAGTATTCTATATATATATTATATTATATTATTAAATTATATATATTGACTGTGATGATTATAAATTTGTTATATATATTATTATAGTATATATATTATGAATATTTAATATAAATTTATTTTTTATAAAATAAAAATAAAAAGAAACAATAAATTGATATGAAATTATTTTTCATACATATAATTAAAGTATATATTTAAATTATCATGATTAATTATAATTTCATAAATTATATCAATTATAACTATATTAATTAATATAATTATTTAATATCAATTATAATGAAAAATTTGAAAAATTTCATTATCCATTATTTACGGGTATAAATAAAAATTAAGAAAAACTTAAATTAATTTTAAATTTTTTTAAGAATTAAAAAATAAAAAAAAAACTATAAAATTATGAAATTTATTTGTGTTTTTATATATATTAAGACTACAAAATATAATTAATAATAGTTTTAATTTTATTAATTATTAATATAATTATTTTAATCATAAAATTAAATCAATTATTTTATTATATTTAAAAATGTATTAATTATAATTTTTTTATTGAGTATTTTTATTAATGAGTATGATATACTTAATGTCATTTAATACATATTTATTTTATTAAAAAATAAAAAAATCAAAAAAATTTGACAAAAAAAATTTGGTGAAGTGGATCTCACACGGATCGCTTTTATATATATAGATTAGGGGTATAAATAGATAAAATTATAATTTATTTTAATCATAAAATTAAATTAATTATTTTATTATATTTAAAAATATATTAATTATAATTTTATTAATGAGTACCATATACTTAATGTTATTTAATACATATTTATTTTATTAAAAAATAAAAAATAATAAAAAATCAAAAAAATTGACAAAAAAAATTTGGTGAAGTAAACCTCACACCGATGTCTTTAGTATTGTAACGGTTGTCCTATATATATATCATTGTTGAAATTTATCTGAAAATTACAAAATATTGATCAAATATTATTTTGATGTGAAATTCAAACTAAAATTTTTAAATCAAATCAATTAAAACATAATATATTTATTAGCCAGCAACAATATAAAATAGATTTATGTATTGATTGGGGTAATTCACATGAAATAAAAAGTAAAATAAAAGTATTATAAAAATTTATTAAATATTTAATAATAAAATAATTGGAAAAATAAAAGGGTAATGCAAAGTGATTATTATTTGTTAAAATATAAACAATGTAATTAGAATGATAAAAGTATTATTATATATAAATTTTAACCGATAATAAAAAAAATAACATAATTAGCGTGAGAAAAAGTATTTTATTATTATTTTTTTTTGAAAAAAAATATATTTTGAAATTCTAAACCCAGAAATTATGCTAAGTTGATGTGATGCATCTTTGTCCGCACCCCATTTTTGACGACACTTGGCACACCGAGGCACTGCCACGTGTCTCTGAGTTATCCGTACTCGCTCACATGGCTGCCTAAAAAGTGATGGTGTTGGATTCGCTCACTTCAACAACCCCCAGCCCATCTCTATCATTTCTCCTCCCTTTCTTGCTTTCATACTTCAGTTTTCCACCAAATTGATTTCACAATTCCTATCAAATACTAGTATTGATTGCCAAGTGATTTTCCCTTTCCTGCAGGTTCGAGTTTATTCCACTGATTTAACCATGGCGGATAAGCATATTTCAGGTCAGTATGATTTCTGCATTTCTTATTCAATCAATGCATAGATATTACGTCACTTTCGTTTTGCTTAAGCATATTTGAATTAGGGTTAGGGCTACAGATTTTGGTGCTGCAATCTTGCTTACAGATTCTATTACACTTGGCGCTTTAATTTGGGGCTTTTCGTCACTTTTTGAATCTCGATATTATTTTTTTATTTCTGAATTGATTGCGGAATCTTGATCTAGATTTTAATCTTCTTGATGCTCTTTATCCTGTTTTTGCTCTGTGAATTTGCAATCTGAAATTGTCAGATCAGCTTAAGTTGATTGATGATTGTTCTTATTTGAACAATTTGTTTGCATTTTAGGAACATTGCCAAATTAACCTAACACGTGCCTTGCAAGTTCTTAAATGCCTAATTCGAATCCATTTTTGGAATGATGTTCTTCCTCCATAGTTTGGGCGTTTAGTTCATCCTAATGTGAAGAACAGAATCTTAGAAAAGTATTATGATGTTTGCTTAGATTAATCTACTTCCTGTGTTAATGAATCGACTCTTTTATCGACTTTTTCGAAGCTTGGATTAATCTGCTTCCTATTGCAATGATTCGATTCTTTTTGATGCTTAGATTAATCTGTTTTCTGTGATTGTTCATGGAATAATTCGACTGTTTTCGACTCTTTTTCGATGCTCAGATTATTCTGCTTCCTGTGATTGTAGTGTTCATAGATTAATTCGATTCTTTCCGATACTTAGATCAATCTGTTTAGTGTTTATGGAATGATTCTACTCTTTTAGACTCATTTTTTTTCGATTCTTAGAGTAATCTACTTCTTGTGATGGTTGTGTTTATCGAATTATTTGATGCTTTTTTCGACTTTTATTCGAAAATCTTTCAGCCAAAGGCAATGGCGCGGAGAAAAGCCCACTTGTTGTCTGTTTTGGCGAAATGCTGATCGATTTTGTGCCAACGGTTAACGGGGTTTCGCTTGCCGAAGCCCCGGCTTTCATTAAGGCTCCCGGTGGCGCGCCAGCTAATGTCGCCGTTTGTATATCAAAGTTAGGAGGATCTGCGGCGTTTATTGGAAAGGTTTGTTTCGTTTCTTCTTTTTTTTTTTCGAAATGATCGACGGCTCTTGTTTTCGAAATGTTCGTTTTCGGTGTTAGGTTGGGGAGGACGAGTTCGGGCGAATGCTGTCCGACACGTTGAAGAAAAACAACGTAAACAATTCCGGTGTGAGGTTCGATCGCAACGCGCGGACTGCGCTTGCATTCGTCACTCTTAGAAACGACGGCGAGCGCGAATTTGTGTTCTTTCGTAACCCGAGCGCGGACATGCTTTTGACAGAGGCGGAGCTCGACGTAAATCTCGTTAAGAAGGTGCGAATTCTGATCGAACTATGTGATGTTTGTATTTATTTTAAAACTAATAATAAAATTGTGTGTCGAATTTTGCAGGCGACGATTTTTCACTACGGTTCGATCAGCTTGATCGAAGATCCGTGCCGGTCGACGCAGCGCACGGCGATGGAAATTGCGAAGAAATCCGGAAGCTTGCTCTCCTACGACCCGAACCTCCGGCTGCCGCTCTGGCCATCGGAGGATACGGCGCGTAAGGAAATAATGGCGGTTTGGGCCCAAGCCGATATTATTAAGGTTGTCGAACTATTTCTTACGTTTAATCGGATTGGTCGAGAAATTTACCGCGCTCTCGTCGATCCCGCAGATAAGCGATGACGAGATTTCGTTCCTGACCGAAGGGGCTGATCCCGACGACGACGATGCCGTGTTGAAGAAACTTTATCACCCGAATCTCCGACTTTTGATCGTGAGCGAAGGAAAAGACGGTTGTAGATACTACACGAAGGTATACGGTGTGGTAATAATATCAAGGTCGAATTTTTTGAGCTTTGATCTACTAAAGTTTCGACGAATTTTTTTTTTTTTTTTTTTTGTATTTAGCGCTTTAAAGGAAAAGTCGCTGGCGTTAAAGTCAAACCCATCGATACAACCGGCGCCGGGGATTCGTTCATGGGCGCCGTGCTCTATTGCATCGCGTCGGATTTAGAACTTGTCGAGGTATATAATAATAGCATGGCAAAATTGTTGATAAATCATATGTGGTTCACTGTATTTCTTTTTAAAATTGCAATTCATAAGTTATTTTGTGCAATATTTTTTAAAATACGAGAAAATATTAAGTTGTTTCTAAATTATACAGAAGTATAATTCAGATTTTTCAAAATACAAGTGAATTATAAGTAATTTTGTCATAATAAAAGCTATATTATAATGTATACTTATATGTTGTTTTTACGTGCATTTGATGTTTTTGATCGATCACGCTAACCATCGGCAGGATGAGAAACGATTGCGGGAGGCTCTTTTCTTTTCGAATGCTTGTGGGGCCCTCACGGTGACGAAGAACGGCGCCATTCCCGCCCTTCCTACAAAAGAAGATGTTCATAAAATAATGAAGGAAGTCGCAGCAGCTGACTCAAAAAGCGGCGATAAACAAGGCTAGCAATTAAACGTATGTTAGAACTTCTAATGTTGTAATGTAACTCATAATTGTCGTTGAGGATAGCGTCCTAACCAAGCTTGAGGTTTATTAATACTGATTTTTTTGGAGTTTTTTTTTTTTTATATTATTTTATGAAATATTATATTAAAAAAAGTTTAATTCAAAATTTTATTGCTGAAGGATATATATTTGGAGAATTATTACTGATAATATATTCTATTAAAAGGATATTATATTTTTTCTTATAAATTTGTATTATTTTCTTTTTTTAAAAAAAAAATACATATTTTTTATAAGATTGAGATACTATAAAATAAAATAAAAATATATTGAATATTACTACTTTATTCATTTTATCTGAATGTTTTAATTAAAAAGATAATAAATACCAAACAAAAAATAATAAAAATATAAATAAAACGTCACATTTAAATTATTGTATATATATACATATATGTTAAAGACAAATAGAGTACAACACATCCACCTGAACCATTTTATATTAGTTTATTTAATGTTTTTGTGCATAATATTTTTTAATATATATTCCATTTTCCAGACAGGAAAATATTCTTTGATTGTTCCATACGGGATGGATGATATGATGTTACGTAACAAAAAGAATCTATCACTTGTAATAAAAATCGACCATGATATAGTATTTTGTAGGGAGATTTTCATATTATTTATTAAATTAAAAATTAAAAAAAGAAAATTCAAAATTCAAAATTCAAAATAAATATTTATATTTAATTGCTTTTATATATTATTCTAATTTTATAAATCATATTCAAAATATAAATAAAAAATATAAAAATTCGCTTAACATTTCAAAAGTAACAACAAAAGATAAATAATTTTTCATCCGAGTACAAATTTTAATAAAAATTAGATTTTTTTTTTTACAGTAACAAAATATTAAATATAATATATTATTTATTAAAAAAAAATTGTTTTTTCTTTAATAAAAATATATAAATTCAATTACAAAGGTGGGACATATTTTAGAGGCTATAATTTTCTACTTGGGCAGATTTCTCAAATCCGTCTCATTGTCATTCCCAATCAATTATAATTTCAAACAAATTTGAATCAAAATAAGGATGGACACTATCTATTACATATAAAATAAAAACATATGTAATGAATCTCAGACATTTTGTTATATTTTAAATTTTAGTATTTTATATTGTTTTATATATATATATATATTTCTTTATTTACATATTATTGTTAATTTTTTAAATATAATTTATAAAAAATAATAAAACCAAAATAATTGTGGGACAAAGATAGACGTGTTAAAGTGAATAGGAATGGGTATATTCAGATTATATATATAATTATTTTATTTATTTAATTAATTAATTAAATATAGACATGTATGGTGGAATCACTGCACTTATGTCTGCTATTTCAAATCTGGAATATTATTATTGTTCCCTCCTCTTTGCATGAAATTCTGGGCTGTATTTTTTATAGCCACCATTTATCAATTTTTATTATTTAGATTATGTATTTTTTTAAAATTTATATTTTATCTGTCATTAAAATATATATATATTAATTTTGAATAAAAAAAAAAATTATTCTCATTTTATTTTTTAGTAAAAGAATTTTTTTTTACAATAAAAAAATTTATTCTCATCTATTTTTTTAAAATCATGTTCGATCGAATGATCATAAATATTTCGGAATTGAGTATTATTTAAATATACAATTCAAAAAAAAAACATTTCAGTTTTATTTTAATTTAAATTTAAATTTTTATTTAAATAATATTTTAATATGATTTTGTCAGAAAACAAATAGGATATTTTTATTGATAATTATTGAAAACAAAATACTAGTTGATTTTGGTTATGTAAGGAAATATAAAAAGAACACATATGTATTAATTTTAAGCACACTAAAATGACAAAATGAATAAATTTCCTACGAAGTATCAAAACTTTTGAAATGAATGTACAAATGTATGTTTATTTTTTAAATTTAGCTTTTTATTATCTTTAAACTAAAAACTGCAAAAATTTGCCCCTAAAAAACTTTCATGTGAAAATATTTTTTACCTTTTATTTATTTATTATTTATTATTTTTTGTTTTTTGTGGTCATGTGGTTTCCATAATATGGGAATCATGTCCTTATGATTCCCCATTGTTGTACTTTTAACTTTTATGCTATTGTTAGTGAAACCTAGTATCCTTTTTGATCTTTTTTTTTTTTTTTTTTTTAAATAACAAATATTTATTAAAAGATTATTACTCCCTCCGTCCGAGATACCGTGTCTGCTACACTGTAGACACGGTATTTTAGGAGAAATGTAATTAGTAGATAATTAAGAATGTATTAGTGAAAATAATTATCCTATAATATAAATAGTTATAAATTAATATTAAGATAACTAATTAGTTTAATTAAAATTAAAAAATTTAAAATGAGATTAAAGTGTGTAATCATTTTTCAAGAAAGGAAAGTGACATGGTATATGGGACGGACAAACACGGCAACATGGACATGGCATTTGGGACGGAGGGAGTATTATTATTATTATTATTATTATTATTATTATTATGGTGGTGTCACATGGCACCTTATTTTCACGTGCTGTCCTAAATCGTCCATTTACTTTGATTCTTTTTTTAATTAGAAAGTTGAGTACATGTTCTTGATTTCATTTTATTTCAAATTTATTATAATATATAGTTTTAAAATATATGGATTTTGAAATTTATGAGACTTGTTTTTGTTAATTATTAAAAAAATTAGATATCATTTGAGTGAATAATTTTTTATTATTTTTAAATATTTTATGAAAAATAATTATAAGTATAAAAGAACAATCCCATTGGTTTGTTTATTTGGGGGTTTGGTGGTAAATATTATGTCCATATTGCCATTTCTGTCACTCTCATATCTCATATCACTTTCCATTTTTAGAAAATAATTACTCGTCTTAATCTTATTTTAAATTTTCTAACTTAAAATTTTTTAAAATTTTAATTAAACCAATTAATTATCTTAATCTTAATTTATAATATAAAGATTTATTATATCCACTAATACATTTTTAATTATCTACTAATTATACTGATTCTAAATTCTTATGTCTACAGTGACCAAAACACTCAATGTGAGACGGACGTAGTAAAATTTAAAATGAAATATTATATGTTGTAATGTAAATAGGTATAAATATTATTCGGGTTTGTTCTATATTAAAAAATACTCAAACTAAAAATATTAAATGAAAACACAAAAGTTGGAATATCTTTAAAAATTTCGAAATATAAATAATACTCCCTCTGTCCAAGCAAAAAGTATAAATTTACTTTTAGCGCGAAGTTTAAGAAATAATAGTATTTTAATTATAGTGGTGGGTAAAAGTAGTGTAATGATATTTTTTCCCTTACTTTTTTTGCTATAAAAGTAATGATGTGATACAAATTAGGGGTATTTGTGGAAAAAAATAAGGTATTTAATGAAATAGTTACTTTTTAATTGGACGTCCTAAAATAGAAATATGTATACTTTCTAGTTGGACGGAGGTACTATTCGCTATGTTCTATTTACTGTGTTCATATTATTAATATTTTGTCCGTTTCATATCTAATACTCCCTCCGTCCCAGATACCATGTCCACGTTGTCGTTTCTGTTTGTCCCACGTACCATGTCACTTTCTTTTTTTTGAAAAATGATTACACACTTTAATCTCATTTTAAATTTTTTAATTTTTTTTATTTTAATTAAACTAATTATTTATCTTAATCTTAATTTATAATTATTTATATTATAGGATAATTATTTTCACTAATACATTCTTAATTATTTACTAATTACACACCTCATAAAATATCATGTCTACATTGTAGCAGACACGGTATCTAGAACAGAGGGAGTATCAATTTTTTGAAAAGAATAAAATATTATGTATATATTTTGTTGTATTATATATTTTATATTATAGAATAATTATATTCACTAATATAATATTAATTTTTTCATAATTAGATTCTAAATTCTTTTATATACCTAGATATGAAAGTTCGGATAGAGAGAGTAGCAAATAAATTTAAACAGAAGTAATATTAATTTATGAAAAATACTCTATTCGTCTCAAATATTCTACAATATTTTTAAAATAGAAATAATATAATTGAATTTAATCAATTAATTTATATACTAAATTTTATTTCATCACGATTACCAAAAAATAAAAATAAGTATACAGCTTTTATTTTAATCACATAAGCTAATCTTCAAATCCACTTAAATTATAGCGAAATAAAATATTGTATAATATTAAAGAGAAATAGAATATTAATTTTTTAAAAATATATAAATTAATTAATTTATTAAAAAGATATTTTAAAATAAAGTATTTAGAAAAATAAAAATTGGCAAGGATAATATCCACAATGTTCCAACTATTGGGCAACAAACGTAATTCAGTATTGGTGAATATTTTTAAATATTTTATAAGATTTAGGGCACAAAAATATATGCAAAATAAAAATATTTAATTTCACATCACAAATAGTATTATTTTATTGTTATTATTATTATTATACTCTACTGTATACGAGTCAAGTACAGCAGCACGGATCCTGTCCACGTGGATGATTCTAATTGGACCATTTAATGGCATCTAGTCACGTGAAAGCCCACGTGACGTCTCTACGCTCCTGTCTCTGCAATTCCTCGGTACGGACGCCGAACGACGCCGTTTCGTCCAGTAACGAATCCATTATTTCGCCGGCAATTTCTCCGGCTAACTTTGCCCGTTCTTCCTCCGGAAATCCGCCGGATTTCCGATTCCGCAAATCTTTATCGATCAAAGCATCGATATCTTCGAGAAACTGACAATTCGCAGCCGGAAAACTGTCAATTTTCGCGTACAGTTCATCGATCAAGCCAATTTGATCGGAAATAGAAATGCGTGAGCTCCGAGGCTGGAATTCCAGGTAGGGTTTCAGAATTTCAGCCAGCAATTCATCTACCAGCTGGAAAACGAGCTTCCTGTTGCACCGGCGGCTTAAAGCGGCGGAGGAGGCGTCGGAGACGGGGTGGAAGAGTTCGAGGTAATAGAAAATTGAGGGATCGAGTGGGTGCGAGGGGGTGTGCCATTTCCCCAATTTCAATGGCGTGACTCCGTCGATGATTCCCGTCCGTTTTAAGATCCTCTGGATGTAGCATCTGTAATCCGCCGCAGCAGCAGCGCAGCAGCTGTTATTGCTGTCTGGTACGCCATTACCGGGTTGTTGCAGGTCGTACGAATACCTTTTTTTACTGCTGAGTGACTGTGTGTTCCTTTTTGATCCTCGAGCATCTGATTCTGCCTGTATCTGTGTCTGCATCTGCATCTGCATTCCCCAAACAAAAATTTAAAATTATAGAAATAGACGACAAGGAGTTACAGTGGTGGATGACAGGATATGACAGTGACGTATAGTTTTGGATTTTCAAGTGACTGCTTCCTTCTTCTCCATGGCAATTTTACTGCAGAATCCATGGATTATTATTGAGGTTTAAAATTAAATGATGCGTCTCTGTTAGTTTCTTGAACCAATTTTGCTTCATCTGCCAATGAACTTGTCATAGACATCAAATTTGACTGTTAATTGTTCTTTCGATGGTAAATAGAAGACATATAAAATCACCAACAATAATCTATTTTTTTTTCTTGAAAATGTAAGAAAAAGGGTTGGTGATTAATGATAATTACCTGTTTTTGAGGAGAAGGGGTGGATTTCTTGACTGACAAAAGGGTGGGGCCACTTGTGTTGAGTAGCTCCATTGACAATGGAGATTTCTTGAACTTGCTGCTGTTGTGTGTAGGAGCTCTTGAACGAACAAACGGCTCCTCTTTCTTGTTCATCATTGCTTTATTAGACCAGTCATGGGGGAATTTCTTCAGATTGGAAGATGGAATTCTTCCTCTCCCATTGCCCTTTCTGTTCCCCTGTTGCAATATGATGTCTTGGTTGTTGTTAGAACTTGATGGATCATAAATGCCCTCATGGCAAGAAATTGGAATCCTTGTACTTTTGGGGCCTGAGCTAGAAGAGCCTTGCTTGTTCTTTTTGATGTCTGAAAATCTCACTGCTAGTGGTAGCTTTCCTTGATCTACTAGCTTAGACTTAGAGTCACCTCCCTGATCTTGCTTTTTTTTACAGGGCTTTAGGAGGACAAGATTTTCATCCCTTCTGATTAAATTTTGGTCTGATGAATCCATCCTGATCCTGTTGGTGATGTCAATTAGTCCTCCTCCACCTCTTCTTCTCCCCAAACTCTCTCTAACCTCACTCAAAATCTGCAGCCTTCTTTTCCCAAATCCAAATTCTTCCTCACTCATCAGATTCTCTTTGAGTGACAGCCTGTGGCACTCCACATCTGACCTCCTCCTGCCAGCAGACATTCTTGGAGGAGTGTCTGTGTTCCTGATAATGTCATCATCAGAGAAGCTCCTGCTTGGTAATCTTCTTCCAAGAATTTGGTGGTGCCTGTCTTTTTTAGTTTTGGTTAGATTGAAGTTTTTAGGGTTGGAGGAGTATGAAGGGGAGGTGGATTGGGGGAGGATATCCAGCCCCATGAGCCTGGCCACTAGACTTGGTGTTGTTGTTGTTGTTGTGCTGCTTGCAGTCCCTGGAGAACTGCTGCTGCAATTCTCCTGATCTGTCCCTGACTTTGTAGAAGAAGAAACCCTTGTCTTGATTTGAAGCCCTCCCTGAAATTTTACATTTTTAGTACCATTCTTGAATTTAAAAACAGATGGATACATTTGTTTGTGTAGATTCTACTTACAGGAAAGTTTAAACTTGGTGGTTCTACTTCTTGGTGAATAATGTCTGACTCCAGGCTGTTCCTTGGCGCCTCTATTCCTACTTCATTTTTGTCAAAGACAAGGTAGCAGAAATATTAGAATTGCTGTCTGTATATATATATATGTATGTATGTATAAGATTGAAGACCTTTTGGTGATGAAGTGGGCTGTTGTTGTTGAAGGTGGCTTTGGTTGAGAGGAAGCTGAAAGGGCTGCAAATCGAAGAGATGGAAAACAGCACAGATGCATCCACCAGGTGGGGTGGTTTCTTCTGGAGCCATGGTTGTTGTCCTCCGCCGCCGGTGTCTACCGCCGCCGCCGCCGCCGCTGCCCCAATGCAGCCACTCTCTGCCCATTATAGTGAATATCTCTCAGGTAAGGTAAGGTAAGGTAAGGTATCTGTTATTCTTCCCTATCTATATATGAGCAGTGAACTCTTCTTATTAGTTGAGAAAGGGAATATTTTTTTTAGTGTTTTTAATGAGGGGTGAAAATGACCGTTGCCAAACCTGAAGAGATAGAGTGAGAAAGACAACGGAGTTTGAAGAGTGTGAGATAATAATATTAATTTGTGGACGAAGGAAAAAAATATAAAATTAAAATTAATTGAACAGTTAGTTTGTATGTTTGGGAATAGAGAAAATTTTTGAGGTCGATTGGATTTGAATTTGGTTTCCCCTCTCTCTCTCTCTTTATAGCCATCAATTCTCTCTCTCCAATTATAATATTTTAAAATATTAGGGTTTTTTTTTTTTTTTTTCTTTGAACGCAATGGTCCAGTGTTTGGTGAGCAAACGTATGACCATGAAGTCATGGATTCAAGTTGATGTCTCCCGGTTCATTTGTAGCTTGCCTTGTTGAATTTAGTTTCCAGAATATTAAATTTGATCGGGTATTTATCAGCATTTTCGGATAGTAGCTGTTGTTTCCTACATTATAAAAATATATATATATTAGATTTTGCTTTTAAAAAAAAAAAAAAAAGAAATTCGATTGGAAAAATATAAATATTGGGGTTTATGTACTCGTGTAATGTTGATTTAGGTTTTGTTTATATATAACTTTGAATTTTATTAGAATTTTTAAACAGTACAAATATCATGGCCGAACCTAATTCCCTGCAAACTATATCCGATAAGACAAGTTCACTCCCCACACCATCGTGTCATCCTTATAGATATTGTATTATATTTTTATTTATAATTGTGGAAGTTGAATAGTACTAATAATTTTCACTTTGCTATACAAACTGAATATATATTTTTGGTGACGAGGTGATCTAGTTGGTGTGGTAAATATTCTTTCTAAGTTTTAGTTTTTGTTATTTTTATATGAAATTATACTTCAAGATAATATTTTTATAAAATACTTCTTCCTTTCTTTAACAATCTATTATTTTTTCATTTTGGTCCGTCCTATAACAAAATATTTATTTCCAATTTACAATATATTACACAAATATCATTACTTTTATATTATACAATACTAATAGGGTTAATTTAGTCGTTTTACTTTTATTTCTACTTTATCCCAATATAATACTAATATTTCTAAAACTTCGTGTAAAAAGTAAATAGATATATAGATATGGGACGGATGGAGTATATATTTTGAGAATCATAAAATTTATTTTTAAAAAAAAAGAATTTAGAAACAAAATAGTCAGAGACATTAATATTGTAACATTATTGTGTTGTATCTCTTCGATCTCTCTTTTTATTTTATTTTTTTCTTTTCATTTTTTATTTGATATCATCCAAAGAAAATCCAAAAAATCAGTGGCGGATCGATGTGAATATATATATATATATATATATAAGAGCAAATGCATGTAAATAAAAAATTAATAGTAAAAATTTTAGAATATCGAAAATAAAAATAAAAATAAAGCAAAAATTTGAAAGTGATATATATATATATATATCGTATTACATTGAGTGGGCATATATTTCTTGATTTTATAAATGCAATAATTCATTACGATGGTTTCTTGTATGTATATACTCATGAGTATTTGTACTGTCGTATGGGAATACTTCACACAAAATAAATAAATAAATAAATTAAGATACAAGAAATTAATTATGCAAATAAATACATGTAACATGCATGCATAATATCAAATCATTGCAAATATTCGCATGGAATATTTGTTTGTATTTGGGTTTTAATTTATTGTATAACTTTCAAAACAATCTAATTTAGAATTAAAATGAATAAATATATATATATATATAAATCAAAACACTATGATTATATATGTTTTTCCTAATTAATTAAATCTATGATTCATGATGGTAATCAAATTGACTATTTATATTTATTCATATAATCTTGAGAGTTGGAAAATTAAAGTTGGGCACTTAAATCAAACTTCAAAAGAATACAGTAAAAAATTGTTTACTTTAATTTTATTCAGGCTATGTTTTATTATTTAATTATTAGAATTTCAAATAAAAATATATACTAGTATTATTTATTTCTTACAAGATATGAGAACACCTTAAGAATTTATTCACTTTAATTATATTTAAGCTAATTTTCATTAGTTAATTCATAAAATTCTAAATAAAAAAAAATATATATATTTTTTTACCAAATATTGTAACTAATATTTTATAAAAAGGAAATAAGCACTAAATTTTTTTATGAGGAACCACAGTCTTCTTCTTCTGCTTCTATGTTTATTTCCAATAATTGATAATTAATAATATTCTTCTACTTTATATATATATATATATGTATTTTAATTTTAAAATTTCAATATATATATATATATATAATAATTGTCTGGTATACAGTGTGAGTGACAGATAAGGCCGTGTTTGGGAGCGTCAAAATTAATATTTATTTATTTATGGACATCAATGATGATGAGTGATGACCCAACCACAGCCAATGTACAAATTAAAATAAATATGATAAAGACACATATCCATAACTCACAAGCCCACCAATTATTACACTCAATTCAATATTTTAAATTTTAATTCACTATGTTTATAGGACATTATCATTTTTGTTATATAAAAAAAAAAAAAGTTAATATTATCTATCAATAATAATTAAAAACTTAAGTTAAATATATTTCATCCTAAAAATTATCATATAAGATAATTAAATTTTTATCATTTTAAATTTTTTTTCAAAACACTAAAATCCTAAAGATAGCATAATATTTTTAGTTTTATTTAACTATCAATTTTCTTAATTGCCAAACTTTGAAAGTATCATTTTAATTATTATTTTTTAAAAAAAAAAATTAGATTATATACTTGGTATTTTTTTTTTAAATAATGGGTTGAATATAATATTTTATTAGAATAAATCATATACTCCATTTAAAAAGACTCGTGAAATTTTCATAGTGATTCTTTTTTAAAAAAAAATAAAAATAAAAATAAAAATCTCAAAAGTATAGGTTTTGTTCTAAATTAATCTGGACTTGGTTTTGCATTATCATGAAGCCTTTTTTAAAAAAAAAATTATTTAATCAAATACCTAATTTTAAAAAAAGTATTAATATAAAATTTATTTTTTTAAAAAAAAAAAAATCTCATATTAAATATGTATATTTACATTAAATACTATTTCAATTGATTTTATTTTTATTTTTAATTATTTCCAAAATTTAAATCCAAATACAAAACTCGAATGGTACCCATGGTTTTTTGATATATGTATATATATTCACGTGTGCAAAATTTCTTTCTCCATCACCTAAAAGTTTGTTCAAATTTTTTGGTACATATTTTTATGTGTATGTAATTTATATATATATATATATATAGTAAAAACTAAAATAGCATAATTTTTTATTTTATCTTTTTACTAAAAATGAAAACAAAAATATTTTTAGTGATATTAGAAAAAGAAAAAAAAAAAAAGTGGATTATTTTTGTGTGATAGAAAATAAAAATAAAGTAAAATATTCATTGGATATAATATTTGTATAACAATATATATATATTATACGAATTAGAAAAAAAAAAATAAAAAAAATTGAGATGACACTGTAGAAGAAAATATTAAAAATATATAGATATATATTATTATCAAAATATTTTATTATTTCATTAAATATGTTCCGAATAGCAAATAAAAAATTTAAAAATATAAATAGAAGGAGGCAGGTATACATAATGTCCAAATCTGAGTGACCATCATCCATATGTAGTGTCAGAATGATCACAAGGGACTTTCTACATAATAGGGTGCAGGAATAATAATAATAATAAATAAATAAATAAATAAATAAATAAATAGTAATACTCTCTCCTCCGTCCCATATAATTTGTTCCTATTTTATATTTTCGTCCGTCTCATATAATTTGTCCTTTCATTTTATGGAAAATTAATATACACTTTAATTATATTTTAAAATTTAAAATTTAAATTTTTTTCAATCGTAATTAAACTATTTAGTTATCTTAATTTTAATCTATAAAATTATTTTTACTAAATAATAATTATTTTTATTAATATATTTCTTAATTATTTACTAATTATATTTTACTTAAATTTTCTTATTTATGCTAATACACTCATATTATATGGAACGGGTACTTTTTAGGGTGCAGAAAAATAAATAATAGAGTGCAGGAGCAGGTGCATCATTATTTTTGTACAGAAAACTATGAAATACATTTCTCTATTTATTTCAAATTCCCATATTTGCTTCAACCTCTTTATTTATTTTTTCTAGGATTTCCTTGACTGTCACACTTTAGTTTGACTTAGGTGTTACATTTTATTGAAGTTTTTTTCATATAAAAATACAGTTGGAACAATAATTTTATTTCATTTCATTTTTAACAAAAAATAAAATAAAAACAATATTTTTCCACATTGAATCTGAATCAATTTATCTAATTTCTAAAAATGTTGATCCTTCTAAAATAAATCTATATATTCCATCCGTCCCGTGAAAATAAATAAATAAATAAATATTTTTCATTTGTCTGTTCCAAAATAAAGGTATTATTTTCTCATTTAATAATTGTATTATCTACCTAATATATTACTTTTATACCACACAATCTAATAATAACAATTTTGTCTTTCACTATAAACTATTACAGTATAATACTAATATTAAAAAATTTACGAGAAAAAACAAATAATCATAGTTTTACGGCTTTTAGTAATTTTACTTTTCCGAATAACTTAAAAAATAAAAAAAATATTACATTTTACATATTACTACAATAATATCGTCAAATTGTGTAAATATATATATATTATTAAAATTTGAAGGGTACAATTGTTCGTTCACTCGTCTATCGTACTATATACTATTTTCGTTCCGCATAATTTGTCAATATTTTTTATTTTCATTCGTTCGATATAATTTACAAATCTCATATAAAAATAATTTTATATTACACTAATTGTCAATTTAACGATTATATTTTGTATACAAATTACAAATATAATTTTGAAAAAAAAAAAAAAAAAAAGAGACGTGAAGAGCCCATAATAAAAATAATGCATGTATGAGAGTCATAATACATGATAATTAAAACCATAATAAATAAATAAGATATAAAATCAAATCTATTTAAATGATAAATAATTATATTTATGTGACAAATTTTATTTATTTTATTTAATTATAGTATTATATATTTATAGTTTTTTGTTGGATGGGGGGCCAATGAAGAGTTCAGTTTCCACCTCAGAGCTTTGTGTGCTTAGACTCAGTTGCTGCTCATAATTTTCTGCATTTCTTGTCCTCATCAATGCAAACTGCAATTTCCCAAATTCAATTAAATTATTTTATTTAATTTAATGTCACATATTTATATACTAATAAATATATCTAATCTTTTATTTAAAATTTTAACATAATATATATGAATATTAAGATTGAATACCTTTTGTCTTAACTCTACATTCTCCATCAATAGGACTTTTTCCTGTAGTGAAAATATAATTATATAATTAAGCATGGTTGTGCTGAGAAAAATATATAAATAAATAATACTCTCCTCTTAACTGATTAGTTTAATTAAAATTTTAAAAATAAATTAAAAAGTTTAAAATAGATTAAAGTGTGTAATTATTTTTATTTTTTTTAAAAAAAAAGTGACATGGATTGTGGAACGGATAGAACGGCAATGTGGACATGGTACGTGGGACGGAGGGAATATATACATATATATAAATACCTTAGCTTGTAATCTTTCAATTTCATTCTTGAATAGCTGAGACTGGAAAATACAAAATAAATTCGAAAATTCAGCTCGTTAGTCATAATAATAGCGGAATTTTCAAATAAATATATAGTTTAAAACATCGAGTTACATATGTGCTTAATAATTAAAAAAAAAATTAAAAAAATTAAAAAAACTTGATAAGATAATAAACTTATATTTTTTATATATATACCCACTCTATTTAAATGAATTTATAAAGTGTTCAAATTCAAGATTGTTTGTTTGATTAAGTTTAAAAAATGTGCATTTTTTAATTTTTGGTTTAAAGCAATAGTTTGAATGTGATGTTTGGTAGAATAAAATAATCTTTTTTATATACAAATTGCATAGTAAAAGAACATAAACCTAATTCCAAAAAATCATAGCCTTAGTATTATTTACTTTCGTTTTCAATTTTATTTTGTTATTATTTATTGATGGTTCGATTAAAAAAATCACATAAAAGATTTTTTTTATATATATATTTAAAACATTGCATTAAAAAATAAAATAAAAAACTATTTAAAACATTCCTTTTCATTTTCCATTTGAAAAAAATAAAAAGATAATGCAAAAGATAATTGAGGGTATTTAGAGAAATCAAGCTAGTGATTCAAGAGAATAATATGTAATAATAGTTGTATAAGTTATAGTAGACAATTATTAAATTTTTATATTTACCAAAGAAATTAGTAACGGAATAATTTAATGGTCCGACCCTAAATAAATAAATAAATTGAAAATAAATTTGACGTACGAAAAAAATATATAATGTATACCTTTCTCGTGGTGATGTTCTTGAGACTTCTCTCAAGACAGTTTTCGATTTCATGAAGCTCTTCCATCGAACACGGACCTAAGTTGTGTCCTAAAAGCTTCCTACAATAAGTCAAACATACATTCATGCGATAAAATTAAGTTAGAATCAGATTCGAGGAATCAACATGTAAAGAAAAGTCGTAATTCGATCTAATTACGGACCGTTGGGAATTCTCTAGTAGCTCGATTTGCCTCGCCATGAATGCTGTTTCTTTCTTCAGATGCTGAAATTGTTGGACAAGTACAAAGGTTATTTGTTATTGCATATATTTGATTAATTTCGCTATGGTTTTATTTATTTGTGAGTTTTCAATTCAAATTTTAGTAGTTATTATTTATTTTTTTCTAAAAAAATATCAAATAAAATATATTATATTAAAAATTAAATTTACATTCAAAATATCAAATATATATATATATATATAAATAAATAAAGAGATTGGTAAGAAAATTACTTGCATTCGGACAACGTCATCTATGTTAGAAGCAGTCCTCTCTTCCTTGGTATATTCCATGTATCTCTGTATTATTCTTTGCATGCTGTACAATAAATAAATACTAGTATTACTTTTACTCAAAATTCAATATATATATATACATATAATTAATAATAATCTCATTAATTAATTGTAAAACGTAACAGTAACCGAATTACAATTAAATATATAGATAGCAAATGTTGCAGTTTTTTTGTAGATTTTATAGCACGTTTTTACTATTCAGATTTTTTTTTTGAAAAATATGACATCAAATATTTACATTTTTTTTATATATATTATAGTATAAATTTATTTTACATTCAAAACATTACATCAACGTCTATTTATATCACATCAAACAATTATTCAAATTCAATTTTTTACTATTCAAAAATCGAAATCCAAAAACTAAAACCACGGACAAACACACCCATAAATAAGATTCAATAAAGTATATATGAGCCCTAACCTTTAAATAAGATTCAATACACGATATATGAGTCCTATAGGCTAAAGGTATATATATATATATATACAAATTAAATTCGTCTTCCAAAAAATCTTAACTATGGATACTTCCCATTTATTTTGATCTTTTTTTTTTCTGCATAGTTCTCATAATTTTATTTTGTTTTTTTGGTTTTTATAAATGTATACTATTTTCATTTATAAAATATCACATCAATCCTCTTATTAACCTTTGAGTTTGTATACAAACGTATTAATTTTTCATATATAGAATGCATCAACAACTATTTCTCTCAAGGCTGCGGATTCTGTGTTGATCCAACTTATTCAATATGATATATCGTATAGGTGATTAACATATATTTCTACATATTTAAAGCATATGTTGTGGTATAAGATAACATATGTTGAATTGTAATATAATACTCCCTGTCCCATGTAATCTAGGTGTATCACTGTAGACACGGAAATTTAAGTATAGTATAATTAGTAAGTAATTAAGAAGTGTATTAGTAAAAATAATTATTATTTAGTAAAAATAATTATAGATTAAGATTAAAATAAGTAAATAATTTAATTAAAATTAAAAAAATTATAAAATTAAAAATTAAAAATGCAGTTAAAGTGCATAATTATATTTCCAAAAATAGAAAAAACAAAATATGTGGAACGAAGAGAATATATTTTGTATTATAAATACATGTTGGTCCCTCTTATATCTGTGCTGATCCATGCTCTTCTCTTAAACATCAAAATAAGATTTAAAAAAAAAACACACACACACGTACACAAGCAAACAAATTTAAACTATTGACCATGTTTGCTTGTAGGTTTTGGATCAAATTTTACTATTAAAAAAATTCTTAAAAAGATGGAATCAAATGCTTATATTTTATATTTTATGTTGTTTTTTTTTTTTTTTTTATAGTAAATAATTCTTACACCTTTTTTAATCTATACATTTCAAACATTATGGTTATTTACAAATATATCACTACTATTTAGATACTTCAATTTATCAAAAGATTTCTCCCACCTCGTTGATTTATTCATAAGGTTTTTAAAGAATACTTTATATAACCACCAACATAATAATATATTAATTAGAATTCCTGTACAGCTTAAATGATCACTAATTTTGAGAGCGAAATGAGTATTAAATTAAAAATTAATTTTATAATAAAAAAATATTAATAATATTATATTAATATTTATATATATATATATATATATCAGATTCTGTTGTTACTTCAACTCAAAACTTTCCAAACACTACCACCAATCACACCCCTTAGGCCATCGAGGCTGCAATTTTGACATTGTAGCCTAATAAATGCGTTGCACTGTAGCATCGCCATTTTCATGGTGTTGTGTGTGTGTGTATTTTTTTTTTAAAAAAAAATATAATAATTGTATATTAATTTATTTATTTATTTATTAAATTTTTTTAAAAGAAAATATTAATGGTAGATATAAAAAGTGGTTTAAAATAATATATAAGATAAAATATTTGAAGAAGAATATTAGTTTTGGAGTAAAAAATAGAGTTATGAATTAGAGTAAAATTACTGTAACAACTATATTTTTAGATTTATAACGGCATAAATGGAGTTGTCCGGTTGAAGATGCCTTAGTCTTGGTTTAAGATCTTTATTATTCTCAACAAAAATTTCTTAATAAAAAAATATAGAGTATTATTTCCTCTTCAAATTACGCTAAAAACCCAAAAAAATCTCAAATCACACTATTACCCAAACAAAACAAACCACAGAATTTTCAGATTCGATCTAATGGAAGAAGTAGATGTAAGAATTAGAACAACAACAGCAATAACAATAATGAAATCAGACAAAAATGAAAAAGTAATTAATGAAGGAGGCTTAATGACAATATACTTACTTGGAGCTGGAGAACTCATAAAGTCTTCCTTTCTGAGAGAAGATAATCAACGCCACTTGAGCGTCGCACAGTACGGACAGCTCATACGCCTTCTTCAACACACCATTTCTCCTCTTCGAAAACGTCACCTGTCTGCTCGTCGCGTTTTCGATTCTCTTCATCTCCACTTTCCCCCTCACCATTATTATCTATCTATATATTCCTCGATCGATCGATCTATGTCCGATTTCAGACAACAAAGAAAAAAAACTAAACTAATAATCCTCGAAGGAGGAGATAAATAAAAATTTTAAGGAACAATTATAAAATAGAGCTTAACAGCAGAAGAACTCGTAGATTTTAAGGAACAATCACACCAGAAATATATATATATATATATATTATATATACACGTATATAAATTAATAATGAAATTAAAAAGCTGATCTACTACGAGAGGCCTGCAAAATTAAAGACAGCTGCGGATCCTACGCAAACCCTAATTTTAGAAAAATTGACTTTTGGGGAAGAACTGAGAAAGAAATCGAAAATTATACTTCCTATGTAAGAATCCTAAATATGGCAAAGGAAAAACAAGATCGATGTTTTGATATCATGTCTTATTTATCATTTTGGGGAAAAATTAAGAACAGATTGAAGCTTATTGAGGAAGAAAAAACCCAGAAATGTCGAAGCAACAAAAGCATCTATTTTTTTATCTGAAAATACGTATTCCTTGTCTCGTAACTATATATATATATATATATTTTTTTTCATAAAATTTTAAAATTTTTAGTATTATATTAAAATATAATAAAAATAAAATAAAAATGATTAAAATAACGTGATATAAAAATATAAAATAAAAAAATAAATATTTTATTATAAAAAATATATATTATAAATTATTAATAATATTATTATTATCTGTTGGGTTTTCCTTACAAAGCATATGATTGTTGTTCCTCTTAATAATGGTAAAAAGTTCGTAGCCCCAATCATCACCGTTGGATCAGCTGAAGATAAATCACAGCCGTTCCCTATGTGAGATTTAAAGAATAATACTCTATTAGTCTCTGTTGAATGTATTAATTTTAACATTTTACCTTTATTCAAAATTATTTTATATTATAGTAAAATAATGATATATTAATATATAAATATTTTTAATTTTTATATAAATTATAAGTATAATTACACATATATAAAGCATAAAAAATAAAAAATATTAAAAATATTTTACATACTTCAATTAATTAATAAAATATTATTATCTTTTAATATACTAAAATTTTTAATGTATATTTTTATCAAAAATGGAGAAAATACTTAGTAAATATATATTGAATTTAAAGTTAAAAAATAATATATTATTAAAATAAGATAAAAACGCCAAGCATTTATATATATGTATATAATTCTTTCAATATATTTGTTTTGAGACGGCGGATTATTTATTAATTTCAAACCTAAAAATATAAAATTTCTTCCAATTCATGTAATATTTTTTTAAGAAATATAATTATATATTTTAATCATATTTTAAATTATATAATTTATAATATTTTTAATTTTAATGTTTTCTTCCGTTCGAGATAATTTAAACTTATTACTGTAAATACGTGAATTTAGGTAAAATATAATTTGTAAATAAATAAAAAAATATATTAATAAATATAATTATTATACAATAAAAATAAATATAGATTAAAAGTAAGATAGTTAAATAATTTAATTAAAATAAAGAAAATTATAAAATATATAATCTAATTAAAGTGTATAATTATATTTTTAAAGAATAAAATAATTAATTATATGGAACGGACGAAAATATAGAATATGAACAAATTATGTAAAAAATAGGAAGTAAACTATTCAATCATCGTAAATTTAATCTATAATTATTTTTATTAATATATTTTTTAAATACTTATTAATTATATTTTAACTAAATTTTTATATCTACAGTAAAATGAACAAAAAGACTCAGACGAAAAAAGTACTTCATATGTCACTAGAAACAGTAAATATATACTTTTAACATGAAGTGTAATATTATTATAAAAATATTAATACAAATAAATATAAATATAAAAATATTTGCAATGGACAGGAAAATAAACACGAGTACTTTATATCTTACCAACAAAAATAAAAAATAAAAAATTCTTTTGTTCTTAATAAATTATTTATATTATTGTAGATCGGATAATTTTATTAATATTATATAATTAATAAATAATTAAAAATTATATTAATAAAAATAATTATATATCAAAATTTAAGTAATTAATTAAAATTTATAAATTATAGAATTTAAAATATAAATTAAAATGTATTTATATTTTTAAAAAATTAACAAATTACATAACAAAGATCGAAATGAAAAATTAAATACTACTCCCTCTATCCCACATATTTTGTCCCTATTTTTTATTTTTGTCCATCCCACATAATTTGTCCTTTCTATTTTTGGAAATATAATTATGCACTTTAATCGTATTTTAAATTTTAAATTTTATAATTTTTTTAATTTTAATTAAACTATTTACTTATCTTAATGTTAATTTATAATTATTTTTACTAAATAATAATTATTTTTACTAATATACTTTTTAATTACTTATTAATTATACTTTACCTAAATTCTCGTGTCTACACTAATACACCCATATTTAATAGGACTTTTAATTATTTATTAATTATATTTTACCTAAATTCTCGTGTCTACACTAATAAACCCATATTTAATAGGACGACGGAGTATTAATTATGCAAAATGTGAAATCGTTGTACGAGTTGGTGACGTATCTGCCAATTGCATTTAGACAACGCATCGTTTTACCGACAACGTTGTACGCATCGAACAGTGGAAAATCCCACTTGTCACGTGACTTCTTGCCTGTCGTAGGTTACTAAACCAATTTTTCAATTAAATAATATTCGTCAATTATTATTATTATTATTATTATTATTATTATTATTATTATTATTCATTCCATCGTTAACAATTTATCTATTTATTTATTTTGGTATATATGATAATAAAGTATTCATTTTTTTTAATAATTATACTACCTAACTAGCACAAGTATCTTTCCAAATTACAATATATTATACAAATATCATTATTTTTATATCATATCATACTAATAAAATTAGTTTAGTCTTTGTACCTTTATTTTTATTAAATCTCAATATAATATTAATATTTCTAAAACTTCGAGTAAAAAGTTAATAAATAGATAGATATGAGACGAAATAGAGTATTATTATTCTTTTGTCCACGTGTGTTTGTTTGAGGGATTTGTTTGGATTTCCACTATTCATCTTATTATTTTTCCCCCAAAAACATCAAATCAAACACCCATTTTTCATTTTTTATATTATACTAAAAATCAATTTTACATTCAAAACATCACATCAATACCTATTTATGTCACATCATACAACTATTCAAATTCAAAATTTTTACTATTCAAATCCCAACTCAAAATCCAAACCCTCAACCAAACACACCCTATTATACTTATCTTTTCATTTTTATATGTATTTAATTTATTTTGTTATTTTATTTTTTAAAAAAATAATTATATACTTTAATCTCATCTCATTTAAATTGTTTAATGTATAACTTTTATAATTTTAATTAAATTAATTAGTTATCTAAATTTTAATATATAATTATTATACGATAATTATTATTAATTATATCTCTTTTAAATTCTTGGGCCGACAATAAAATGAACACTACAGCCGAGACCAAATAAATATTATTATTATTATTAAGGCTTGGAATCTTAGAAGATGTGAAGGGCATTACCATAGTGAGACAACATGAGATTATTCTTAATACTGTAGCAACGTAGATAATCGGAATACGTAAAGTATCCATTTTTTCATTTTAGTCCGTCCCATAACAAATTATCCATTTTTTTTTAGTAACTATACTATTACCTAACATTACAAATACTCTTACAACTTATAATATATTACACAAATGCTATTACCTTTATATCACACATACTAATAAGGTTATTTTAATCATTTATACTTTATTCCTACTATATCCCAATATAATACTAATATTTCTAAAACTACATGTAAAAGGCAAATGGATACTTAGTTTCGGGACGGAGAAATTATAAAAAATTTAAAAATACAAAACAAACACACTCTATACACTTAAAACTCTTTTGAGTAGATAATCCGTAATCGGACACTTTCTAATTCATCTAAACTTATATCTCATTTTCCTTTTTTTGTTACCATAAAAAAAAATTATTAATTTTTTCTCATTTTTTATTTTTTTAATTATAAAAGGAAAACATTTTTATTTTTATCAATTTTTTATTTTTATTTTTTAAAAATTCATGTCTATCAAATAAACATAATTTTAAATAAATGATGAATTTATCATTCTTTTATAAAAATCAATGTTCAGTTTAAAATATTATTTATTAATAAACAAAGAATGATATTTGTAATATATATTAGAATGTTCATACATACTAAAAAAATTGTATTTACATAATAAAAAATAACAAAATACATATTTATTAAATAAATAGAGAGAGTACTACGTCTAATAAGTTGTAGACGCGAGATGTTAAAAGTAATATAATTAAATAACTAATAAACATATTAGTATATTTAATTACAATATGACATAGATAATTATAAATTAAAATTAAAATAATTAATCAGTACAAAATATTTAAAAAAATCATAGATTAGTAAATTTAAAATATAATAAATATATTATTTTTTTTCAAAATAAAAATAAAAATAAATAGAAGCGAGGTGAGATAACTAAAACGGCAACTTAAAACAGAAAACATGAAACTAAAGGAAGTATAAGAGTGTATTCATTTGATGGATTTACTCCAATTTTTACTATCTATTATTTTTTTAAAAATAAAATAAAATCCAATTAAATGTTTATTCTTCACTTATTATATTATAGTAAAAATTAATTTTACATTCAAAATATATATCATATCATATAACTATTCTAATTCAATTTTTGTACTATTTAAATCTCACCCTCCAAAACAAACACATCTTTATTTTAATATCAAATAAAATTCTTTAATAATAGTAATAGAATTATAATTGAAGTGATTGAACTTTATAGAGGATTGAGGTTCAATTCCATATGCTTATTTTACAACAACAATAACAACAAAAATAATACACTCTCCGTCCCATAATAAAATATCAATTTTTTCATTTTAATCTGTTCATGACAAAATATAAATTATTTTTTAAGTAAATATACTATCTACCTAATATTACAAATATCTTTACAATTTTTAATATATTACACAAATACTATTACATTTATATCACACAATACTAATAAGATCATTTTAGTCATTTGTACTTTATTCTTACTATATCCCAATATAATACTGATATTTTTAATACGTAATTATAAAACTGAGGGAGTAATGATGATAATAATAATAATAATAATAATAATAATAATAATATTTAGAAGATCTTGCAACATTAATAAATTAAAATAAAAAGATTTTGGGACCAGCCTAGCTGCCCATAATTAAATATAATTTAGGTTTACTCGTTTAGGTAAATCAATAGTTATAATAATTTATTATTATTATTATTATTATTATTATCATTATTAATTTATGAAGCTGAAAAAAAATCCATTATATAGATAGACTTTTCTTTTTAGGATACTACGAGTTATTTATTACTCTTTCCGTCCCACTTTTCATGTCTACTTTTTCATTTTTGTCCGTCCCATTTATTTTATTACTTTTTTTTGAAAAATAATTATACACTTTAATCTTATTTTTAAAAATTTAATTTTTAATTTTTTTAATTTTAATTATATTAATCAATTATTTTAATCTTAATATATAATTATTTTTATTATACGATAATTATTTTCACTAATACATTTTTAATTATTTACTAATTATACTCCTCCTAAATTCCCGTGTCTACAGTAACCAGGTCAATTATCCGGGAGGGAGTACTATTTAACAGATTTTTTGTATTTCAATTTTGAATTTTAATTTAAATAATTTATTTTTATTACAAATAGTAAATATTTTATTATAGAAAATGAACAAAATAAAGAGAAAATTTTGTGAGTTTGTTTTTATAGTTCTAGTCTTTCTTTTTTTTTTCTTATTTTTTATTTTTTTAATAATATTTTATATTTTCAAAATAATATTTATAAAGAATCATATAAAAATGGAACAAAGACACGTTTTATCATCAGATTATTAAATGCGTCGTTTTTTCAAACGTTAGTAAATAAATTTTGTAGTTAATGTATTTGAAATTATTTATTAATATAATTTATATTTTATTTTTGTTTGGTCTCCGCTTTATGCAATAAATTTGTGTGGGAATTCGTACACATATTTGTGGTGCCTAAATTGAGGGTAGGCTCAGTGAGGACATGGTTTTCAATTGAGTAGGCTGGTTTTGAATTTTAAACAATAAGAAATTAAATTTAAGTAATTATCTTAAATAAAAATTAATATTTAAATGTAATATAATATAATATAATATAAATAAATAGGAGAATTTATTTATTATTATTGTTATTTGTAAAGGAGTTTACTATAAAATGTATTTTATTTGTATTTCAAAATCAAATTAACCTTATTTAATATATTATAATTTTCAATAAAAATATACTCCCTCGGTCGACAAACTAACGTCCTATTTTCCTATTTGGAATGTCCAACAATTATTGTCATATTTCAATTTTTATACACAAAAATTACTCTTTTACCCTTACTATATTTACTATTTCATTTTCTATACACAAGATTAAGGACAAATTTATTATTTTATAACAAAAATCCTAATTGCTTAAAAATACGTGTAAATATCAAATAAGATATTAGAAAATGGACGGAGGGAGTATTATTTATTCGTAAAATAATATCAAAAAAATGTTTAATTGTAAAATATTTTTTATATTAATATATTATTGTTTTTATATATTTTTAAAATATTAAAAATTAATTATTTTTTATATTATGAACTAATTGTAAAAAATATTTTTGTTGAATTATAAATATATATATCAAATAATTTTAACCAAAAAGTAAAAATAATAATAAATATGATCTACAATATAATTATATTAAAAATATGGTCGTGAACATGACTAAAAACATGGCTGTGTTAAGAACATGGACAAGAACATGGTTGTGTTGAGAATATGACCATGTTCAGAACACGGACAGGAATACAACCGTATTTAGAAGTGCAGGGTAACTAACACGGCCGTGTTGAGACTAACACGGCTGTGTTGGCTGCGCCTGGGACGTCCAGTCACATTTTGAGTCATCCAACACGGTCGTGTTCAAGTCAAAACGATCGTGTTCAGTTCAGTCCCTTCTTGGGACTAAAATTGATAAATTTTCATTTGAATGAGACCAAAATTAATAAATTTTTTTTAATGACACTAAAAGTGATAATTATAATATGGAACGAGACAAAAATAATTTTTGCTCAAAAATAAACAAACCTTGTAACAAGCAAAAATATTGAAACAGTTACAACAGTATAAAATAAAAAATAAAAAATAGATATTTAATTTAATATTTTTTAATTTTTAATTATTTTTTTTAATAAATAGTCAAATATGCAATAGTTTCTATTGGGCCAAGAATGACGGTTTAAGGCCCAATTAACCCAATAGAAACTAGATAATGAAAATCAATGAATCTGTTGGGAAAGCAGAAACTGCAAGAAAAATGGGCGACAGGAAAAGAGGAGCGACTGCTAAGAAGGCGAAGACGGAGACGGAGAGGGTGTGGCCGGTCATAAAGCAGAAGCCAAATCTTCTATCCACACGCCTTAAAGACGACGATTTGATTACTGTGAGTTTTTTGTTCTGGTTTGTGATTTGCTTCGATATAATTTGTCGGATTCTTTTTGTTTTACTAGTTTGATTGATGATTGGTCGGTCTGGATTATCCTTTTTACTCCGAGAGGATTAATACTTGTTGCGATGGATGAATTATAGATTTCAGTTTGATTTCGAAATGTATTTTGATACACAAAATAGGGTTTTATGTTTCCCCCCTTTATTATCAAATTTCATCGTTCTGTTTAATCTGCAACTAGTCAAGATTAGTGTTACATAGTTGATCTCTTAACAATTAGTTTATGTATAGCTATTGATTGATATGTGCTTCAAAATTGTTCGACGCTAGTGAATCAGTGGCTTCGTTGTTTAGCGTTTGACGAAATTGGAGCTTGAATTGTTCTTGAGCATACAAATGCATCTAGGTTAACCTTTTTAATTTTTATGCTTCCAAATTTGTTCAAGAATGATTGCCATTGCTCTTTCTGTGTTTTGGTTAAGGCATTCAGATCCAGAACTATTTTACACCAGCTGAATCGAAAGCATTTATAGATGCTGCTGAATCAATTGGTTTTGCTCACCAAGGAAGTCTTGGTCCAACCAAGGGAGAAGCTTACAGAGACAATGATCGAATATCTGTCTGTGATCCTGTCCTTGCTGAAGCAATATGGCAGGCTGGACTTAAAAAACTCTTCTCCGACTTTAAGATTCGAGGCAAAGTTGCAGTTGGATTGAATCCCAACATAAGATTCTACAGGTAACTGGCATTAGTGATTGATCATAATTATATAGCTACTTTAAGATCCATAATTACATTATAATACCTGTTGCAAATGCATATATACCTTGTGTTTTATTTATTGCGTAAAATCTTCTTGTATAATATTAAAGTATGCATAAAAATACCTTCTCCATCCAAAGATTATATTGGTTATAAATACATGCCTAATTATAGAAGTGTTTTACAGTTCTTTTGAGACGAACTATGATCTAATTTGGAAAAAAATATATTATGAAATAAAGAGTTAATCAATTCTTTATTTAATTATTATTTAAAACATTTCACTTCTTTGATGTGTATAACACTACTTTGGATGGAGATGATGTTTTGTGTATAATTTAATTTGACACAAAGATATTTCATGCAATAAATGAAATACGGGATATTTTGTGCATTTATAATAAACCCAAAAGGGCAATGTGCAATTTATCTTTATGTTATTGACGGGTTCTAAGTTGTAACGAACAATTTACATTATAGGTACACGGCGGGGCAGTATTTTGGACCACATATTGACGAAAGCGTCGATCTTGGAGATGGAAAGCGAACGCTCTACACTTTATTGATCTACCTAAGCGGCATTCCTGGTAAATCGAAAACAAGGTCTAAAAAGGATAATGACACGCGAGAGACTTTGGAGGCGCTAGTTGGGGGAGAGACTGTGTTTTATGGCCCTAGGAATGCTCTTGTAGCTGAGGTTCAATCCCCTTATCGTATTTTTTTAAATCCCTAGAGCTTCGATTATTCGATTTAATTGATTTTGAACACTTTGGCCTTTTGTCGAATGAATTCCGTATAGGTACCCCCTGCTGAAGGGATGGCCCTTGTTCACATCCATGGCAGTAAGTGCATGCTGCACGAAGCTCGGACTGTCGATAAGGGCATCAAGTATGTCTTGCGATCCGATGTCGTGTTTGCTTAGGAATCGATATATTTATCCGGCGAAATCGGGTTTCTTGTGGGGACTCTGGTGAAAGAAAACTGGCAAAATTCTGTAAGTTGTAATACATTGATGAAATATTGGCTTATTTTCGAACTTAGTTTTGTTCTTTTAAGTTTTTTATTTGATTATTTGGGAGGAAAAAAAAAAAAAGTTTAGAATAGTAACATCAGACCTAAAATTTTTCAAGTAAACACACCCAATTCATTCTTTATCTATACCTATTACTATTTTTATTTTTTTATTATTTACATAAATATTACTAATGGATTTCATATATTTTTTTTATACTCATTCTATTTTAATCTAAAAATTGTATGACTAACTTTAAAATTCCAATTCTATATAACTTTAACAAACTTATAGGTTACATCATCACAATCAATTAAAATGGAAAACATAGCCATGGGTTACTGTGTTGATTAAAAGTAAGTAACACGGTATTGATTTAAGTTTAGGTAGTTGGATTAGTGTTTAATTTAGAAATTATTATTATTTAATTTGTAGTTTATATGGTAAATAAAAACTACTTTTATAGTTAATTAGTTAATATTTATTTAGTACTATACATATAAATGCAATTAGCTACTTCGAATATTTGGATAAATACAAATATTTGGATGAATATGACTTTTATGTTGAATATAAATATTCAGGGTTTAGGGATACATTTAAAAAATAAAAAAATAAAAATTTATATATATATTCCTCAATAAGAACCAAAAATACAAGTTATACATAGTAATACAATAGAACAATGAAAAATCAAAGTTACTCATTCAAAAAAATAAATGAAATAATAATTTTGTAAAATATATAAATTGTATCAGTTGTTTTTTTCAGTTATGTACAATATCTAACAAAAATAAGGCTTTGTTTACTCTTAAGATTTTATAACTGATTTTACAATTATAACTTTATTTTCTGTTCAAAATCATCTAATCAAACATTCAATTTTTATTTATTTTATTACATTAAAATTTAATTTTACATTCAAAATATAACATTAATATATATTTATATCACATCAAATAACTATTTCAATTCAAAATTTTATTATTCAAAATCAAAACTAAAAAATCAAAATCTCTCAGATAAACACACCCTAAAAAGATTGATTTCAACCGGATCAAAATGACAAAAAATAAATAGATTAATTACCAAAAGCATGAGTATGTATCTATACAAACACACAGGTATATACATGCATACATATATATATATATGTATGTATCTGTGAGTACGTTGTGTCTGTGAACTTAATTAGGTTGGAGTACAATTCCGACAGCAGGCGGTGGCGGCGGCGGCGGCTACAGTGGCGGCGGCAGAATCTTAATGACGAGGCCGGGGAAGACATCGTCGGGGTCGTGAATATGGGGATTCCTCTCGACGATGTACGGATCGCCGCATTTCTCACTTATTGTGTTTAGTGTCTCGCCTTCTCCGACCACATATATTTCCTCGCACCGCCGTTGCTGCGCCGCCGTGACTGTAATTGTTCCGGCCGCCACCTCGGTTCTGGCGCCGCCGATCAGCAGCAGCACGGCTACGAAACCTAAGGCGCAGCAGACGGAGACAACGTCGGAGAAAATTAGGGACGGCCTGACGGCGCCGGCGGATTTGTAAGAAGGAGCCATTATGAATAATTATTTATTTATTTAATTAATTGTATTTGTTGGAGAAGTGAAATGAAGTGCCGTGGAGTGATTGGTTATATAGGAGGATGGTCCATTGGACCTGCCCTACACGATCACCACACCACTTTCCTTGTGTTGTGGATGGTTATCGCTGACTTATTTTGTTTTATTATATATTTATATATGTACATTCATATTCTTATTTTGTATTGTATAATTCCAAAATTATATCTAAATTTATTAACATTTTTCTCTCTTTTTTTTTTCCCTATAAATTTATTCTTATTTTTCTAAGGAAAAAATTATTATTATTTTTCTAGTTTTATTTTACCCTAAAAAATAAAAAAAAATTATTTATATCTTATTTTCTTTTTATTCGTATCCGTAAAATGAGTACATAATTGGATGACAGAGAGAATAATAATTTTAAAATATCTTATTTTATTATCAAATTATTATTTTACACTCAAAAGCAAAAGCAAAATTATTTTTACATTATTTTTAACTAATTATTACAATTACAATGTTATTATTTTTTAAATCTCGCATCTAAAGTAAATTTATAATTTCAAATTAAAATGAAGGAATATATATTTATTACGTGTAAATTTATAACTGCTATTTTTCGAATATGTTATAGATATATTTTTTTTTTAAAAAAATAAGTCACAGACTATATATAATTAGACAAAATATAAAAATGTTGGAGATATTATATATAGGTTATATATATATTGTACAAATTAGGTATGAGTAGTCCGTAAGGGATGACTTGATAGCGTGGAGTTGGACACATGACCTATGAGGTCATATGTTTAAACTCCCGATGCCTCAGGTCATCTGCCACACGTCTTTTCCGTCGGACCTAATTTGCAGGATGTTAGGTTCGATCGGGGGTTTACCCAGTTGTATGAGTAACCATGTTTATGGTTGGAAAAATAAGTATGCATTCTTTTTTTTAACTATAGTTAGTTATTATTATTAATATAAATATTGACTTATACAATATATACCAACAATATCAAAAGTTCATTTCAAATAATTAAAAAAATTCTATTACATATATATAAAGAACCATATCTCAAAGTATATCCAAACAAATCCCTTGTTGAAATGGCATTATTATCATTAATAATTGAATAATCATTAAATTTTGATCAAACAGACTACAATAAAATTGAATTATTTTATTCAACTTATATGGGGTAATTGAATAAATGTTTTTAAAGATATATACTACTATATTTTGATTTTATTTTTATATAGATTAAAACTAAAATAAAATATATATTCTCTTCGTTCGAATCATATGTAACTATTTTTTTTTGACATTTTTTTATATATATTATAGGAAATTATAGTGTAATCTAGTGACAAACCCTTCAACCTTTTGATTAGAAGTCGATATTAAAAAAATTATCATCAATTATTATTAAAATATAATAGTTTTAAATTTAATATACATTTCTTAATATACCAAGATAGACACTAAAGTAATAATAATATTAATGGAATTAAATTTTAGTGATATATAATTTTGTAGGAAAATAAAAATATTATGGTTGACCGAAATTATTATATATATACATAGGTGGAACTACATTGGGGCTAGGGGATCAATTGAACCTCAGTCCTTAAAATATATGTATTTTTTATGTAAAAAATAATAAAATTATATATTTTATAGTAATTTGTTTTTCTTAATTTTTTATATTATAATGTAAAAAATCATAAATTATACTTTTAGTCTTTAAATTTTATTTTATTGGTAAAAAAATATTAAATCTTACGTAATTTTGTTGAAATTTTTTCTAAAATATTTAAATTTTTCAATTTTTTTTTATTTTTGTCAAAATGTACCATGAATAAAAAAAACTACTGCCGGTTCCGTCACTGTACATATATTAATACCAAAATAATCCAAAAATAAAAGAAATCAATCATAATTAATTAATAATTGTTACAATGTTTATCCGATGACACATGATATGTTTAATTGGACAGGTACACTTGTGGTCGTTATGTATATGCACTAGTAATAATGTAAATATAATTGATTATTCAATTATCAAAATAAATAAATAAATAAATAATACCTTCCCCAATTATTAATTCGAAAATTAATATATTACCTATTCTCATACGTTATTTAAAATTTCAAAATTCATTCAAAATATACCCTTTTTTAATTTTTCTAGAAATTGGTTACGTGTAAGAAATTGAAATTGACACATTAACTTATAAAACTTAAATAATATGGTATGGGCATGCTTAAATTATCCCTATTTTTATTCTACTATTTAATTAAATAATCATCTATTATTTATAAATGTATGGTCACACACTTAAACTTGAAATAAATAAATAAAAATAAATGTCAAAATTTACCAAACTCGTCAATTATATATTATCTTGATAGCTAAGAAAATTAAAATAAGAAATGGAGTAGAAAACAATCAATTTCAATCTTATTGTTTGTTTAATTAATTAATTTTAATTTTCTATATATAGTGTGTCTGTTTTGTGAGTTTATTGAATTTTTTTTTTTAATGTAAAATACAGATAATTGTATAATAAATATAAAAATAATAAATGTGTATAATGTATTAATTTTTTTTTTTTTTGAAAATGTGCCGAAAAAAAAAATCTTGAAAGAACAAAGCGATTATATTTGAAACATATTCATTTTTCATCAAATTAACTAATCTCAATTTTATAAATTTAAATGATTTTTACTACCATGGTTACTATAAAATCCATTGTAATATAATGTGTCTTGAATAGTTTTTTTTTTTCCTTTTTTAAATTTCAATTTTGGTTTTCTTATTTATATATATTTTTCATAATTTTTTTTAAAAAATTTCTTAATCTTATCATTTTAGTCTTATAATTAAATTTGTATAAAAATCATCCCGTATCTCATTTTCTTCAGCATAATTAATTCTTCGGCGCTGGAGCTGCATATGTGGTGCCTATGGCTCGTCGGAATTTGCGTGTCCGCCAAATAAGTACTATAGGATAGACCCATGTAATTTTTTTTTAAAAAAATATGGATGAAATTTGTGAAATTTTTATAATTAATTTAATTAAGACTAGTTCCAAGATAGAAATTTTGTTTCCCAAAATAATGTGCATAGAAAATAATTAAATTATTGTAAGTAGGAAAGCCAAGGCCTATTGATTAGCAATATGGACCTCTATAGGGCATGCAAAAAGTTGTTTGGCGTGCTTAAAAAAAGGCATTAGGAAAATGAAATAATGTATATATAGAATGAATCATTTAGGAAAATTCATTTAATTTATTGCTTTATTGTTTTCTTTTATTTTTGTCTTATATTTTAATTTTACTTCTTTTTTTTTATGTAATACTAATATTTAAAAGAAAATTATTCAAAAATCCTTGATCCACAAAAAAATTGTCCTTTAATCTAATATTTTAATTAAAAAATTTGTGAAATTACAAAAAAAAAATCCAATATTTCAATACACATGCTAAAATGGCATAAACTTATAAAATACAAACTACAGGCTTTAAAATAATTTAATATTGAATTTCAATTTAAATATAAGTAATAAATAGCATAATTTTATTAAAAATGACGTAGTAAAAAACTGAAATTACAAATTTACGAACAATTAAAACCCTAATTTACATTTGAATGAAATATTTATCACTAAATTTATATTTGAAGAATATTTTATTATACTTAACAATAATAAGCAGCCAACGTACAAGCCGGTAATGCAGAAGGTACAATCTGATAGCAGACACGCCCGTCGTGCTGCCACCGAGTGCCGTCGATGTCCGGACGACCACTGTCGGAGCTACGCAGATCCGTCACTCGCCACCGCGCCGCCGCCGTGAATACGGCGGCGCGAGATCCAATTTCGAATTACAGGATCAAAGAACTCCACGGGCGTTTGATCAGATCCCACCAGTGCAGCAATTCAAATTCCATGGCGGAGGTCATCAAACACTACGCCCTCTCCGAATCGTCTCTGCAAAAATCCATGTTAGCTTTCTCCAAAATATGCAATCCTTCGTTACCAATCTGGAATCACATGATACGAGGGCTTTCCCAAAGCGACAGACCTGAGGACGCTCTCCACCTGTTCGACGAAATGCGTCAAAGAGGATTGCGAGGTAATAATCTTACGTTCATATTTGTGTGCAAAGCTTGCGCTAAAATTCCTAACATTTTGTATGGAAAGAGAATTCATGTTCATGTCTTGAAGATGGGATTCGGATCGTATCTCTACGCCTGCAATGCTTTGATTCATATGTATGGTTTCTGCGGCGAATTGGGCTTCGCAAGAAAGGTGTTCGACGAAATGTCTGAAAGAGATTTGGTCTCCTGGAACTCTTTGATCTGCTCGTATAGTCAATGCGGAAATTACGACGACGTTTTGGGTGTTTTCGACGCAATGAGAGTCGAAAACGTGAAGGCGGATGCCGTAACTATGGTGAAAGTTGTTTTAGCTTGCGTACACGTCGGTGAAACGAAGCTCGTAGAGTCGATGATGGAATATATCGAGGATAACGGCGTCGAAATCGACGTGTTTTTAGGAAACACATTGATCGACGTGTATGGAAAGCGCGGCTCAGTTGGATCGGCTTGGAACATATTTGAAAGAATGGGTAAAAAGAACGTCGTTTCTTGGAACGCAATGATCGCCGCGGCCGCAAAATCGGGCGACATTTCTTTGGCGAAGAAGCTCTTCGATGAGACGGTCGAACGGGACGTCGTTACGTGGACTTGTATGATCGCCGGGTACGCACAATCGAATCGGTACGAGGACGCCGTTACTCTTTTCGACGAGATGGTGGCGGCGAAGATCAATCCCGATCGAGTAACTATAGCCACCGTGCTTTCAGCTTGCGCGCGTTTGGGAAGACTCGACTTAGGCGATGCGGTGCACGATTATTTAACGCGTAGTAAAATCGAAACGGATATCTATGTCGAGAATGCTCTTGTCGATATGTACTCCAAATGCGGTTCAGTCGAAAAAGCTTTGGCGGTATTTCGTGGTATGAAACGACTGGATCCCGTTTCTTGGACCGCCATCATTTGCGGCGTTGCCGTAAACGGAGACCCGGATCGAGCTTTGAATTTATTCTCGGAGATGCTGAGAAACGGCGTGAAACCGATCCACGGAACGTTTGTCGGCGTGCTACTTGCTTGCGCGCATTCGGGTTTGGTGGAAAAGGGATTGTCGTTTTTCGACGATATGCGGAAGATATATGGATTGGTGCCGGAGATGGCGCATTATGGTTGCGTGGTCGATCTTTTATGTCGGGCGGGTGATCTTTGTAAGGCGTACGAGGTTGCGAGGAGCATTCCGGTGTCTTCCGATGTTGTCGTGTGGAGGATGTTGCTAAGCGCTTGTAATCTTTACGGCGATACCGTTTTGGCGAAAATCGCTTCGGACAAGATTCTTGAGGTCGATCCATGTAATGGTGTCGACTATGTTTTGTCGTCGAACTTGTATGCCGGCGTAGAGAAATGGGACGAGGTTGTGAGAATGAGAGAGCTCGTCGAGAAAGGTAGAGGCAATGTGTCCAGGCCGTCGGGATGGAGCTCGATTCAAATTATAGATTGATTTATTTGTTTAGTACGGAAAATTGAAGTAAAAATAGTTGTTAGATGTAATATTTTATATATATTAAAAAATAATAATTTGGGTGTAATTTTATGGAATAAAAATTAAAAGTAAATTTTAATTTAAGAAAAAGAAAATTATGGCTTATAGGGCTGTAAAGGCCCATTCTTTGGTAAGAGGCCCAAATTTTGAATCGATACAATTGAGTTAGAAATATCCTAAAATTTTTAGTTTTTTACTATTTTACATTCCAAAAAAATTATACTCCCTTCCTCCAATTAGATGATTAGATGATTGTATGAATTGACATTTAACATGATAGGGATTAAAAGTAATAAATCAATGAAGGGTAAAAATATAAAATTTATATTTAAAAAAATAAAGGACAATAACTATAGAAAAATAGGACAGTAATTTTTTCCCTCGTAAACATCCCATCAAATATTATCATCAAATATTATTTTAATATTAAACTTTTTCTCAAACCAATAAAAGAAAACAAACATTAACAAATCCAGGAGACTTGCATACACATTCATGCATATACATATATATATATATATATATATTATGGTTTACAAACGCCATCAAGAAGCCATAGCCATATTCAAACTTAGTACGATGAACAGACCATTACATCGAATGTCTCTATAATACAAGTTTTTTTCTCCAGCAGCAAATTAAAATCCCTGTCGAATTCGATAAGCAAAGTGATATCATAGGGTGTATATATATATATATGTGTAGGTATATGTGTGTGTGTTTCTTGCTCGACCGGGTCGACAAACTACTCGTCTTGCACCTCTTTCTGGCAAATCGGACATTGCTGCAAATCAAAGAAAGAAAGAACATAGCCGAGTTTGTTTTGTAAATAATTTGAAGGAATATTTTTTTTACATAAAATATAGAAAATTGTATAAAAAAACGAATGTGTGAGAAAAAAAACAAAAAGAACACATTATAAGCCTCGGTTTAATTTTGAAATCGAAAATGACATAAAGGGTAAAAACGAGGATACCTTGTTTTGTCGCAACCACGGCGTGATGCAGCCGTAATGGAACCGGTGAACACAGGGCAAAGTCGTAACTTTTTCGCCATTTTTGTAATTCGAATAGCAAATCACACACCTAGACATCCAATTGCAAACATTATTACCGAAAGATTATATATGTAATTAACGATGTATTTTTCCATAAGCTTAAGCTTTTAGGCGGTTGGATTAGCCTTCGGAAAGTATATACCAATGTCCGATTACTACAACTTATCTTGATAATACTAAGACATAACTTAGTAATAATGTAAGAAAACGGGGTTTAGGTTAGAGAAGTTATACTCATCGTTTTCCCGTTTCTTTTTCTTCGAGAACAATCCGAGCTTGTATTTGCAAGTCGGTAGACGCGATATGAGATGGGGCGTAAGTCCTCTGTTCTCGCTCCCGACGGCTTCCGCGAGCGATTGAAGTTCCTAACAAAAACGATAGATGTCATGATTTAAGGATGTCCCGAAACAAGAAATCTTGATGCTCGAATCGAACGAGTTACTCGACCAACCTCGTAAGTCATTCTGTCGGGATCAATGTCATCTTGCGTTATGTTACGACTCTCAACCTACACACAACAATATATATATATATTCACATATAGCGAACGTATATAACGGACGTTAACTCGAAAACGGAGAGGTGCGTCGGGACGTACCCTACGTACGGTTTCTCTCGAAGTCGAACCGGCGGTTGTCTCGGTAGGTAACACCGAAATCATCTCTTTAGCGGCAAAAGACGTAATTCAAATTCAAAAAGATCAAATCTTTAACGAGAAAAAATTCAGGAAAACGACATTTCGACGGTAAGAAATCAGCAAATATCAATCTCACCGGGTGCACAAGCATCGTCGCGTTCTCGATCGTATAAATTGTTGAAATCCTCACCCAATTCCAAGGCTCTTGCAAAGTCTTCATCCAAAGCCAGCTGCCGGTCGACGCTCGCGCCGTACGACGACGATTCGCTTTCGTGCGTCAAAACGAAACTACTATTGCTCGTTTCGCCGGAATCGGACGCTACGATCCCTTTCTGTTTATTGTGTTCGATATAGAGAAAAGCGCTCTCCTGTTGCATCGATAAATTCCTCAGAAAAAAATATCGTAAAATTTTGCCGTAAATATCGATTTTAACATACCTGCATTAGAAGAACCTCTTCGGCGTCGAGATCACCGTACTCGGGATAAATATCCTTAAGATGCTCGGCAAGGTTATTGATATCATTCATCGTTCGAAAATTATTAGTCGGATGAACAAACTAGCCTCTTTTGAATAACTGAAAGAAAAACAACAGTCTTTGATAAGCAACACAAGTAAATCGCGATTTGGACATGAAGACTTCTAAAGAGACCGGCCTCGATTATTAAACGACAAAGAAAATTGACTAATCTTAGCAAATGCAACCATTTGTCTTGGAAAGCAACAGCTAGATAAACAATACCGAATACGGGCCAATTTGCAGAATTTCTTATTCGAAGCTTTCGGACAAATTGACTGCAGAAGTCTTTGTTTAATAACAATGGCTTAAAGGATGAATCTGTAAGAAATAAAACAATGCAAGACAAATGATTTCCAGGAAGATTTAGATTTGTTATTTCAATCTTTTTTTTTTGACACATCTAACCACTATTTTCGACACTAAAAACATCGACTCAAAAACATAGTTTACGATGCCTAAACTCTACACCAAACATCATATCTAACTATTATTTTTCACGCTAAAAAAATTTAATATGTAACTCGGAACATGAACTCTGTACATAATTTCTACTCTTAAGCTCTATACCAAACATCAAATCTAACCATTATATTCGACTTTTAAAAATTCAATCAAGAACAACTCAAAACACGAAAACTATAAAAAATATATATATATATAATTTTCGGCGCCTAAAAGGCTAAAACTCTGTACCAAACAACAAATCTAACTATTATTTTCCACTCTATAAAATTCAATCAAAAACAACAAAAAACACGAAAACATCCACTCAAAAGTATAATTTTCGACGCCTAAACTTTATATAGCACATCAAACTTAACCATTATTTTCAACTTCAAAAAAATTCAATCAAGAACAACTCAAAACACCAACTTACAAACATAATTTACTACGCCCAAACTCTACCTAGCAATTATTTTCCACTCTTAAAAAATTCAATCAAGAACAACTAAAAACACGAAAAGCAATCCCTCAAAAGTATAATTTTCGACGCCTAAACTCTCTATACAACACATCAAATCTAACCATTATATTCAACTATAGTAATTCAATCAAGAACAACTCAAAACACAGATTTTTATGCCCAAACTGAATACCAAACATCAGATCTAACTTTTATTTTCCACTCTAAACAATTCAATCAAGAACAACTAAAAACACGAAAAACACCAACTCAAAATACATAATTTTCGACGGCTAAACTCTGCACCAAACATCAAATCTAACAATTATTTTCTACACCGAAAATTTCAATCAAGAACAACAACTAAAAACAAACAAAACATCATCTCAAAAGCATAATTTTCAACTTCTAAACTGTATACAACACATCAAATCTAACCATTATTCTCGTCTCCAAAATATTCAACCAAGAACAACTTGAAAGCACACCAAAAACATCTCAAAAATCACAAGCAAACAACCTTTAAGCACCCAAATTCAAGATTCAAGAAGCAAATTAAACACAGACAACATCCAATTCCCCAATTAAATCACTAACTCCAGCACACCCTAAATTCAAGTTCTAATTCCCCCTTTCATTTCAAATTGTGAAGAAACATAACAACAAAACACATAATGAGCAAGATCTTGGCCACACACAATGTACAGATCAAAATCCACACTAATATTCCATTATGTAAAACAAAATACAGACAAACCCAAACGAAATTACAAAAAAAATAAAAATTTGGGTTTCGAAGAAACCATACACCAAGCAAGACAAGAAACCCTTCTGGCATTTGAATCAAAATTGCTGAAACAAGTTCTCCATTCTTCCCCCTTTCGCCTTCCCCCAAATTTCTTCACTCTCAGTGACGTTAAAAAATACAAATAAAGGGTTTAGTGAAGCTGAAAGGGAAAGGAAATCGAAAATAGTGTTAGATAACAAAAATAAATAAAAATCAAGACTGACATTTTTATACAGTGGAAGCTGGTAGGAGAAGCAATGGAGAATAGGCCCCGCTTGACTTTTTTTTTTTTTTTTTTTCTTTTCAAGAAAATAAAAAATTTGCCGGCAATTGAATAAGGATAAGCATCTAATCATATGGAAGACTGTAATCGATGAAGACTTGCCATTTTTTACTCACTATATACTTTTCTTTTTCAGTTTTTACTTCAGAGGATTTGATGATTAGAGCCTTCTCTTGTACCAGGATTCGAACACCAGATAAATCTACACCGTTGATTTTGTGGGGTTTCTGTTTTCAGCGGTGTAGATCTATTTGGGGTTGAGATCCTGGTGCTTTTAATAATTGTGGGTGGAAAGGTCACCGTAGGTCCCGCTGCTGTCCAAGCTGCCTACGCAGTGACTGTTCTCTTTATGCTACCTACACATTCTTTAGACGAGTTTTTGCTAGTGATATTTAAAAAAATAAAAAGAAAAGGTAAAAATAGGATTTTATTTTATTTTTTTGGTAAAAAGGAATAAAAGATGATATTTTCTTACTTAAAAAAATGAAAATAAATTGTGATGAAAAAAAAAATTATAGATTTGAATGATGAATAAATCGATAAAATACTGACAATATATAATATAGTATTATACAATACATGCTATTCGGTATAAAAAGACGTTAATACATCAAAATTTTATATGCTTTTAGATAACATAATATGTATTGTGTGAAATAAAAATATATGTTTGATTGATTATTTTATAATAATAAAAAAAAAAACCTTAAAAAGTTGTGATATTTCTTAAAATACCATGATAATAATTGGACCGTATTTCAAAAGCCCAACTAATAAGTACGAGGGACTTTAAAGACATAAAGTAGATACAAGCCTATAGTTTCCATAATTATTTTGGATTATTTGTTAGGCCTTTGGGCTTATTTACATTTGATTTTTAAAAGGTACTGTGAATTAAATATAAATAATATAATTATATTTATTTATTTTATTATAATATATTGATAATATATAAATTAATTGTTTTATATTATATTATAATATTCAATTTATTATTATTATTATTATTATTACTACTACGAATATAGTACTCCCTCCGTCTCAAATACAGTGCAACACTTGTGTTTTGCACGATAATTTAGGTGGAGAGTATTAAGTATGGTAATTTGAGATAATTTGGATATTAAGTGATGTAATTTGAGAGAGAAATGATTATTTATTTTTCTAAGTGAAGTGTATATTAATACATGTATATAAATATTATTAATTATTTCTAAATTAAAAAATATTGCAATGAATTTGAGATAAATAAAAAATGAAACGTTGCATGGTGTTTGGAATGAATTGAATAAATTTAAGTAAAAAGTGTTTATGCTATTTCAGCGCTACATCAATCTACTTATGAAAAAAATATTTTTCAATCCCAAAAGTTGTTTTTTTTTTTTTTTTTATAAAAGTCAGTACAAATAGTTACAAAATGTTTTTTTCTAGAGTAGAAGTCAAAAGCTTCAGCCAAAACCAATCCAAATGAGACATTTCTTATAAGGAGTATTTTTTTAAAACAAATAATATATTCCCTACGTCTCATTGAAATGTTACTATTTTTATTTTCATCCCGTCCCAAAATAAGGTTACCATTTCATAATTTAGTAATTATACTACATACCTAACATAATAAATATCATTTCAATTTATAATATATTACACAAATAACATTACTTTTATATTACATCATATTAATAGAAGTATTTTTGTCTTTTTTATTACAATCTAATATAATATTAATATTAAAATATTTACGTGTAAAAAATAAATGTTACCCCTCTAATGAAACGGGGAGAGTATATATATATTCAATTGATGTAAAAAATATTATTTATATGATACTAATATTAATTTTAATAAAAATATATTATTTCCTTAGCCCGTTATATATGATTTTTTTTTCATATTAAATATATTTAATAAATATAACTAAATTTAATTAAAAATTTAATTTGTTATACTTATGACTCACAAAAAAAACTCTTTTATTTTTATTTATGTTCTCAATTAATAATTTTTTTATTTACATTTAAAATTTCTGAATTTTTATAAAATTAATTTATTTGTATTATATAAAATTTTACTTTTTACAAAATAATATTTAATATTATATACTACATCCGTCCAATTTCTATTATTCTAAATTATATTTACACGGTTTTTTAAGTGATTGTATTTTTGTTATAAATTGATTGCTCTTAATTGTATGGTAGATATTAAAAGTAATAAATTAATAAATGGTAAAAATGTTAAATTTGTGTTTAATAAAAAAAAAGATATTAATTTATGGACAAATGAAGTATATTATATTGAGATATAATATTAAAAATGTTTAAACACATTAGCTACTTCACAAAAGACATTACATTTATTGGTGCGGAGAGAGTATTATATTTTGCAAATGAAATGGACTAAGGGTTGGTGGTAAAAAATGAATCAAACATGGTACAAGCGAACTAAGGGTTGGTGGTAAAAAATGAATCAAACATGGTACAAGCGAACTGACACGGGCTGATATTCCTGTCTTCGTTCTCGGCTATAGTTCGTCCCATGTGTGCGAACTCTTGTTTTGTACGGTCGACTAATGACTCATATTTTGGTGCAAGTACATATTCCGTATTATTCTCTCATATTGTATGGTATATCCCGGACGTGTTGTGCACAGGGGACGACTAGTCTGGGCCTCAGTGTGTGTTTGGCATAGGTGCTGGACGTATAAGCTTCCGGACACGTTACTGAACGCACGAATCTACTTGGGCCAGCTCAGCATCTGCCCCACCAATCCCTAACTGGGGCCGGGACTTTCTGCTCCACTCCATCCTCATCCACTGCTAGCTGTTACTCTTATTATTATTATTACTACGTTATTGTTATTATAGTGCAGAATTATTTTATTAAATATTGTATTAATAAAATATAAATGATTGGAAGTAATATATAATTTTACATATTATCTTAATTAAAACAATATTAGACAATTTATATTCTATGAGGTATAATATATATACATATATTTTCTTGTATTAAGATCAATTGTACTATGACCTATTGTCATATAATTTTAATTTTTATGCTACATTTGTATGTTTGTCAATAATTTGTGTATTGTCATTGAAATATATTATTATTATTATTATTATTATTATTATTATTAAATTTAAATATATTATTTTTCAATTTCTTGTATTCGTACAGATATAACCTGACGTGAAGATGAGGTTCATGTGGACTGAGGTTCACTTCTGACTAAGGTGGTTTTTTTAAAACAATAATTTACCTAACATTTGTTATTTTATTAACTTTTTTAATGAGCTCCCAACATTGGTTGATCCACAGCGTTGATTCATTGGGACCCACAATAGTAACGGCCCGAATGCGTTTGGCGCTGTCCTTCATTAATGAGTCTTTGCTGCTCCTGGGAGTTTGAGTCCGGGATGAATCTGAACCGTCGTATCTTTGAGCCCACATTATCAACGGTCAGGATTTACCCCCTAGAATCAATTGTCCCCTTCTCAGTTCTTAACGGTCAGGATTTACCTCCCCCAATACTTCGAAAAAACCATCGCACCCTTTGCAACCCAATCCTTAAATTAACCATTTTCTTACGCACCTCCCACATGTACAACTTTGCTCTATATAAAATTAGTATTATTTATTATATGATTTTTTTAATATTTTTTTTTATCTTTTATTTTTATAAATTAACATATTTAAATATTATTTAATAAAAATTTAAATTAATATTTTATTTTAAATAAATTTCAAAATATAATTAAATAATATTATAATTATTTTTTTTATAATATTTATATAAAATAGTATTTTATTAATTAATAAAAATATATAAAATATTATTGATATTTTTACTTATACAAGTATAAAGATAAGAGTATTTTAATATTTATATATAAATTACTTTTATTACACAATAATAAAAATAAATATATTTTTGAATGAGACAAATAAAATATCTTTTATGTCCAAATTCAAAATATATTTTTTACAATTTTTGTCTGTCATATCTCTTTTATATTTAAAAAGAATTAATTATACACTAATACTAAAAATAATTATAATATTTATTTAAATTACAAATATACAATTATATATAATTATTTTATACCTAAAATTAAAGAATAAAAATATCAAAAATCTTGTACATTTTTATTAATTAATAAAATATTATTATTTTTTAATTTATTATAAAACCTCACAATTTTTTTTTTTTTTTTTGGGAATGGAGGAGAATAAAACAAATATATTGAATTGGAAGAAAAAAGATTAAATAATTAATGGAGATTTTTTATTTTTTAAGATTTCCAAACTTTAAAAATTATGTCCTAATGGAAGTTAATTAAATAACAAAAAATTATCATTATATATATAGAACTTGCTGTTGTTTCAGATTCAACAAAAAAACAAACAAACAAAAAAAGGGGTCAATTATTTTCCTTACAATATGGGCGGTCCAAGCCCACCTCACTATACACCCCTCTCCAAAACCACCGCCGGCGGCGCCGCCGCCAATCACTTAAGACGAAAAAAGCTCTATTTTCTAGCAATCATCACCATCCTCTGTTCCCTTTCTTACCTCCTCGGCGTCTGGCGCCACGGCCCCGGCGGCGCCACCACCGTCGCCGCCAACTTCGGTGTCGCCGTCCCTTGCGTTAACAGGGTTTCAAGCACCGCCACGACCGAGCCCGGCGGCTCCTCCACGCAACTAGACTTCTCCACCCACCACTCCGCCGCGGACGGCGGCGGCGGCGGAGGAGACGCGGCGGCGAAATCGTATCCGGCGTGCAGCTCCAAGTACAGCGAGTACACCCCCTGCGAGGACCAGAAGCGGTCCCTGAAGTTCCCCCGGGACCGGCTGATTTACCGCGAGCGCCACTGCCCGGCGGCGGAGGAGCGGCTGAAATGCCGTATTCCGGCTCCGTACGGCTACCGGACGCCGTTCCGGTGGCCGGAGAGCAGGGATCTGGTTTGGTACGCGAATGTGCCACATAAGCATCTGACGGTCGAGAAAGCCGGCCAGAACTGGATCCGGTTCGACGGCGACCGGTTCAGATTTCCCGGCGGCGGGACGATGTTCCCGAACGGCGCCGGTGCGTACATCGATGACATCGGAAAATTGATAAATCTGAAAGACGGGTCCATTCGAACCGCCATTGATACAGGCTGTGGGGTACGATTTAATTCAATTTCCTTTTTATTTTTATTTTCTTTTATTCTTTTTGAATAAATAAATATATATATAATAAAATTTGCAAATTTTTTGGGTACATATAGAGACGCACGAATGGAGACGTAAATATTTGAATTATTATTACAAAAAAGGTTATGTGATGTGATTCGGACCTGTTTGTTTACTATTCTTAGTGGGGAAGTAAAGATCTTTGCCCTATCTTTTTTAAATTTCTACTTTTGATTATGTATATACTTTTTCGTGAATAATTTATCTTCAATTCTTTGTATTTTATTTATTTATTTGATATTTTTTGAATCGATAATTAATATTGAACCTAATAATTTTGTATCATTATCATCGTCGCTTTAATAATTTCAACACATAAATTATTAGGTTGAATGAATACAATATGTGCTTACAATGTTCTCACTTCATATACTGTGTTTCGGTTAGTGGATAAGTTTTCTGTTTGACTTTTATATGCGAGAAAAATTAATATTTTATAGATATGTAATGTAATAAAATAATAGTGGTATAATATTTATTTTATTCTTAAAAGGTAACTTGAAAAGTTAAAAATATAAATATTTTGGTATAGAGTTGAGAGATATTTTCTGTTTTTTAAAAAAGTTTTGATTTAATAAACTAAAAGTGGAAAATGAAAAATTCAAACATTGGCGGAAGAGTATTAATTTATATATGTACGTTTGTTTAGGGTTTGAATTTTGGATTGAGATTTGAAGAGTAAAAAATTTGAATTGAAATAGTGGTACGATGTGATATTGATGTAATGCTTTAAATTTAAATTTAAAATTAATTTTTAACTAGAGGGAAAATTTTGTATAAATAGTACTTTAGAATTATGTTTTTTCCTATATTAAACATAAAATAGTTGTTGCATGTGATGTTTTTTAGACCCAAATACGATAATTATTTAGAAAAAAAAACGTCCGATTTAACTAATTGATATTCTTTTGTCGTATCGTGTCGAATTGAATAGGTTGCGAGTTGGGGCGCGTATCTACTATCCCGAGACATTCTTCCGATGTCGTTCGCCCCAAGGGACACGCACGAGGCGCAAGTTCAGTTCGCGTTGGAGAGAGGAGTGCCCGCATTGATCGGCGTCCTCGCCTCCAAGAGGCTCCCGTACCCGTCGAGGGCGTTCGACATGGCGCATTGTTCTCGATGCCTCATTCCGTGGGGTCAATACGGTAATTTCACGCGCCGTCGCCGTATATTTCGATTGTTTTGTCATGACAAGAATCTTGCAAGAGTTTCATGACTTGGGGTGATTTGTTTTTGTAGATGGTGCCTACTTGATGGAGGTCGACCGGATCTTGCGACCCGGCGGGTACTGGATCCTGTCGGGGCCACCGATCCGGTGGCGGAAATACTGGCGGGGGTGGGAGAGATCGAGGCGGGATTTAAATTCCGAGCAAATGCAGATCGAAAACGTCACCCGGAGCTTATGCTGGAAAAAGATAGTCGAGAGAGACGACATCGCCATTTGGCAAAAGCCCGCGAACCACTTCGACTGTAAGAAGTTCCGGAAACTCGTCAAGAAGCCGACTTTTTGCAGCGCCGGCGATCCCGACAAATCTTGGTTTGTCCTCGCCCGTCTTCGACTACTATTCTCATCGACGCTACCGCGTTTTGAATCCTATGTTTGGACTATCTCTGCAGGTACACAACCTTGGAGACATGCCTGACTCCGTTACCCGAAGTGTTGACCCGCGACGACGTCGCCGGCGGCGCGCTCGCCAAGTGGCCGGCGCGGTTGACCGCGACGCCCCCGAGGATAGCGCGAGGAACGATCGACGGCGTGACCCCTGAGACGTTCGAGCAAGACACAAGGAAGTGGAAGCGACGAGCCGCGTACTACAAAACGGTTAACAATCAGCTCGGCCAACGGGGACGGTACCGGAATATTCTCGACATGAACGCTTTCTTGGGCGGGTTCGCCGCCAATTTGATTGGCGATCCGTCGTGGGTAATGAACGTCGTCCCCGTCGAGGCAACGAGGGACACCCTCGGTGCGATCTACGAGCGCGGACTAATCGGGACGTACCAGAGCTGGTAAGAATCTGATTGAAAGCATGTATAAAATAGAATGTAAAAGATTAAAATGTTTAAGGATTTTAAAAGTATGTTAGAGTAATAATTAAGGTTAGTTTGAAAAAATAGGAATAATTTTATTATAAAGCGGAGAACAAATAGAACAATTATTTTGAGACGGACGAAAATGGAAAAACAAAGCATTTTTTGTATTTTTGTTAGTATAAAAGAAAAAGTTTATATTTTCTCATTTTTCTTAAAATATGCGTTCGATCAAATGAGTATAAGTTTGGATGACAGAAGTAGCATGTAATTAGTGATGCATTTTACTACTCGTTTAAGGTTATTACCCACGACGATGTAATTGCAGGTGCGAGGCGATGTCGACGTATCCTCGGACGTATGATTTGATCCACGCGGATTCGGTTTTTACGATGTACGAGGATCGATGCGATCGGGAAGATATACTGCTGGAAATGGATAGGATATTGAGGCCGGAAGGGGGAGTGATAATAAGAGACGATGTGGACGAGGTTGTGAAGGTGAAGAGGATTGCAGACGGTCTGAATTGGGACAGCCAAATTGTGGATCATGAGGATGGACCATTGGTGAGGGAGAAGATTTTGTTCGCCGTCAAACAGTATTGGACAGCCGAAGACGACGCCCGAATCTGATCGGAATCTGGGATGTAGGAATAGTACGTAGCTTCTCCGGCGGGTTCTTTTTTCTATATAGATATAGTTTTGGGGTTTTATTGTGATATTCAATTGTTTTACTGTGGAGTTTTTGCCCTAATGTGAATTATTTAAATTGTCATTTAACAAAGTGTGATTTTATTTTTTATTTTTTTTTATTTTTTATTTATTAGTAAACTTCGACATAATCTAATACCTTGCAAATCAAGCTCGACGGGAAAGTGACTTGAAGCGTCTGAGTTTGAACCTATAATCTTACGGTCACAAGTTCAACCCTTATATTACCGGGACAACAAAATGTGATTATTTGGTTACCCCTTTATATGCTTTCCAAGTGTTACAGAATCTTTATTTTTATTTTTGTTGGATTTAAGATGTTTTTTATTATTTCAACTTTGTAATTTTTAAAAATATTTCATGCTATTTAAATAATTATATTTTAATAAAAATAATTATAAATTAAGATTAATATGACTATATAATTTAATTATATGATTATATAATTTAATTAAAATAAATTAATTATAAATTATGATTAAAATATATAAATATATTTTGAAAAAAAATACAAATTATATAAGACAGAAGAAAAATAAAAATAATAAATAATTTAAGTGAAACGAAAAGAATAAATTTTACTCTTTCAAAATATTTTATCAAAATTATATAAATATAAATAAAATATATTTAGTGGGACAAACAAACTCGTTTATTTAATTATTATAATTCACTTTTTTAATTAATTAAATATTATTATTTTAAATATATTATTATAAATTTAAGGATAAATAAAGTGGTGTATTTTTTTAAAAAAAAATAAATTCACAGTTTTTTAAAAAATATTAATATACTACATATATTTATTGTTTTTATATTTTATGTATAATTTTTTATATAAAAAATTTTCTTTTCAAATTATTTCACAAAATAAATAACAAAAAATATTAATAAAAGCAGAGTAATTTAAAGCGAAATGCAGGCCTTACTTGGGTTGGGCCATTACCCACATCCAATCAACTGATACGGACATTAATTACTCGGATCAAACCAGCTGAATTCATGATCCACCTTATCTAGAAACTTCCTGCTCGCCGTCTCCCGGTCTCCGTCTCCGTCTCCGTCTCCGATCCGATACCTACCGGCGATGCGATTTTCCACCTGAACTTTGCGGGCGCTTCTACAACATCGATCTCCACTCCACACCTCTTTTACGTATCTAATCGCCGCCGCCCGTTTACCGCAACTGTTGCTTGCTGAGGCGGTTGTCAGCGGAGAGCGCTGTCCTTTGTAGCAGACGGACGGCGAGTTACGAATTAGAAAGTTTCTTCTCCGGTTTAGGTGCGTAGCTGCTTTATTTACTGGTTTCCGTAATGGAGTTTGTTCATTTTTATCGCTTTTGTAAGATTCTTTTGTGGATTGAGTTGATTAATGCACGTTGATACCCACACTGAGGTTTTAAAATTAGTTGATTCCTATTATGTTCTTGATATATGATTTCTTATTACATCTTGGGTTAGTAATTATCATCAGCTTGCTTAGCTTAGCAATCGAAATAGGTACGTTTTATTTATTGAGTATTTTTTTTTTTCAAAAGAAGAATCAGCTGTGTGTTAAGTACATTTATACGTATGGAAGCAAAAGAGCAAGCATACTGGCTTGAGGTATGGTAATTGCTCATGTTTATGCATTCTTGTCTTCTATGGTTATGACATTGGAAAGGAGATTTATATAATTTGCATGAAGAGGAGCTGATCTTATACCATGTGAAACATAATTATCTTGTCAAAAGCCAAAAATTCATTTAGGCACTGCTAGGTTAAAGTGTTTTGGATGAAGAGACCAGAGCGCATTGTCGAATATAGACAACGCACTTGTTTTCTTTTTCTGAAATCCTTGATTTTCAATTTCCCTAAATTATATCTTTGTAGATTATTGACTCATAAGTCATAATCCTTTAGATTGTATTATCCTAGTATTTATTATGCTTCTAATTGCTAGTATAATCTCCCGTTATGATTACATTTATGAGAAGCAAATAATAGGAAATGATATAATGGGTGTACACCTACTACTGCTGCTATTACATTTAATTTTATTTTTTTGGTACTTACATTATTAGCTACTGTGTTTTTGGTTTATAATTAAAGTTTCTTGTTGATTGTCGTGCGAAGGACGTCCATGGATGTAGATGAGGGAGAGGTTGTTACGACTCATGAGCAGCATATAGATGTCAGGGTAACAAATAATTTGGACTTGAATGTGGAGCATGAATCCCGCAGCCCAAGATCATCGAATGCTAAAGGGTTTCATCCTGGTTGTTCTTCAAGACGAGAAGTACTAAAACTCGGTTCAGAATTTGAATCAGATGAGCAAGCATACAGATTCTACACTAAATATGCTGAGTTGGCAGGTTTTAGCGTTAGAAAGGATTGGGTCAACAGGAGTAAGGTTCATGGTCGGGTAATGTCCAGAAAGTTTACGTGTTCTAGACAAGGTCACCGGAAGAAAGATAAAAGAGATGTTAATGTGAAGAAGCATCGCAAGGAAACAAGAACAGGTTGTTTGGCTCACATGGTCGTTACTCGGCAACCTAATGGAAAATATATCGTCACCCAATTCGAAGCTGAGCACAATCACGAGGACGTGAATCTTAATAATACTCAAAAGTTACTGGAATCACCATTATCTGGAAATGGAGAATCGCCTGAAATATCTGAAACTGATTCAATGAAGAACTCAGAAATTCAGTCAAAACTGTCTCTTCAGTTGTTAGGTGTACGATTTTGTTCGCCAGAATGTTTTGACGACCTTGAAATAAATTATGAGGTGTTCCTGAGCTCTGGACGAACAAGAGATATGAAGGAAGGAGATGCAGCACGGCTCATGCGTTACTTCTGGAGGCAACATTTTGAAAACCCTTCATTCTTTTACTCTGTGCAACTCGATGTTGATGACAAGATAAGCAACATATTTTGGGCAGATGATAACATGATTGTCGATTATGGCCACTTTGGTGATGTTGTTTGTCTAGATACATCATGCACAAGAAATACAAACACTCGTCCATATGTTCAGTTAATTGGACTGAACAATCATAGGCAAGTTGTAGTCTTTGGTGCTGCCTTCTTATATGATGACACTGTTGATTCTTTAAAATGGCTAGTTCGAACTTTTCTTGAAGCGATGTCTGGAAAGAAACCTAAATTCATTTTGTCAGATCAGAATGCAACTGTTGTTCAAGCGATTCATGCTGTATTACCAGAAGCGAGCCATTGTATCTGTGCTTGGCAAATGTACTTAATTGCTCTCAAACACCTTCACCATGTTGTAAAGGATTATGCTTCCTTTGCTGGTGAACTTAGAAGTTGCATCTTTGGTCACGAGCAGGAAGAAGATTTTATCCAAGCATGGGATGCTATGTTGGAGAGACATAGTTTGCGTCAGAACTCTTGGTTGAGGTGGATGTTTCGAGAGAAAGAAAAGTGGGCAGTAGCATATGGTAGAAATACTTTCTTCATTGAAAAAAACGGTTCACATCTTGTTGAGCTGATCTCTGATAGACTCAGAAGCTATTTGGACCCTGAAATCGACATACTTCACTTTTTTAAACACTTCAAGAATGTGGTGAATGAACAAAGGTACAGAGAATTAGAATCTTCTCTTGACATGGGAAGACATGCTCCACATTTGATGGCTAGTGCTGTTTTCTTAAAGAATCCCAGTGAGGCATACACACTAAAGGCATTTGAAGTATTTCAGAGAGAATATGAGAAAAGCTTGAATGTTGTCATTAGCAAGTGCAGTGAGAGGGAATCGAGATGTGATTACAAAGCCAAAACATATGGAAAATCTAAAGACTTTTTGGTGGCGTATAACACTATCAATGGCACGGTGTCCTGCAACTGTATGAAGTTTGAGCATGTGGGTTTTTTATGCAGCCATGCCCTTAAAGTTCTGGATCATCAAAATGTTAAGGTTGTTCCACCCCAGTACATCTTGAAGAGATGGTCTAAAGATGGAAAGATTTCAGCTGTTGGAGAAAGTCAGGACAGCTCAGAGGGTGACAGCAGGAAGATCGTTGCTAATCGTTATAAAGATCTTTGTCGCAATATAATTAAAATATCTGCTAGAGCCGCTCAATCTGATTTAGCATTTGAATTTGCTGCTAGGCACCTTGATGAAGTAATGCAGGGGGTTGAAAGAATCTTAAGTTTTAAATCTTTAGAGGAACGAAAAGGCACTAGCGCTTCCGATAATGATCTTGCTGATGCTGATCTGGATGGAAATGGTTTTGATGGTCAGGGCATTGGCGTCTTAAATGGAACTGCTGAAACAGAGACTAGCGCACCTGGTAAAGATCAATTACATAATTGCGATGAACACATTCCTGATGCTATTGGTGACCTGAATGTTCGCCGACCACCTCCTGAGACGGGCTTATCAGTTGCTTGTGCCTCTTCAACATATATAACTTCTCCCAGTTCACCTCCATCGTTGAGTCCACTTACCCAGGTTAAATTTTGGTGAAATATTCAAAGATTTGCTGTAACATTTCGGTATATTCTGCTTATTAATATATTATTGCATCTTCCTTAAATGTAGGGGTTATATAATGTTGAAGCAAACCAAATGGTCCAGGGCATGTATCAGCCGTCTAACCTAACCATCAGCCAGCAACCCAATCCTAATATGTATGGGCCTTCAAACTTCTACCCTAACCAACAACATTCTCCCGGCCATGCTCAATTTCTACAGGTGAAGCTGTGTGCACTGTCTTAATGATGTTTTAACAACTTTATATAGAGATTATGCTGTGAACTTTTCTCCTTGATGCAGGAATCTTTGATTCGTAACCAGTTCCATGATCCTATGTCCCATGTGACCCAATTAAAGCTGGTAATATTCCATCACGTAGATTAAAAATTGGGCAATCTCTCTCTTTCTTATAAAATTTGTATTCTTCTCGTCACACATCCGCAGGTGACGGATGACAGCCAGCACACAAGCTCATCTTCATTCATTCACTTTAATCAGAGATACAGAGCTACGGGGGTTTAGACTATAGAGTGAGAGATATTGCATTGATTTATGGAGATGCTGTAGCAGGATTGCAAATTAGGAAACTTAAAATGGAAGTGAGCTAGTTTTGCTGGCACGGCATATGGAATTCATGCTCCACAAATTGCAGTCACAGAGCTATGGAGGTTGTTTTTGTAGTCTTCTAAAGCATAACTAAATTACTTATTCTCTTCCATTACATTGCATTATCTTCTGATCTTTTCATTGTTTTTGCTATGTTCATTGCATTTTGTCCCAATTGCTTATTGTTCTGTTTCCCTCATCGCAGAATTTGGAACAATCTATTGGCCGGCCATTTTTATTTGAAGGAAGCTGCTCGATTCCAGTTGAGCACGTCCAGATTCATTGTCCTGCAATCGTAGTCTAGCAATTTGAAAGGATAGAAACAAGGTCAGTTTGATTGACTTATCTTCACTTTAAACTTTAGCTCATGCTTCTCAAATGTCTACTGGTTATCTGTTCTGCAGATTGTTTAACTACATGCATATGCACGATGATGCGCCAGGTTTATTGAAGGCCCACCAGAAAATGTGCAAATTGCAACCTAACCTATTGTAAATTTTTGTCACAAGGTAGATTGAAATTGGGCTACCATTATAGATTTATCGGTGAAAAGGTTATTGGCAGGAACACAAGAGAAGAATGATGTAGATGAATATTTGAATCTTCAAATCTCAAGTTATAGAAGTTTGGACTGTATGTGCATATCTAATAACTACATCAGTCCGCCACCTATATTTGTGTGCGCTTGTGATGTATAGCTATCCTACTAAATAGGGTTGAAGCCGAAGCAGGCATGGTCCCCATGAAGGTTCCCATCTACTCAAAGCTTCCATTCAAACTTCTGATTCAGGTTCGATCCAACCATACCTTAACATGATGGCTGTGTATTATTATTCATCCTAATGATTACTGTACATTGGCTATTGCATCAAAGAACTGCATTCATCAGTGTCGGTTGAGCCGGCACATGGCCGCTCAAGGTAAGAACATTAAATGATGCAGAGGAGATATTTTATTTCATTGAAGCAGCAATATTTTGGTTTCTGCAGGACAGGGCTTGGTGGTAAATGCCAGTTTAATTTTTTTTTTGTCACTTTCTTGTATGCCTGTGTGTGATGGTTCCATGCTAATTTCCACCTAAATTTTCACCTTTTGACACCAAGATTTTACAGATTTGCACAGTAGAGGGTTTCAACGGCTTCAATAATTAATGCTTGTGTCTGTATGTTTTCTCATATCATTTTTGTGTGATGATAGCATACTTGAAGTAAAGGATATGCCAAATCCATTCTGTTATAATATCTCAAGCTTTGGTTGCATTTACTTTTCTGGCAGTTCATATTAATATTTGACTTGTTTTCATGTTTGCTTTTGTACATTCCGACAGTTACAAGGTTCAATGATTTAGATGCATTTTCTGGTTAAATATGTCCTGTCCAATTTAGCAATATTGTTCAGAGTATACATGCCCTTGGAATAGTCGTATCATCATATGGCCATGTGTCCCTACACCAGTGAAACCACTGCCATCATGAATCATGTACTATTGAGAGGTAGGACACACAGTGCTCTCTCTCTCTCTCTAATCTTTTTTTAGTCTTTTTTTTTTTCTAACAATGTGTGCATATATTTGTGTTCATTATTACACATATATATATATAGATGGGTGCTGTGGCAGCTCCATGGAGCCGAGATCCTGGTGAACATCTTGCAATGGATCAAGTGGAGGTTCTTTAGTCCCTGGAGCTTCTGATGATTAGATCTTGCCTGCCAATAAAAACACCGGGGACCCAATCACCAACCACCAGTACTACACGGCCGCGCGTCATCCCCACTCGCCTTCTTAAGCCTCTTTACCAAGATCCCATTAAATACACTTCGTCCTCCTCACATCAAATGCTCTCCCCTTCCCAAAAATGCTACCACCGCCACCACCGCCTTTCCTGACCACCCATGGGTAAGGCTACCAAGTGGTTCCGTTCCCTAATAGGCTCCAAAAAGTCGCCGGAATCTGCGCCGGCGTCTAAGGAGCGGAAGAGTAAGTGGGCGTTCTCGAATTCCTCCGGCAGCTCAATCAAGTTCAAGAATTATGTCGAAGATCCTCTGTCCAGTCCGTACGCCGACGGGTTGGACGCTAACAAGCATGCTATAGCGGTTGCGGCAGCCACGGCCGCCGTTGCGGAGGCGGCGCTTGCGGCGGCCCAGGCTGCGGCTGAGGTTGTTAGATTGACCAGCGGCAGCGGGAGTGGCAGGTGTAGCGCTGATCGGAGGCCGGTGATAGCTGCGATTAAAATTCAGTCGGCATTCCGAGCTTATCTGGTCAGTAATTTCGTTTCTTTTCATAAAAGTAAATTCAGTTACCAATTTCTTCCCCCAACCAGTATAAAGATTGAATTTTTGCTATCAATTAAGCTAGAAGCATTAATACCCTTTCTACTGTGGCTGGTGAAATTCAATTCCTGAAAGTATTGCAAATTCAGTAAATTAGGGCTTTTCTTTTCTTTTTTTTTTTATCTACCCCTTAGGTCAAGATGAGATCCCAATTTTCTTTATTGGGCCTTATTGTTGAATCTTTGTCTGTTGCTTCAATTGAGTATGTGAGGATGGAGTGGGGGTTGAAAGTAACTCATATGTCCTCACTAGATCTCATCACATATCCAGACAATAAGTGAAATTAAATCAGTGGTTGATTTTGGGAAAGGAAGTGGGAGACTTGAAAGTGGGACTCAATTGCACCATAGCTAGTGGATATGACCATTCGCAATCACTGGGAATTGATCCATTTGTCCTCTAACAGAAGATGATAAAGTAGATTTTTCGTGCTGTAAAGGAAATGATCTTTTTTGTTTCTGAAGCTTTCCTTATCACTCTGTTTTTTTTTATTATTTGGTATATATATATATATATTTTTTTTTTCAAAGGAGCTTTGCCTTTGAAATGTTGGTTGTAAAGTTTGTGTATGTCTTTATTCCCGACATAATTGGGTTCTTGAACTTGTTAATTATTAACAAATTTCTACGCTTTTCGCTAGGCTAGGAGAGCACTGAGGGCCCTTAAGGGACTCGTTAAGCTTCAAGCTCTGGTAAGAGGTCGCATTGTCCGAAAGCAAAGTGCGGACATGCTTCGCCGGATGCAAGCTATGGCTCGAATTCAGGCTAGGGCCTCTGCGCACCGATGCTGCACAACCGAGTATTCTAATGCTAGAACCAAATTCACAAACTCCCACTATTTGGTGAGTTCTTTTAGAGTTAAAAGTTAATTACTTTACCAGTGATATGTTAGGTGAATCGACACATTTACTACCGCCGGTGTTATGAATTTATTTGTAGGGCAATGCAAATACCCGAAAACATGATGTCAAACACGGTGGATCTCTAATTAAGGTAGCTTGCTCGATTTATCAAGATATATTTTGAAGTTCGATTCATTACCAAAATCTGTCGAATGGATTCACAGTCTGCTTAAAACTTTTTGTCATGAAAATGCAGCCGAACCATTCGAGATCACCCATGGGGAATGGTCTTAGCAAGGAAAGCTCCCGACTCGCTTCCCGGTGGCTAAACCATTGGATGGAAAATTCCACGTGGAACAATCTTCCCGACGCCGGTCTGGAGAACGGACTCGACGACGAGAGGAGCGACAAGATACTTGAAATCGATACATGGAAGCCTCGCCAGAGCACCAGCCGCAAAACAAAAGGTGCTCCTATGTCCCCGTACTTCTCAGCATGGAGCGACTGCCGAATCAATCCCTCGTCTCGACTTGCATCGAAACCAAATCCTAGTGTATCTTCCGAGGAAGTCTCGTCCGTCGTATCATCGAAGCTCCCGCCAGATGGCGACCAAGCTGCAGCATGGACAGGTGACAACAGCCCGAGACTGCAGTCGGCAGCTTCATCCAGACCCGCTAACAACCTTCGAGGGCCAATTAGTCCCTCTCAGAGCGAGTGTTCTAGAAGCTTCTTCGGCGACTACCTTGGCCACCCGAGCTACATGGCGAACACTGAGTCTTCCCGGGCTAAGGTCAGGTCTCTCAGCGCGCCTAAACAGAGAATGCCGACCGAGGAGATGGGGTGGGGCGCGAAATTTAGCCACGGTCTTTGGGAATCGGACGCCGTTTCGGAAAAGGGCTCGACTTTGTCGGGTAATCGGAGGAGCAACGCGTACCTCTACAATGGTCAGATAAAGCAGCGGCAAGGCGCCGGCGCCGGCTACGCAACCTTGTACGGACATAGGCATTAAGGTTCAGTTTCTGTGTCCTGTCTTACCTTGTTGTTCTGTTATATAATATGCATTCTTTCATAATTCCCTCCTTATGACAATCTTCTTGCTGGAGGCTATGTTTGTTTTGATTTTTGTTTGTTCGAAAATCTGTTTGTTTGTAACTTTTCTTTCTGCCCTTTTGTCTGCTATGTTAGAAAACCTCAATCTCAATATCCCTTTGCTTCGAGATTACATTGAAATGTATATATAAACCTACTGTTTTATTGAAAAATAAGTTGTAATTAACTGAAAGAAATGTGAAGACTTCAGCTTTCAAGACATCCATACATCGACGCATCGTCACCGTTGATTAGTCCTAACACGGCCGATCTGCACTGCATCTGTGCCGTAGATTCACTCTTCCTTCGTGCTCGGCGTACTGCTCCATGCTGCAGCAGATTATATAGCACGTGCGGCACGTGTTAATCGATTGATTATATAGATACATATACATATATAGATATGTGTATAGAGGAATATGGGGGATTAGTTACTATTCACAGTCGGTGTTGGGATCAATGGTGAATCCGAGAGAGACGCCGCAGAAGCCAGGCAAGGTGGCGATGGCGGTGGCGTTTGTGTTGTACGCCATTATTATGTCCATCAAGCACCGGCACACGCCGCGGCGGTTGTCCTCCGAGTCCGCCAGGTTGTTGAGGCTCGACATGGCAACGCAGCAGGGGGAGCCGGGGATGGGGTCGGGGGTGCCGTAGATCACGAAACTCGAGCAGGCGGAGAACAGTGCTGTCACGGTGGTGCAGTCCGCAGCGGCAGCCGCAGAATACCAAGTCGCCGCCGCCGTGATTGCCAACGCCGCGGCGGAGTAGCTGATTCTCGCCATTTTCGTGGAATTCGTACGGTAGATCGAGCAGGTAACCGCTTATATACACGTGTTGGTTTTCCATTGGTTCGGTGCACAGCACCAGTCGCATGCCTAATTTCATCTGTTCCGCGTGCTGACCCATGGGCCGGCCCGGATCGGCCCAAAAATATTGGGCCGAACATACAGAAACTAGTTTCACTAAAAGCGCTGAATTCATTCAAAAAACGTTGGTACCAAAAGTGCGACTTTTATACATATGTTTTTGAACAAGACGAGTTTTCCGCCATAGTTGTCTCATTACTACTTTCATGTCCTTGGGATGTTTGATGTTTCCATTTTCTTTTAGAGGTGTAGGGAAGCATGAGTACCAGAAAATGTAAAGAAGACTTAGACAATGACCCATGGCTTATATTTATGTGCACGCATGTTTGGCAGGAATAATAATTGAGGTACTGTATGGCGACATTAATGGTGTTGTCTTGCTTTCTGTCCACTGCCTGTCTCCTTACTGTATTTTAATTCACTTTTCTTATACAATAATCAATAATTATAATAGTAGCAATAAGTACTTCTAATTGTTTTCAATTTTTCTTGCCTCTAAAGCACAGGCTTCTTCTCTGCCATTAATCCTCTCACTAACAAAAGTGCATCCCCTGAAAGTGTATAGCAGGTATGATATCCCAGATCCAGTAGCTTTCTTTGTAGTGTATAATTAATTTATTGGGACAGCATCATTATGAATCCACTCAATCAATCGTATATCATTGTTATTACATTAGTTGCTGCCTTTACAATCTGCCTACTCATCATGTCTTTAATTATATATAGTTATTTGTGCGTGTGTCTTGTCTTGATGCAAATATGTTGCTATAATCTGTCTTTAATTTTTAGGACAAGCATCCACTTCATTTGTCATGTCCTCACTGCCATAGTCTGCAACAAGGTGTATTGATTGTACAGGCAAGATTCCACTGTAGACTATGTTTAAGAATTTTGTTTACTTCCAGACGTCATATAAATAAATAGTAAAACTTAAAACAATGTGTGTTACTTTAACAAGAAATTCCCTGAGATATTCTTGTGGTGAGATTCAGGCTCTTTGTTTAGATAGAAATTTAAAAGTTGTAAATGATTGAATATTTGATGTAATTTTTTAAAAACAATATTTGATGAATAATGCTAAGATTATGTTTTTTTAAAAAAAAAAACAATATTTGATGTTTTTTAAAAGTTGAGGAATCAAACAAACAGGTAGTGAGAATAATTGTGAGATTGAATGATTAAGTAGCTTACAATTTCTAAAGATAAGAAGGTAGGTAAAAACGAAAAACAGAAAGCAGGAAAGTAGCTTTGAAAGTAGTACCCTTCTTTGACATTAAGTTCCGTTTCTTACTCTTGCCACTTTGCTTCTCAAATCAAGAAAATCATGTAAGAATTACACAAATTATTTGCAGATGAGTCATGTAAGAATAATACTCCTTCCCGTCCGAGCAAGAAGTATATATTAAAAAATAATAGTATTTTAATTATAATGGGTAGGTAAAAGTAGTGTAATGTTATTATTGTCTTTATTTTTTGGTATAAAAGTAACGATGTGATGTAAAGTAAGAGTATTTGTGAAAAAAAATTGGATATTTAATGCAATGATTACTTTGTAATTGAACGTTTCAAAATAGAACTGGACGAACGGAGTATAAATTAATAAAGAAAAGATCTTGTTGACCTCTGTTGTATTTTTATGGCAAAAAGTAGCATTACCAAATCATGGGACAAGAGTTTCAGGTGAGCATTTATATATGGGTACTGATAATCTGCATAGTTGAAAATTCTTTTCTTAAACAAGATGATTATTCTCTCGATCTAAACAAGACTGAATTATTTTTATGAGTAAACTTTTTCCATATCTTTTTTTGGGCAGAATTCCTTTATGACAGTTCACCTAATTTATGCTTCTCCATTTAGATAATACTACTAAACTCCCCAAGTCCACTTATTACAAAACCCATAACCATTCGGATAATCATTGCACAGATCTGCAGCGACAAAGCTACTAATTTCATACCCCCTTATTTCCCCTCGAAGAAAAACAATTAAGAAATGGGAAATTCATTTGGGTGCTCGGCTTCTGGGGAGAGATTGGTATCAGCAGCAAGAGATGGAGATGTTGTGGAGGCAAAGAAGCTGTTGGATTGCAACCCATTTCTTGCCAAGTACTCCACTTTTGGTGGCTTAAACTCCCCTCTTCACTTTGCTGCTGCTAAAGGCCACAACGAGGTTTAAAAAAAAAAAATTGATTTTCTTTCATTATTTTGAGGTATTAGTTTTGTGTTGTCTTGAATTGTGAAAGTTTTGGATTTTCAGATTGTGACATTGTTGCTGGAGAATGGAGCTGATGTGAATTCAAGAAATTACTGCGGCCAGGTAAACTTCTCATTTTTGTCAGTCCCTATCTTGATTTGATCATTTGAAGCAAGTCCAGTGAATTTTGATTTCCTAAAATGATCGAAGATATATATGGTATGGTTTAGCTCTACATATTGTTACATTCGGTAGAATTCTAAGAATTATACTACCTCCATGCCAAATAATAGTAAGTTGAAATGTGTAAGAGTATTTTTACATTTTTACCTTATATAAAAGAAATTGTATGTGTAATAATACGATTGTAATTTAAGTAAGTATTAGTGTATGATTACTTTTTAATTGATACTTTGAAATGAGACACACGAAAATAATAAAAATTAGTATTTTGAATCGAGACAAATGAAATATATTATTAGTAAAAAGATCTCAAATTCCGGAAATCTCCTGTTCATGTGTGAAAATACAGAAATTGTATATATGTAATAATGAAATAATGGGCTACCTGATATGCATAGATTATAGAAGTTTAGAGTTGGTTTCTTTTGCCATAAATCCCAAGTTATATAATATTGGACTATACATATCCCGAAAAAAATATATATATATCTTTCACAAGACAAAAACGGTAAAAATTAGTATCTTTTTTCTAACAAAATATACCATTAAATATAGAAGTATCCTGAGTTTTGCTATTGCTTCTGCAGACGGCATTGATGCAAGCTTGCCGATATGGACACTGGGAAGTTGTTCAAACTCTTCTTCTCTTTAGATGCAATGTGAGCTTTCCCTTTAAACACACTGCCCTTTCTGCATTCAATTTTGCAGATATAGACATTACTTAGCTTTAGTTCTTGTATCGACATCATTTTCTTGGCGACGATCTACAGGTTTTGAGATCGGATTATCTCAGCGGAAGGACTGCTCTCCATTTCGCCGCGGCCAACGGACACGCCCGGTGCGTGAGATTAGTCGTTGCAGATTTTGTTCAAAGCCCTCCATTCGACTCTCTAGACGATCGAACAGCCAATAGTAACATGTCCGAACCTTCGTCATTTTTCAGCTTCCATTGAATCTCTTGCAAAGCTTCAGAATAACTGTTTTGTTGCAGTGCTCTCTCCAAGGTCGTCGACAAGGCTGCTGATGGCGGCATCACCGCTCTTCATATGGCTGCGTTGAATGGCTACGCTGACTGTGTTCACCTCCTTCTTGATCTTCAAGCCAATGTATCATCAATGACATTCCACCACGGAACATCAATGGATTTAATCGGTTTGTTCTTCGACTGTCAATGAAAATCCATATCCGATATATCCTCTGTTCGTCGATTTAAATTTCAACGCTCGTTTATAGGTGCCGGGAGCACGCCCTTACATTACGCTGCATGTGGCGGAAACTTGAAATGCTGTCAGGTAAAACTCGATAACTTCTCTCAAGCTACGAATTTTCGATAACCTCGACGAAATTGTGGTTCTGTAGATACTTCTCGCAAGAAGCTCGAGCAGGTTATCGGTAAACTGCAACGGGTAAAACTCTCTAGACTCGTTCTTGAATGCTAACGATCCTACGCTTGTTCATTCGTTTGATCGATCTCTATACTATTCTCAGATGCATTCCTCTAGACGTCGCTAGGATTTGGGGGCGCCATTGGCTCGAGCCATTGCTGGCGCCTAATTCTGACGTGCCTGTCCCGACGTTTCTGCCGTCGAATTACCTATCCTTACCGCTCTCGAGCGCGTTGAATATAGCGCGGTAATAACGCATTAGCCGGTTGTCGCAACATCCTTTTTTGATTTATTGTTTTTGACTTCCGGAAGCTGTGATTGTTCTGTGCAGAGACTACGGGTTGCAGTTCTCGGACACTGCTCCGGAGAATGCAGAAATTTGCGCCGTTTGCCTCGAGCAAACGTGTAGCGTGGCTGCTGAAAGTATGTTTCCTGTTTCTGTGTTCTTTCTGCTTCGTTTCTTGTCATTGAGATCTAACATCGTCGGCGGCGAATTTCAGGTTGCGGACATGAACTTTGTGTAAGATGTGCTTTGTACCTTTCGTCATCCAGCAACAATCCGGCTGCGTCGCAGTCTAATCCGCCAGGTTCAATTCCTTGCCCTCTTTGCCGAAACGGGATTATGCGTTTCGTCAAACAGTCCTCCGATTCTTCGGAGGATTCACCGGCCTCGTGCTCGCTCCATCGAAAGGATTTAGACGAGTACGATGCATCAAAACCCTCCCTGGGTTTCAACTCTGGAGAGAGCGAAACACGGGAAGATACTACTGGAAAGGTGAAGTTTGAAGGAGAAATGAGAGTAGAGAAAAGATTGTGTTCATTTGTGTTTCGGAGTCGACGAAAATGTAGCCAAGAAAATCAACGCCGAGATGAAATTAAGGCGCGGAAACTCCCGAGATAGCGAACAATATTCTTTCATCGATTGCATCATAAAAAAAACGAAAAAAAAAAACTAACAAGCAGATATTATATGCTGATTCGAACAAATCAACACTGTAATTTCTCTATGTCAATTTGTTTCAATGAAAAACTTAATCTTTTCATTTATATCAAATCAAATACTTATTTTTCGTCATAAATCTTCGAAAGAATGTTAAAACAAAGCTATAAAATGTGGTTAGATTCTTTCCAACACCAAAAAAATGCCCAAATGTCCAAAAAAATAAGAAGTGAATCAAGAAACATACATCGAACCGCGACGATAAAAACCGACAGTGGCCGAGCTAAACACAGCCGAGACAAACACAATCCACCACGACACAAACACAGTGACATCCCTAGCCAAAACGGAATACGGAAAAACACCACGAACACCTTCGCCAAACCGATCTTCGAGCTGCGACAGGGCAAGTAGAAGAACAACCACGACCGGAGGCGCCACAAATTGCACTGCGACGAGACACAAATAATGGTTGTGCAGAAAAACCTTCGCCCGGCTATAATCCAATTCCGGAACCCTCCCACCGTGCAGCCGTTGGTACCAACAAAGCACGGCCTCGTTCAAAAACGTCTGAACATTCGGGCGCGCAGCGAGAAGCTGCAACAATGCCGCGACCAACAAACACCGATCCCTAAATGCATAAAAATCCAATCTTGATCCAACCAATCCGAATTTTCGATCATCACCGGCGACAAGCAATTCGGAAAACGGAGAAATCCAAAGCAATGATACGAATACGGGCGCGACAAATGCAGCATAAACGACCGTTTTCGACAGCAATCCGCTCGAAATTATCGACAAATTACATCGAATTTGATCGGTTCCGACCCAAAAAGCTCTTGCATTTCTCAAAGATGGAATGTAGAGATAACCAACAATGCACCCCATAAAAACAGCAACACAAATTCTTGTAAGAACATCGTAGGAATCGAATCTAAATTCAAGAATCCAATTTGGGAAAACCCCAACAACTACGCATAACCCTAAAAAAAACCCTAAAACCCCAAACACAAAGCTCAATTGCTTCTCCAATTTCTTCGAAGCAGATCGTTCGAATCCAACCTTAATAATCAAAAACAACGTTCGAAAAAGGCTTACCAATCCCAGCAAAAGAGGGATTATTGCCCCATTTTCGAGAACTCCGACGGACCTCTCATCGTCCTTTTGCAAGAATCTATGAAGCAATAAAGACGACAGTGCGATCAGAGAGGAATTAATAAAGCTGTAAAATTCTTTGAAATAAATTCTGGATTGGAGATGTCCTTCGCTGAGTTTCAATCGGAAGATCTGAGCTTTGCTCTCGTCGAACTCGAATTTTTCCTTCGATTTTTTTCTGGGTTTGGGGTTGTCGGAATCCGCCGCGGATGGACGCCTTATGGCGGCGCGGACTCCTCCGGCGGAGGCGGCGCCGCCGCCGGGATTGACGTCGTCGGGGTGGATGTAGGTGTGGTGGCCGTGGAGGAATAAAAGTGGGATCTTTATGAGGGGGAGGAGGAGTGAGAGAGAGATTGCGAAAGCTGTGTGGAGGAGGAGATTGTTTGTGTACAGAATTCGTGGGATTGTCGAAAACATTTGTAGAAATCGAATCGAATCGAACCGGTGGATGTTCTGTAAGAAGGTGCTGAATTAGAAGTTAGAACCCACCTCCTCAGTATCGGTGATCAGATCAAGAATTCGAACCCCTCTCTCTCTCTAACATTTGTTGTAGTTTTAAATATCAATTGGATTGCCGATTTTTGCAGGAATTTTTTTTAATGGGCCCGTAATTGTTTGGCCCATTAATGTAAAAGCCTGTCAAAGAAGCCCAGTGATTTGCAAACAATCTGGATTATGATTTATGGATTATTTAAGCTCTGCTTGTTTGAAGTTTTTTTATCGGAACTTTATAATTTATTGATTTTTTTTTTAAAAAAAAACAATCGTCTCAAGTACATTTTTTATTTTTTTTATTTGTTTATATTATATTAAAATACCAAATCAATATTTATTTTTATATTTTTTGTGACTTGAATTTTACGACTTTGAATTTTACTCCCTCCATCCCACATACCGTGTCTGCTACACTGTAGACACGATATTATCCTATAATATAAATAATTATAAATTAAGATTAAGATAACTAATTAGTTTAATTAAAATTTTAAAAAACAATTAAAAATTTTAAAATAAGATTAAAGTGTATAATTATTTTCAAAAAAAAAAAAAGTGACATGGTACGTGGGACGGACATAAACGGCAACGTGGACATGATATTTGGGACAGAGGGAGTAAAATTTTAAATAAGAATTATTAAATTGGTATAATAGAAATAGTTATTGATATGTTATTTAGAATATAAAATTAATTTTTAATGTAATATAAAAAATATATACTATCTAATTTTATAAGTTTAGAAAAAAATTGTATAAATAATAAAGGCATGATTTAGAACATATGTACAAAAAGTTTGTTTCTTTATAAAAAAATTTAAACATATTTCTCAAAAAAAAATTAATATACTACATATATTCATCATTTTTTTATTATCTATACAATTTTCTATATTCACATATAAAAAAATAAAAGTTAATAATTCAAACCAAAACAAAAGACAAACATACCTGATTTTTACATTTTATTTCAATATGTTATTTGATTGATATTTTATTTGTGTTTTATTTTAATTTGAGTTTGGGATTTTCATTTGAAGTTTAGTTTAAATAATACTCCTCCCCGTCCATCTCAAGATCACATTTACCTTATAATTTTTGTACAAATATTTTCTATTAGTATTATAAAAAAAGTATTTTTCATATAATAATAATTAACATGCAAAAATTGAAAGATTAACATGCAAAAACTAAATAAGACCCTTCGCGTACGGAAGGTAGTATTTAATTGCAATAAATAGATCTACCTTCAATTAAATTAAAAAAGCAATACCCAATACAGTAACTAACAACACTCTTACACTCATACTCAAAACATTGCATTTGCAAAAACTACAAAGATTAGGAGACATTACCACTGCAGAATATGGAATATATATATATAAGAGTGTGGTGAGGGGCAGGATAAAGGACAGGCTGCAGGACAAGGTGTGATTTTTAACAAGGTAAAACTCTAACCTGTGATTTTGCATAGGAATAGAATTGAATGAAAACCAAATGGCAATAGGAATGAACAAAATGCGCGATATTTTACTTACCCGAGTTTCGATCGCTCACAAGTGAGTGCTCATTTTGTCGCCTGAGCAATCATGTTGCTTATAGAACTCGCTTGCTCCTTGGCTGCCTCCACAAGTGAATCCTGCAATTATTTTGGTTATATTATAATGGTTATAAAATTCGTCGACTAGAGATAGTCATACCTGTGCAGCTATTAGGCGCGCCACGGTTTTCTTGCTGGATTCTTGAAGTTCACCGGCAATCACAAGTTCATCCAATATATAATAGGCCTGCCATTGCATCGGGCACGGCACCACCAAACTTTAAATACATAACATCAATCAGAGAGAGAGAGGAATCATAAAACTTTTGTAGAAGTTGGAACAAGTAGTCTCCTCAACTAAACACGTACAAAGTTCAATATACATGAAAACGAGCAAATGAATATTGAGGCCAAAAAGGAAAAACAACATGTGAAAGAGATACAATCTTCTAACAAAAATTCATGTAAGAGTAAGACTAATAATAGTGAGTTGATGTTAGACCAATTAATTAAAAGAAGGGTAAATTATATAACACTACCTTGTATTATATAACGCCACCTTGTGTTTTATTATGAAAAATGCACAAAAAAACATTCTGTATTTTATTTATTGTCGTGAAACGAATAAAATAAATAAATAAATAATTGATTAATCCATCATTATAGTTTTTTTGAGACAAATTATTATCTGATTTTTACAAAAACTATAAAGATAAATGATTGATCAATTATTTATTTATTTCAAAGAAATTAGTTAAGATATTTTACCTTTTGTATTTGTATAAAACTTGCTAGATCTTTATTTTGAATCAAACATCAATTTTGGACAAGGAGGGTGTTTCGTGCAAATTTTACATTAACACAACGGGTTTCATGCAATAAATAACACAGGGTGGAGGGTTATATAATTTATCCTTAAAAGAATAATGAGAACATTGATATGATAAAAACCAGGGAAAATGTCGTGCAAAACTCCACCAAGAAACAACGGGATATAGTTCGAAATTAGTCCATTCATATCCTCGAGAAGAAGTAAATCTACAATCAAGGGCAAAAGATGGAATGCATACTAATTCTTTGGTGCAGTACAAGGAATTAGTAAATGTCAACAACTACATCAGACTTTCCAAGGATTGGGACAACTAGATCATAAAGTCGCACTCCATCCAATGAAACACAACCAATATAAATAACCCAAAAGATCCCACTACAAGTATATGAAACAAGATTTTAATTTCTTTAACTCAACCTACAAATTGTGTTTGATGAACACCAAGTTAGGAGCCTGAATATGTGTTTGTTTGGAAGATTGAATTGGATTTACACTATTCATCCAATTTTTTTCCCCAAAAAACATCAAATCAAACACCTATTTTTCATTTTTTATATTATACTAAAAATCGATTTTACATTCAAAACATCACATCAACACCTATTTATATCACATCATACAACTATTCAAATTCAAAATTTTTACTATTCAAATCTCAACTCAAAATCCAAACCCCCAAACAAACACACCCTTAAATAGTAAGCAGCTCAACATAAAAGTTCATCAATATAACTAGATCGTGAGATACAAGAATATGAGAACACTTTCGAACCCTGAAACCCAACTACCAAAGAAATAACACACACACCACATAATAGGAAAAGTAGTTGGGGAAGATAGCTTAATAGAAGTCCATTGAGTGAGTGGCAGCAGAGATAATTGAAGATGTCTGTTAGCCTTAACGATACACATCCCACAAATTTTGTTAGTCCGGTTCAATGAAAAAGCAACGATGTAAGTTGTTCATGCAATAAGTGTTCTATGCAACAAAATAGTACTGAATTTATGCAAGTTAGCAAGTTTGGATGTCAATTCATATGTTGTTAACATAAACAATCCATGACTGTCAGACAACTCTCGCAAGAGACATGAAAAGCAAATAAATGAAAAAAAGAATGTAAGATACCTTATGGAAATTAAAGATCAAATCCAATTCACACACCTAACAACACAAAAGAAACATATCAGTATGCAATAATCAAGTGAATCAATAAAAAATATCACTAAATATTTGCTTCAATCTGAGCCTCACACTTCCAAAGTAACGGTCTAGTATCTCAACATAGTGATGGATAATTTCGAGGACCTCCAACTCATTATCATCCTGGTCGATACACATGCAGAAATAAAGGCTAGCATACCTGTAGAATCAACAAAAAGTGAAAAGGAGTAACCAATACAGCATTTAAGAAGTGCAGGAATACTGATTTATTTGAATAGATAAATACCATTCGATTTTACCTAAAGAAAAATGCATATTACCTCTTGTAAACAACTTTGAATCCCCTCGACTCCACGAAATTACATAGCTTGGGGCCACGAGTTAGGATTAAACCGCTAAGCTCTCGAATAACCTTTACCAAGTACATTCAACATGCAATATATATATATATATATACACACAAGTGTAACCTCTCACATCAATAACATGTATGTTAACACAAATGTAAGACTAATCAATAACAATTATACAAACAAATGAATCACCAGCAACCATGACTTCTTTCTATGAGTAGAACAAACTTCTGTTCTGTTTTTACCTTTGTTCGTTCCTTCTGAGAATAAGGTGAGTACCATTTTGTCAACCTTACTTTTCCTTGTCTGCTAATGAGAAGAACAAAGTGAATCTGAAATACAAACTACAACACTTGAGTCCCTTATTAACTATATCTGAAAATGAATATTGATCAAACCTTCTACACAAGAAAATTCATTAATTAATTATAATTTTTGAGCAGCTGAATCATTTCAGTAACTTAGTTCTTAACAAAGTGCCCTGGAAATGGAGAGCGCCCAGTACTACTATACTACAACAAAATGGTTCGTTTAGCAACTGAAAACAATTGACAATGTCAAGCATACACATTAATGGATGCGTAATGCTATATCACGACCAGCTAATGCAATACTAAGACATCCCGTCCCATCCGCCTCTAACTCCTAATATCTATAGATAGATAATCTAGCTGAAAAGAATTCGAAACGCTTTCTTCGTTTTCATTTAATTCGCATAATTGTTTCCACCCATTAAAACCATCCATCCAGGTTCAATGCAAGCATCGAGCTACCGAATTGGAATACAAAGCAACACACGAACAAAGATAAGATCGGCAGAGGTAAGAGCATTTCAATACAAACTAAATCGAATGAGTAGAGATGCAATCAATCAATCTAATTATACACAGATACTCCAATAATCACGAAATCGGGCATGCGGATCCAGCAAGGATTGAACGGAGATGCATACCATGGCGGTGGTAGGCGTCTGCCGGCGAAGCTGCTACGCTGCGCGCTGTCTCTGATGGCAGATCCAAATCTCAATTCAACTCTCCGGCTTTCCCTTTTTACCGCAAGCTTTGATTGCCCAACCCGTTTCGAACCGGCAGTTTGAACCGACAGAAAATTGAGATAAAGAATTAAAAATTGAGTGTTTATTTATTTATTTATTTTTACATTTAATTCCGTTTTGTGTTTATTTAACTCGTGTTTATTTTCTATTATTTATTATTATTTAATTTGTATAATTTTCATGGAGCAAAAATTATTTTTAGTCTAATTAATATCATAATTATCAATATTAATCTCGCTAAAAATTAACAATTTTGATTCCTCTCCGACGGTTGAGTGGGATATAGCCGTGTTGAATGCAGGACCGTCCCTGGAGTTGGGACCGACCAGGCCCAGTCCAGAAGAGGGCCCATAATTTTAGGGCTTTTCATATATATATATATACTATATACTATATTAAAAAAATTGTATAGATAGAAATTTAAAAAAAAAATGATAAGTAAATATGAAAATAAAATTGAAAGTATAAGCCAAGCGGATAAAAATATAAAATTAATTATTTCCTAATTATTATGTAAATTTGTTTATTGCATAATGAGAGATTTAAATTATTATATAAATTTAATATTAGTATTTTTGAATTTTTATTTAATTTCTAAAAGAATTTAAATGTTTAGATTATAATGAGTTTAGAAACTATTTGGTTTTTTTTTTTTTCAAATCTTGTTGTCTCATAATGATTTATGTGATATTGATTTAGGAAATTTTATTATTAATTTTACAAGTTATTTTATCGGATAATTTAAATTAATCCATTAAAATTTTTAATATGTTAAATAAATGTTTCAATTGCGTATCGAATTTTATAAACAATTTATGTAAGACTAACATACTAAAAGAAATATCTATAAATTAACACATTGAAATATTATTTGAGGTTAACTATGTATTACGAAAGATTGAATGGTTTACATTTGCTATCTATTGAAAAAAAAATGTTAGAAACTATTGTAGTTGATAATATTATTAATAATTTTGTATCTAAAAAAGCTATGAGGAGTAATTTGATGTAATATATTATGTATTTTTATTTATATTTTGCAGGCATGGTGTGGAAGTAGCTTTTGTAATGTTGAGATGATCTCAAATGTTGAATTAATGTAAGATTTTATAGAATTGTATTGTTTGTTGTTTAATTTTCATTTCAATTTAAGTTTATTTGAAAATTGATACAAAATTTTTAAAGAAATAAATATTTGTTAGGGCTTGTTTTAGATTTCACCCTAGGTCTCCAACATGTTAGGAACGGGCCTGGTTGGATGACTCAGAAGGTGACTGGGCGTCCCAGGCAGCCAATACGACGGTATTGGTCTCAACACGGCCGTGTTGATTACCCTGCACTTCTGAACACGGCGGTGTTCCTGCCCGTGTTTTGAACACATCCATGTTCCTCTGTCCATGTCTCAACACATTCATATTCTAGGTCATGTTCACGACAATGTTTTTAATATAATCATTTTGTAAGTCATATTTATTATTATTCACTTTTTGGTTAAAATTATTTGATATATATATTTATAATTCAACAAAAATATTTTTTACAATTATTTCATAATATAAAAAATAACCAATTTTTAATATTTTAAAAATATATAAAAATAATAATATATTAATACATATTTTTAATAATACTTCATCCGTCCTACTTACCATGTTCATATTACCGTTTCTGTCCGTCGCACGTCCCATGTCACTTTCATTTTTTGAAAAATAATTACACACTATTTTTTAATTGTCTACAGTGACCCAGTGACCAGACATCCAATGTGGGACGAATGGAGTATTATTTTAAAATATTATTTTGAATAATATATTTAATTTATAATTTATAGAAATCATTAATTTAAAATAATATTTTAAAATTTTTACTATAAATTTTTAAAACTATATATTATAGATACTAAAAATATATGTCTAAAATCAATTAAATATTATGTATTTTAGAAGAAAATAAAATTCCAATAAAATAAATATATGGTATTTAATTATGCACATATGTTAATTTTTCTATAATAAATATCAACCATTAATGCAAAAATCTGCTTAAAATGGAAGATATCGTACAAATACTACGTGCATAAATAGAGTCATAATAAATTTGGCAGCAAAATAAATTAATCTTGTCAATAAAGAAAGTATATAAATTAATATCTTCCGAAAAAGGACAATGATACAAAGATCTTGGCGAGAAAGGAAGGTACACAATCAAATCCGTCTATAATGGAATGGAGCATCTGATGGAAAAGAAAATATTATAAAATCTTCCTATTGGCAAATCAAAATGGCCACGTGGCACCATTCAAAAAGGAAGCTAAGGCCACCTCTCCTCTATAAATAAGAGTCATGGCCAATTCATTTGGGACACCAAAGTTGCATCGGGGATTCAAGCAAAGGGATAAGTCTCTAGACTCTCTCTGTATTGTTCCTTCGAAGCGTTCTTCGTCGAAAGTCACTGATTTGGACAAATGATTCAATATTGGTTGACGAATCGATGGAGTTAACGTTCTTCGTCGTATGGTCGAGCCGGAGGAAGGATCGAAGCTCTCAAAGCCGTTAAGGAATTCGTCAAAGCCAAGGGAAGGTCTCCAAATTCCTCGCAAAGCTTCAAGATGTTCATTGCGTTCTTCACCAAAGCAACAACTCGGCTCTCTTCGATCCAAAAGTCAAAGGGACACGCCGCCAAAAGAGTTATGAAGCACCAAATCAACATCTTCAAAGATTAAAGTCGCGGATCGTTCAAAGAAGACATCAAATCCAAAGCCGATGATCAAATCGCTCACATGGAGACCAAAGCACTCCGAACGGCGGCGAAGCTAAACCAAAGATCAAAGCCGCGGATCGTCCAAAAAAAGACATCAAATCCAAAGCTGATGACCAAATCGCCCACGCGGAGACCAAAGTCTCCAAAAGCGGCAAAGCCAAAACAAAGATCAAAGCCTCGGATCGTCCAAAGAGGACATCGAATCCAAAGTCGATGATCAAATCGCCCACACGGAGACCAAAGTTCTCCAAAAGGCGGCAAAGCCAAACCAAAGATCAAAACTGCGGATTGTCCAAAGAAGACATCAAATTCAAAATTGATGGTCAAATCGCCAACACGGAGACCAAAACCCTCCAAAAGGCGGCAAAGCCAAATCAAAGATCAAAGCCTCGGATCGTCCAAAAAAGACATCAAATCCAAAGCTGACGATCAAATTGCCTACACGGAAACCAAAACCCTCCAAAAGACGACAAAGCTAAATCAAATATCAAAGTCACGGATCGTCCAAAGAAGACATTAAATTCAAAGCCGAAGATCGAATTGCCCGCACGGAAACCAAAGCCCTCCAAAGTCCAGCAGAATCAAACCGAAGACCAAATCTCTTCGGATCAAATAAGCCATAGAAAACCAAGTTGGAAAATAAATCGACTCGGACGGAGAATCAAATGACTCATTTAGAGAATAAGATCCACTTTAAATTCAAATCAAATATAATTTGTACAAATTTTGTGTTTATTAAAAATAATACAATTTTTTGTCCACATATATAATAATTATTAAAAATATATATTAATATATTATTATTTTTATATCCTTTTAAAATAATAAAAAGCGATTATTTTTTATATTATGAAATAATTGTAAAAAAAAAATATTTTTGTTAAATTATAAATATATATCAAATAATTTTAACCAAAAAATAAAAAAAATAATAAATATGACCTATAATATGATTATATTGAAAACATGGTCGTGAACATGGCCTAAAACATGATTGTGTTGAAAATATGGGCAGGAATATAGCTTAGAATATAGTTGTGTTAAGAACACGGACAGAAACATGGCTGTGTTCAGAACACGGACAGAAACACGACCGTTTCAAAAGTGCAGGGTAATAACACAGTTGTGTTACAGTCGTGTTGGCTGTCTGGGACGCCCAGCCATCTTCTGAGTCATCCAACAAGCCGTGTTCAGTCTCAGTCAACCATTTTGGGACTGAAATTGATAAATTTTCATTTGAGTTAAGCCAAAATTGATAATTATAATATTGAATGAGACCAAAAATAATTTTTACTCATTTTTATATTATTCAAATCTTATAAAATATTATATCTAAACTATTATTAAAATAAATTATTTAATTAAAAATATAATTGAAAAAGTTTTAATTTATTATAATAATCGATTTATTTTTTTTAATTAGCAATATAGTTTAATTTTTTTTATGAGTTGTAATTCTTGTTTATATTTACCCATTAAATTTTTTATTTTACCGTACGCACCCTTTTTTTTTAATATTTATAACATATCATACGATCAGAAAAAAATAACGGGGAACAAACCCAAAGTCTTAATTAAAAAAGCAAAAAGAAAATCAATAATAGATGCACAGATATACTTTTATATCTATTCGTAAATTTACTCATTAGCACTCACTCCAAGTTGGTATGGCGGGCCCGGATTTCCTCGGGGCTCCGACCCGACAACCCACCCAACTCATAAACCACCATCTCAAACAACACGAACAGCGCCCCTTCGTACACGCTCCCCATCGGCAGCAGGCTCCGACCCGACCCGGCCCGGTCGTTAGCCATGGTCTGCGCCGGGATGTGCGCCACCGCTGAAGCGAGCCGAGCCGAGGACCCAGTCTCCGGCTGCGCCGTCAGCACCACCACCCGAGCGCCGCTGCTCCTGGCGACGCCGCAGATAGCGTCGACGGTGGAGAACCCCCCGGGGCCGGCGGAGGCGATAAGGAGGTCCGGCGGGCCGATGGGAGGAGTGGTCATGTCGAAAACAGCGTGGGCGGCGAAGCCGAGGTGGAAGAGCCGCATGCACAGTGCCTTCAGCATCAGGCCCTCCCGGCCCACGCCGTACACGAAGATTTTGCCGCCGCGGGAGCCGGCGCCGGAGATTTCTGCGACGAGTGTGGTGAGGGGCGGTGGGGTGGAGGTCGGGGCGGTGAAGATGGCGGCGAGTTGGCCGCAGATGTCGGCAGCGAAGGCGGCGGACTTTGGAGGGTCGGGTTCAGCCATTGAATTCAGATTAGAATATTTGCTCGTGGCGTCCTATACTTATCTGGGGGACCGGGCTAATATTTTCCCTTTTTTAAAAATAAAAATAAAATTACAAATAAAGTATATATATATTTATTTTATACTCCTATTATTTTAGTTTTGAAAGATATTAATTGTTAGTATTTATTTTATTTAAATATTTTTTCAATTCCACCACAATTTACCCTATTTTTATTTGACACTTTTTTATTTGGTAAAATTATTAAATCAAAATATATTTAACAAAATATATTTTGTTAAATGATGTAGGACTTGTTTAAAACTCTTTCTTTTTTATCTCTCTTCTAAAAAATAAATATTTTTATCTATATTTAAAACTAAACATCTTTTATAAAATTGATTTATGTTAATTATAAATAAACAAAAATATTTTTTTATTTACTTGTATTATAGAAAATTTTATTCTCTAAAAACTAATATTCATACTGCATATATTTTTTAATTGCTATATAATATTTAAATATTTAAATATATATTTTAATTTTTTTAATCATATATTAAATTTACTTTAAAATTTAAATATTATTAATTACATCAAAATAATAATATAATAATATCATAACTTATTATTATTAACTTATTAAGGGTGTGTTTGTTTGGGGGTTTGGATTTTGGATTGGGATTTGAATAGTAAAAATTTTGAATTTGAATAGCTGTATGATGTGATATAAATAGGGTTTGATGTGATGTTTTGAATGTAAAATTTATTTTTAGTATAATATAAAAAATGAAAAATAGGTGTTTGATTTGATGTTTTTAGGGGAAAAAAATTGGATGAACAGTGGAAATCCTCCAAAATCCTTCAAACAAACACACCCTAAATATCTTTACCTTAAATATCATATTCCTAATTGGGTTTAATCCAATGGGACGAAGGAAGTATTATATTTTTTCTATATATTTTATTATAAAATGTAATATGTATTTTTTTATTATTTTATATTCTTTTCATCTTTTATTAATGTATATATATGTTTTTTTTTCAGTATTAACATATTTTTTTTATTAATTATGAATCTTATAAATATTTATATTTTATAAAATTATTTCTACATTATCTTTAAAAGTTATTACATTTTGTTTTTTAATAAGAATTTTTTTACTATAAAATGAGCATTTTTTTATATTAATGATTAATGAAACTAAAAAATATTACGATAAATTAAATATATAAATAAAAACTATTATAAAATAAAAAATTATGTAAAAATAATGTCATAAAAATATATGGAATATTTTTTATGAACAATAAAAAATAAGAACGCAATATTTTATGCCTATCACATACGGACATATATAATAGTATTGTTTTATAAAATATTATTGTTTTTTATCCAGTTTTAAAAATATTAATAGTAGTATTATATTAAAATGTAATAAAAAAATTAAGTATAAATGTAATTATATTTATGTAATATAATATTATAAATTAAAATAGTATTTTTAATGATAAATAGACAATATAATTATAAATAAATAATTTGTTAAATACGAAAGAAATATTTATTTCAATACAATAATTTTGTTACCATTTTTATTAGTCTTATTAGTTCCAAAATAATATCCTCGCATCATGCGATCGTATCATGCGATCAGGAAGGAGCAAATATGGGAAATTTGTCGGGTTTGGATTCGGGTCCGATTTGGAGGGCATTTTCGGTACACGCCAAGGACAGGAGAACGTAACAATGGGGGCGAACAAATCAAAGGCGTGGAAAATAGACAGAGCTTTGTAGAGTTCTTCAATTCACTCTTTTCAGTGAGCTACACGCCGACATTGGTACGATTGTTCTCTATGTATCGAGGTGTTCAATCTTGTTTGGCTGTTCTTTGCTGAATGATGGGAAATGCGTGATTTGGTTTATTTCTTGTGTCTGATTTTAGTTCATCTTCTATAGATGCATATATATGGTTGTCAATGAAATTAACAGTCAGCTTTATTTCTGAATTTGAAATTATTGAGGTTATGGATTTGTGGGGAGGTCTATTGAAATTGAAGTTGAGATCTCGAGCCTATTGGGTAATACTCAAAATTACCTTGTTCATACGTGTTTATTTTTATGTATTTACCGGTGATCAAATGAAATTAGCAATGTATTTTACTCGATGAATTTTTTCTTCATAGCAAGGATGAATTATGTTAGAGTAATCGAGGATCAGGCTCATGATGTGGAGAGATTATTTCATTTCCATTGTATTCATGATAATGGGTTTTGCCAGTTTCCCTCTAGGATGTGTTAGGTATAGAAAAATATCTCCATTTCGATTGTTTGTTTGAGTCAGAAAATCCAAATATGAGAAATGAATCATTTTTTCCTTGTCTGTTTTCATTTCTCTTCTCTTCCTTGAGCAAAAGAGCTGAGAGAAATGAAAATGGAGAATCCTCAAGCTGTGTTCATTTGTCATTTTTTTCATTTTCTTGTAATTTTCATTTTAATACACTATTTCGATTTCACAGAACATGGCATCAAAATTATTATTCAAACAAAAATAAATCACCAATGACCAACTAAACACACTAACAATATTTCCTTATGGCTTCCCATTTCACTAAACTCTCTCTTATCCGATTTATTGTATTCCCTTGATTGATAATACAGTGTCTTCTCCAGATCAATCACTGCATTCTTAACTGAATCCTATGTTTTACAAAATTGAAGAATGAATTCTCATTCTCTACTAATTCTACTACTTTATGCTTTGTAGCAAACGTATCCTCAGGAATTTAACAGCGGTATATTTTGGTGTGATGAAATGAGTAGATGATCAATATCCATTAGGATATGTTCAGGAAAAGAATAAAAATGTACATCTGCCGTTATTTCAAATTCCTTCTTTGTTTAGTTGTTGTTCAGTAAGTGCGTAATGTTAAAATAAAATCGGCATTGTAGTTAAGCACTGCAATACTCTTTGATCACCTGTAAACATTCTGATTGTTTTGCTTTTATTGTAGTTTGTAGAATTTCAAGATACTGAGTTCGAAGCTCTTCACCAAAGGCATTAAAGTAGATAATAACAAACAGGAACCATAAAACATGTTTTCTTTGTTTTATGGACTATGGAAACACATGTTCGACAAGATGGAGTTTCATGTTCTTATCCTTGGAATTGACAAGGCCGGCAAGACGGTATTGTGCTTGACCTCACTTTGTCTGTTTAAAATGTTCGTCTCCACACATTTATTTGGCTTCAGAGTTACATATTTCAAGACATGAAGTTGACTAGCATATTATTGAAAGGCCGGAAGATCTTGTAGGCTTGAACAATGTTTACAAGCTAGTTGGAGTTTGAAAATTTCATGGCCTAGTATTATTATTAGTATTACTTTTTAAAATTTCTCAAAAAGGACCTATACTGTCAATCTGGTTAAACTATTTGATGCAGGCTGTTCATTTTGAATAAATTAGAAAATGATGTCTTCAAAAAAACTGTAAGTTATTCACCTTGTTTAAGTTACCATCTGACGTGCCGAATTGGTTATTCGATGAGTAATTCTTCTGCCTAACACTGTGTTCTTAAGACATTATTTGTATTACAAAATTATTGTTGCTTTCTGCCCATTTCACTGAAGCTGTGTTCTATGTTGTGTTCGATGACAATTGAAATTTGTTGGTTGCATTTATTTACTGTTAAATCATTGACTTCTATGGCTTTAAAGTTTGTATATTTTCATGGTTAGTTGAAAGGGTGATTTTTCATCTGCAAGCATCTACTAGCGATTATATTGACACTCAAGTTTCTGTTTGAGCTTATTTATTGATGTGAATGTGTAGACCTTACTGGAGAAAGTGAAGTCAATATACTCGAACTTGGAGGGCCTTCCACCAGATCGGATTGTTCCAACTGTAGGACTCAATATTGGTCGGGTTGAAGTTTTAAAGACAAAGCTCGTGTTCTGGGACCTGGGAGGTCAGGTTTGAATTGCAGTCTTGTTTTCTTCATTATTTATGTTACTATACAAATGCAGTATATGAACTATATTCATATTAACGGGCAGTATATGATATAGTTTAACACAACATATGATATCATTGATTTCAACATAAGAAATATATTGATACAGTACACCTATAAGTATGGTCGTACATGCTTTTATTTAACACAACATATGCTATGTTAAATAAAAACATATGATGTTTGTGTGTTCTATATATGCCGACTCAACCATCCCCGTGTCATCTATTATGTAATTATTAAAAATCTTTTCGTTGATGAGTGGTTTTCGTTTATGTTACATCAGCCGGGCCTTCGCTCCATTTGGGAAAAATATTATGAAGAAGCACATGCAGTAATTTATATAATTGATGCAGCCTGTCCATCTCGTTTTGAAGAATCAAAATCTGCTCTAGGTAATCTCTGTTGGATGAAGTTTGAGAAGTGTCGTACAAATAATACTACTTCTTATCATCAATTTTTCATTTTTCGTATTTTCTTGCAATTTAGGTTCGTAAGGTTTGTTAACTTTGTATTTGGATTGCAGAAAAGGTCCTTCGTCATGAAGATTTGCAAGGAGCTCCCCTTCTGATTTTAGCAAACAAGCAGGTAAGCTAATTCCTTGTGTCTTACACGATAGTCGAAACCAAAGATATAAGTATTGATTCTTAATATCTATATGCTATCTGAATACTTCAGAAATCATGTAAATGAATGATATAATTATTTTCTTCCTTTATGGCTATCTGCTGATTATCAGTTCTTTAGACGAGCTGAAAATTGTGAAAGGATTTACTTGCACAAGCTGTTTCTTTGTCATCATTATTGGTGTATTTGTAGATTGTGATAAGAGTATAAAACAACACTCTTATGTTTGTACGTTAATTAAAGGACTGACTTTTGCTAACGTACGTGGCACACTCCTCAGGATCTCAAAGATGCTATATCTGTTGATGAACTTGCTCAATATCTAGACCTCAAAAAATTGGACGAGAGAGAATTTACATTTCAAGCCGTTTCAGCATATGAAGGGTGAGCATCTTGTTCGTGATCTATTAAGTTCTGCCGAGCTTTTAGTAGTCTTGTTTCTTTTAGGCTCTCCAAATTAGTTCTCGAGCAGTATAGAAATGGATTTCACGACTTTTGAAATTTGCTGCAGGATGGGGATCAAAGAAAGCGTGATCTGGCTCATAGATGCTATGGAGAGAAGTAAGAGAACCGAAACATTGAGAATTCGAGCAGGATCCAATGTTATCTAGAGGTGATAGCGTTGCAATGATGACCCTTATCCCACCCCTCCCTGGTTTAATTATATTCGTGTTTTGCTTGACATATACATTGGATCGATACAACATGATTTATACACTAAAGTATTGATACAAATATGTGTAGTTTCATCACCACATAATCGAACATATATATTTAAAGCGTGCGAAAGATGATTTTGATACATATTTTAGAACTGTCTTCTGCATGAAATCACAAATTTGTCACTCAGGATCGGCACCAAGTCCCCATTATTCATTCGACAGAAATGATTCTTTGTTAGCTATAAGAAAAATCCTGGATGGATAAAGGTGTAATACATCAGTTATGGAGTGGATTAGGGCCACAGGGGACGAGCCTTTGCGAAAATGTACGTAACTTCTTGCTCTTATTTTCTTCCCATTCTGAATATTGAGGAATTATGGAGAAGAGAAAAAGTGAGTCGAATTTAGCTCTTATTCTTTCTTAATTTGTAGCATGACTGACTTGCCTGCAGCTAGACAAACGATAAGCACAAATAAGGTAGTTGGAAATTGGAATTTTCATGTCCAAACAAGTAGAAAGGCGAAGGTTGAATAAGGTGCAAATGGTATTTTGCATATGTAGGCGTCGTAAAAGTTTAAGCCATATTTATAGGGCAAAATTTCTTATAAAATACTTATGGTTTGTAAAGTTTGCATCGTTCTTCCTCATAATTTAGAAACGGTATGAGATCTTCTCGTATTTTCGAAAATATTTACACAGAATCTTGTTTCGTGTGTTGTGAAAACATTGTATGAAATCTCTCCGAAAATACAAGGGAACTTCATGTAATGTTTTAGAAGATTTTGTACAGTATCTTTTAAAATACAAAAGAAACTCATACAGTTTCCAAATTATGAAGAGTATGATGCATATTTTTCAAACTAGAGGTGACTTATAACTTATAAGCAATTTTGTCTATTCATAGAGGGCACAAACTCATATTCGAAACATAGGAATCAAATTTCTCTTCATGTAATTGTGTTGACTATTAGGAATATTCAAAAAAAAATAAAAAATAAAAAATAAAAAATTGTGTATGTTGTGTGATATTGCATATTTTGCTTAGATTATTTGGTTGGTTGACTTATTGTTTGTTCTACCTTGAATATAAATTATCGTTGTCGAATTTATTGAAAAGTAAGAGGTGATATATATATATATTTGGAGTTTAAGGTTGTGCCGGCACGGGAGTTGTTTATTCGGGAATGGTCGCATGGTTACATCGGGTATGTAATGTTGTATCTAATACCATCCCTTGTTGCGTATGTTCGACTTTTTTCTTCTGTTTGACCCACGCACCCACCCATCCACCCGAATTTGAACTCAAGTCATAGCTCCGAAGCAGGGATGTCTCAACACTTAATTTATAAGAATTTGCATATCAATTCGACCGCATGTTAAAATTCAAAATTCTTTTGAACTATACAAAGGGTTTCGAGCAAGAACTCGTAGCCGCAATGGACAAATAACAAGGATTCAACTCGCTTGCTTTTCTATCCTTCATCTCGATATTGAACTTTTGCAAAAGCAATACCCACAAAACTTACCAATAACAAAAAAAGCTCAAACAAACATAAAAATGCACATTCATAACCTTCCCAAGTCATTCTTATTCATTACAACTACTACATCTTCTTCATTTTCTTCTTCCGGTCTTTCAAATTTATAAGGCGAGTAAGGGTAGGGGTGGGGGTGTCCTAACCCGAAAGAAGAATACCGTCTTTCGACAAACAAGATCCTCCCCAAAAGTTCATGTTTCGATAACAACAAGGATATCACTCATTCTTTCTTGTCGGCGTCACCAGCCGCTGTGGTTTCTGCAGGTGGTGCTTCTTTGACGCCATTTTCCAAAGGGCCATCTTCCGCCGGCTTCGCTGCGTCGTTATCGGCAGGCTTTGCCGCGCTAGTTTCAGCGCCGTCCGTCGTTTGGCTCTCATCAGCGGCGGCAGCTTCGGTCACTGGCACGGTTGCTGTAACGGTTCCCACCTTCGCGTACTTGCTCATGAACTTGTATTCCCAATCTTGGAGTGCGTCGAGCTCAAACACACCTAGCCCTGTGAGATCGCCGTTGAGATCTTTTTCCTCGAACGACATCTTTGCTAGAGCTCGACTTGCATCCTTGCCGGCGAAGAGGGCGTATGGGCCACCAGGGCCGTAGAACATTCTGCATATATATCGACAAAATATGCTCAATTACAAAAGTAGATTGGAAGGATAAATGCTAATAGAGACATGTCATCATAAGGCCTTTGGGTTTTGATTTTGCATTTAAATAAGGTTAGATATGATGTTCTGTAAGAAATATAGATATTTTTCAAAAAACACAGGCCAAAAAGTAAAGATCTGGAAAGAAAACCCGAGAATCTTTGGGTTTAGTTTTCCAAACATTTACTATTTGGACTCTACATTTTCCGAAAAAAAAAATATTCACTTCTTCATGTCGTAAAAATCATATCAGAAATTATCTAAGTACAAAATTGAAACCAAATCTTCCCAATTTTGCAATGCCTTGATTACAAGGCCGTGTAAAAGTCCAGCTATAATACGTCGCGTGATTTTCACCGATAGGTGAGATGAAGAATCGCAAAACAAAATGGATCATCTTAAGAGGGAATCACACCAAATCGAATACTCACAAATAAAAAAAATACTCGATCAGAGTCTATCGCTTGTTTTTAGCGGAAACAAAAGGGTAAGGAATCATCTTAAAAGGGTATCCGATTAAGCTAAACCCAACTTCACATTCCTGTCGATAAAAACGACACGTGGCTCATAATCGAAAGCATTTAAAGCTCCTCAACTCTAATCCAGAATCTTGATCTAAAGAGAAAACAGATTCTACAATAACAATATCTTCTTCTTCCATAAATCTTTGCCTTAAAACATAACAAACAAGAAAAGTTACTGTTGAAAATTCGATTTTCAAAACTTTTGGAAAGTACAAATATTTTTTCACAAGAAAAGTTTAAATAGCCATTAGCAATACATACAAATAGTAACAGGCGCAAATTATTCTGATTCTAAAAGACACCAATTTAACCTAAAAGTTAACCAAATCCTCAAATCAAACATGGAACAAACCAAAACATACAGAGAATTAAAAAATAATTGAAAAAGATAAAGAACACCCCCAAATCAATCACTGTAATCAGATACCAAAACCTACATGATTAATAACAAGAAATCAATTTCAGAGACTGAATTCACAAAAACATATTCCAAAAATAATAATCTGAAGAATATACAGACAGGAGTATGAATTAACAAAAAGAGATCCAAACTTTATTATCACCGCTCAGAAACCTTAAAAAGTATCACAGTATTCGAAAAGAAGTTGCTATATTAAAAAATTGATAATCAGGAATAGAGAATCGATACCTGCTCTGTGAAACATCGTAGATCTGACCTTTGATCGCCATCAGCAAGGGCTTTTTCGGATCGGAGCCATCGTACTGTTTCAGCTCCTCCGCGGTAATCTCGCCAAGCTGAACCGGCGGCGGCAGAGGCTCCACCTCCTCCTCGAAATCCCTGGACCGCTGATGAACGTGACTATCTTCGGAGGAACCGAACAGATTGGAGACGAAGTAGTAGAGAGTGATGGCTAAAGCAACGACAGTGAAGAAAGTAGCCGGAGAAAGGCCTGTGTATGCGGTGATCGAGTCCTTGAAAGTCTCCCACAGCTGAAGAGCCATTTTCCGGCGGCGGTGGGCGGAGAAGAAGGAAAATTAGGGATTGGGATTGAGATTTGGGGTTGAAGGTTTGTGTTGTGTGGTGGATCGGCTTTGGCTTTGACGAGACGCTCTTTTGGACTCTATTCGACTTCAAAATAGTACAATTTTATTTTTTTTTAATATAAATTTGCAGTCTAAATAAAATGAAATAAAATAATAATGATATACTATTTTTTAATGTAAAAAAAAAGAAGTGTAAAATAATATCTAACGATAGCTTACCTACCACATTATTTGCCTATTATTGTAGAGTGTGTTCAGTTGTTTGGTTGGAAATTTATAGTTTGAATTTAACATAGTAAATTGTGATATTAAAATGCTACTTCATCCTTCTTATCTTTTTCTATCATATTTATATTTACAACCGTAAATACGAATATTTAAATAAAATATAATTAATAATTAATTAAAAAATTTATGAGTAAAAAAATTATTATATAATAAAATTAATTATAAATTAAATTATATAAAATAATTAAAATTAAAGAAATATTCCATCAGTCTCAACTAATTTATATAATTATAACGTACTCCCTCCGTCCAAAATAAGTGGCACAGGAACTAAAGAATAATAATATTTAATTGCAAATGGTATAAAATATAATGTAAAATACTATAATGCCCTTACTTTTTAAATAATTTTAAAAAGTATGTTGAAGTAGTAATTATGGGTAAATTAAAAAAATATGAATAATTTTTTATTATAAAGTGGAGACTATATTAACTAAATAAGAAAACATGTCAATTATTTTAGAATGAACGAAAATAAAAAACAGGACAACTTTTTTTTTACGGAGGAAGTAATAATTATAGATTAATATTGAGGCCATTAAATAGTTTAATTAAAATTAAAAATATATATAAATTATGAATTTTATAATGTAATTAAAATATATAATTATATTTCAAAAAAAAAAGATCATCTATGTGGACAAATAAATATTAAAAGAGTTGAGAAATTAAGTGGGAACGCATAGAGTATAAATTATGAAATTTAACATATAATTAAAGTATATAATTATATATATTATTTTTAAATAACAAATAATGTAGAACGAACGAAAATAAAAATAGTAAAAAAAAAATGAGGCGAAGGAAATAATTTGATGTAATATTAATATTTTAAATTTAATACTAATTTTTAATATGAATAAAAATTTAAAAATATTTTAATATTTTAAAAAGAAAAAATTACTTTCTTTTGTTACCATTCAAATTTTTATTATTATTATTTTAGTTCCTCTTACTTAAAATATAACAGTTTTAGTATAATAAAAATAATAACATTAATATTAAAAAAAATTAATGTTTATATAAATTAAAAAGATATTATTATACATAAAATATAAATGATAAAAATATCAAAATTATTTTATACATTCACTAATAAAATATAATCCCTCCGTTCCGTTGAAGGGTGGAGTTTGTTTTTTGCACGTAGATTTTTTAATATTAGTATTATATTATATTGTAATAAAAAGACCAAAATACCCCTATTAGTATGGTATAATATAAAATAATAATATTTGTGTAATATGTTGTAAGTTGAAAGAGTATTTATTATGTAAAGTAGGTAGTACAATTACTAAATCAAGAAATGATAACCTTGTTTTGGGACAGATGAAAATATAAAATAGTAACCTCTTAATAAGACGGAAGGGAGTATTACTTTTTAAAAATAGTAATTTAATATAATAATATATTTATAATTTATTTAAAAATTAAATTTTTTTTTGATATTCATAAGTGATTACCTTTATTATAATAAAACATTGATATTTTTTATTAGACAAACGAAAATTAATAAAAATAATATTTTCGATTTAGACAATGAAATATATAATTATACTTTTGTCCCTATTTTATCTTTAATTTTTATTTGTTATAATTGAGAAAGAAAAAAAAAAAGGACGAACACTTCATTCTTTCAATTTACTTTATTTCAATATATATTTTTTATTATCAAATAAAAATTAATATTTAATATAAATTATTATTTTTTATAGTGTAGACACCATTTTTTGTACTTAAAAATAAATAAATAAATAAATAACAAAACAAACATGTCGTTGTTGCTCATTTTCAAAGTTAGCGTATTTATTTATTTATTCAAAAATTTATTATTTCAATTAATACAATATTTATTGTTCTAGAAGGTCCTGTTTTTTTATGTATTATTTTATGCCTATTAATATATATATATATATATATATAAGACTAATTTATATGACGGAGAATTCAATTGTTACTTTTTTCATATATTTTGAAGAAAAATTTGGCTAAATAATTAATAATTTTCAAATTAGATATGACAAAATAAGTTATACTCCTTCCGTCGCAGATACCGTGTCTGCTACACTATAGACACCGTATTTTAGGATGTGTGTAATTAGTAGATAATTAATAATGTATTAGTGAAAATAATTATCCTATAATATAAATAATTAGTTTAATTAAAATTAAAAATTTTAAAATGAGATTAAAGTGTGTAATCATTTCCAAAAAATAAAAGTGATATGGTATGTGAGACGGAAAGAAACTGTAACGTGGACATGGTATCTGAGACGGAGGAACGGAGGGAGTACTAGATAAAGCTTATGCCAATAATAATAATAATAATAATATTTTCTCTATTTCAATTCAAAATATTTTTTATTATTTTTTGTTTGTTCTTATCTCAAAGTAATTATACATTAATACCAAATAACTTTTAATTTTTATTTCAATTACAAATATACTATTACACATTGAGTTACTTTATATATATAATTCAAATGACAAAAATATTAAAAATTCATACACAATTAAACTAACTAATAAAATATTATTATTTTTTAATATAGTACAAAATTCCAAAAATCCCATTGAATTGAGACGGAAAAGTATAATACTCCTGCATCCACAAATTAATGTCCTACTTTCCTATTTGAGACGTCCAACAACTATTGTTATATTTCATTTTTTAAACACAAATTTTACATTTTTACCATCAATTTATTTATTACTTTTAATATCTACCGTACAATCAAAGACAAATTTGTCATTTCATAACAAAAAGACAATCACAAAAAAAACGTACAAATATACTTTAAAACGATAGCAATTGGACAGAGGGAGTATAAAACAAAACAAAATACAACACTAGATGTCGTTATTTATATCACCAACACATTTATTATACCTAAAATTAAAAATATTAAACAAATATTTTTTATATTACTTTCTTGGTCTCATATTTTGTGTCTGATTTATTATAAATATAAAAATTTAAATAAAATACAAATAATAAACAATTTAAAAATATATTAATAAAAAATATTATTATATAATAAAATAAATTATAAATGAATATTAACATAGCTAAATAGTATGATTAATATTAAAAAATTGTAAATAAATAAATTGTATAGTCATATTGAAAAAAAAAAAAATAGAACAAATAAGGTTAGACCAAAATATATTAGTAGAAAAAGATAGAATGAAAGACACTACTCCCTAAACCCTAAACACAGTATTATCTCTTTTATATTACAATTGACACTATTTTTATTTTTATTTGTCATGTAACAATTGACACATTTTTATTTATGGTAAAAATTATTTAATCAAAATATATTTAAGGCCATCTCTAACCCTCCACTCTATTTTTACAGTTGCTACAGTAAAAATGCAGTTGATCTCCAGTAATTTTACTCCAACCATAAACTTCAATTTTTACTCTAAGAAGTATATTCCCTATATATTCCTCTTTTATATTATTTTATATAACTTTTCATATTTATAAATTACACCCCAACTTTAATTTATTTTTACATTAGATCAATACACATATAATTTATATTACTTTTCAACAGTAAAATTATATATCAATTTAGAAAATAAAAAATTATACATTATTTTTTTAAAAAATAAAATTATATTACTTTCCAAAAACTAAAATTATATCACTTTTAAAAAATAAAATTATACATTATTTTTCAAAAAAAATAAAATTACATACAACTTTTTAAAATATAAAATTATATATCATCTACTAAATAATTAAAATTACACAATACACCCAAAAAATACCAAAAATATAAAAAAACACCACAAAAAATTCAGTTTTGGAGTAACATTGTGCATATTTGCAAAAATGGAGAAAAACTAAACATCTTTTATAAAATTGATTTATATTAATTATAAATAAACAAACATATTTTTTTATTTACTTGTATTATAGAAAAATATTATTCTCTAAACAATGATATTCATATTATATATATTTTTAAATTGCTATATAATTTTTATATATTTAAACATATATTTTAACTTTTTAATCATATATATTAGATTTACTTTAAAATTATAAATATTATTAATTACATCAAAAAATAATATAATAATATCATAACTTATAACTATTAACTAATTAAATATCTTTACTAAATATTGTGTCCTAATCAAATGGTTCAATTCCAATGGAATAGATGAAATATATTTTAAAGTTACTTTTTATAAAGTATTAATAAAAATACTGCAACTGTTCTATAATAATTTCAATGACAATGGAGTGTTTGTTTGGTATTTGGATTTTGAGTTGGGATTTGAATAGTAAAAATTTTGAATTTGAATAGTTGTATGATGTGATATAAATAGGTGTTGATGTGATGTTTTGAATGTAAAATTGATTTTTAGTATAATATAAAAAATAAAAAATAGGTGTTTGATTTGATATTTCTGAGAGAAAAAAAAGAAATGAATAGTGAAAATTTAATCGAATCTCCCGAACAAACACATTTAATATACAAATTATTTCAGTAATTATAGCAAAATAATGAGCATGTTTGGTTGATGGTTGGATTTGTAGTTGAACATTTTATATTTATAATGTGCTAATATATATGATTCAAATAAATTTAAAAAATTTAAAAATTAAGATCTTGATTAAAAATATTATTTTTATTATAAAATATTATATTATCTTCATTTTGTAATAAGAGTATCATTTGTTTTTTTACTTATATTTTTAAATATCAGTATTATATTATTTTGTAATAAAAATAAAAATAAAAATATCTCTATTAATATAGTATAATA